AATTTAAGTGATTTTATACCTCGTTTTAGAGCATTTAAATTATGTTATTTGTTAACACCCATGATATATCAAGAGAGTTGGAACCCCCTCAGATTTCCAATGCCACTAAATTTACATAGAACATGTAGAAAGGTACGCTGATTGCTCCTCTTCCCTTAGAAGGAAAGATGGGTTAGTTATCAGAAAGGAAAGTCTTTACACACACACACACACACCCACACACACACAAACACAGGTTTTCAGATTGATAATAACGTTCATTATAATGTGCTACAGACGTTTGTAACAAATTGAATGTTCATTATGTTTCCAAAAGATATTGAGCTTGCTCCTTCCATCGGCCAATGTATGGATAAACACCGTTATAGCAAAAAACAAATAAAGCCATCAACCTGACAATGTATGGATAAACACCGTTAAAGCAAACAACAAATCAATTCATCAACCTGACATGAATTTAGTTTTTTATTTATTTTTTTAAATATCGTCCACTTGCCCAGTTTCTTTATGTCAGTCAAAGCACAGCAATAATTTGAGCTTCCAATTTTCACATTACACATTAAGATACATGTACGTGAAAATTTCATTATCATCTCCAATTGAACCAAAATCGTAATGGATCAAGGACACGACTTATTCTCAGGTCCTAGCAATTTTTGAGCTTCCAAAACTTCGTATTAATAACTATGACTCAGAAACGAGTTTTGCTACGAACAAACAGTCTACATAAAGATTCATGTTTATTTGGGATATAAACTTGTGCAGACACTCTTATGAAAAAAATATATATTTAGAATACACGCACTTTCGATGTTCTCTAGGTTTTCCTCTGTTCTACACAATCATATTACTTTAAGTACAAGTTAAACATGTTCTCAAATTACTCTGTCAATATCTTCTAGTCCGTTACGTAAGTACAATCATGCTAGTTGCCTGGCAAGGCCGTCTCCGAACACACTCAGAAATTGTCCCTTTCACTGCAGGGGAGATTTTTTTTTTTGAATTTTAAACTCTGTTTTCTATCTGCATTGTTTCTGTAACACTTAAGTTTTAAAAAAAGAACAAAAGAAACTAGATAATGTAGAACGCATGATTAGTCCTTCCCAATTGGTCTTCATGCTTTGTAGTTTAACTTTGAAGTTTTCTGATCTTAAAATTTGTAAAGGGGTTCTTATATGTTTCCTATATGCATGCAGAAAGCTTAATATATATAATACCGAGTGTCTGGAAAAATATACGATTTAATATCGCAGGAAGTACGGAGGCTACAACTTCTAACCTAATTGTATGGAGTATTTGTTTTCAGGAGAATAGCATTCTATTAACCATTCTGTTTAGAACTCAGCAGTTGCGTGAAAAAAATGGTGCCACTCAAGTTATTTCATTTAAACAAACTACCGAGCTCTGTAATGCTTCCATCCGTTTATGTTGAAAGGAAAAACCAGTGTGCAGATGTCCAGCTACGTAATACAGCTAAAATACTCTCTGACCAAAAGCAAAAATACATCAAGTCCTTGAGTAAACGAAAAATAGCACTTATACTAGAAATGAAGGAAATGAAAAGAGTGAATTCAGAATCTTTAAAAGGTATGGATTCCTCGAAAGGGAACGCGGAAGAAACTCAGAAGGGGCCTTCAAAAATCACTCTTACCAAATACTCAAAGATACGACCAAAGGTTCGGCAAAGAAAACTGGGGAACTTAAAGCAGAATATCACGGCCGAGGAGTTTCTAAGATTGGGATTTAAAAAAGTATGCAATGATAATGAGGATGAGGACGATGATAACAAACGAAAGAAACTCAAATACACATTCCATGAGCCGGAAGTACTAGAATTCGAAGATATCAAACCAGAATTACCAATCGAAAAAGTGGAACAAAAACAGTTAATCAATATGGTAAGGCGGTTTCGATTGAGCTCTCTTGGTAACAGAACTATTCAACATATTTGCAAAGTGCAAGAAAGAAAGGATATGAGTAGAACGAATGCCGAACGACAAAGACGAAAGAGTCAGAGAGACATCGATATTAACTCTGATGGGTGCTCTTCTGACAGTGAAGATAGCATTTTTGGAGATGATTATGTGACTAATAAACATAAATCTCGGCTCTTATTACGAGCAAACACTGCTGGAAATCTTCTGTTGAGGCGGAAGCACAGGGAGACTCGGCCCTTCTCATACAGAGAGAAAACTACCATTCTCAATTTTTAAGATTGATTTTTTTAAAGACTTGCATTTGAATGAAGCAAATTGGAGTACAATTAACATGTACTTCCTGTTTATTCCGAGACTTTAATGTAAAAATAAATCTGAACTATGTGATTTTTGGATTTTCAGATTTCTCCCTACTGTCCAAAATAGAGTACCATTAAATTGTTAGTTTTTTGAGTGTTTTTGTTGCCGGAATGTTATTCTTTGATATTATGTACAAAGACACAATTGGATTTCGTTTTTTTAAAGTTGTCTATATATATCAAAAGATATCATGAAATTGTAGATTTAAATTGTAGTACAAATTTCTTCTGTTTTTTTCATCATCCTCATATCTCTCCCTTTATAGGGCATTACTGTACTGTGAAACTTTAAATGAAATGTGGAACTTAATGCATTTAAACTTATTCATTTTACTTAAATAGACAGATATTCAGTCGTTTTTTTTTCATATTTTTTAGGGAAAGAGTTTGTAGCATTTCTTCTTAGATACGTATTTTTTCTGCAATTTTGATCAGCATCGTCGAGGTATTAACTTGAAGTATATGCCAGTCAGGCACAAAAACTAATGAAATATGATTATATTCTAAATTTCCTGCACTAATTTAATGACAGTTCTTGATGCTTCGATGATTTCCTTGATAATTATGACATTCATATTAATCTCTAACCTATTTTTTAAATTTGATTTTTTTTACACAAAACTAATTTTCAAAAAAAAAACTTTATCAAAGACAACACTGATCAATGATTTAACATTTATGTAAACTTTGGTATGAGGAAACACAGCAAAATTTCCATTGAACAGGTAGAGTACATGTAAATGTTCAACATTGTCGCGGGTCACAGGTTTCTTGTCATTTCTATGTGGATATAGAATGGACACAAAATTTAGAATGGACTCAAAACCAATACCTGCAACGATGATGATCATCAGAGGCATAAAGTTTCATATCACAATCCAATACACACACATATTTGCAAGATTAATTTCAATGACACGAGCTTTCAGTGCATTTGTTCATCAAATTGATTCATCGATTTGAAAATTAGTGATGAATAAGAATGACATTGTATTGTTAAATGCAGATCTTCAGATGACTCCAGGAATAAACTCTCCACGTGCTGATACCCTGGATCTTTGTCATGTGACAATGATTTCTGCAGACTATGCTGCCAGGGGCGGCGATGGACAACACAGTAAATGCATATAGTGAAGAAAAAATATCGTTGCATCATTTGCAGCTGTAGCATATTCAATTATTTTTCTCTGTTTTACCAACTTTTCAATTTTTATTCCTCTTTTTTTTCTCTGCATTATTAGTATCAGGAAAATCTGACGATTTACCATCATATCTTGCACTCTCCCCATTGAGGAGAACGCATTGTAATCTCTAAGACATAGTGGTTATCTGATGAGAATTTGAATGAAACATTGAGATAACGAACAGTATTCAAGCTCAAAAGTCCATTCAATCAATACAAATCAGTAGCAGAGCAAACAGGGACCTCTAAAGTATCAGAGATGAACTAATGAAACGATACAAATTTTGAGCAGAGCAAACACGGACCTCAAAATTTAGAGGTGGGATCAGTGACCATGGAGTAGTGAGCATCCCCTGCCGATCGGTCACACCCGTCGTGTGCTCCTTGTGATGATCGGGAAAAAACGAGAAAAACAGTAGACAATTCATTGTGTAAATATTGGCCTAACAATTAGTATGAAAAACTTTATGATAGATTGTATTTGCTGACAAGGTCATAGAACTTGCGAAATGATGACTTTTAACGAGACTGTTGATATTCCTGTTTTAACAAATTGTTTGTCAATAGCTTGCCTCGTTTTAGAAATTGTTCATACGTAGTGTATGTTTGTACACACAAGTACTCTGAAGTTGATGTTAAAAAGATGCTTGAGTTCCTGATTGACAACATCTATGTAGTTTTTGGAAATCAGGTCTTCCAACAATCTGTTTGAATTCCCATGGGTGCCAATTGCGCCCCCTTATTAGCAGACCTGATTTTGTATTCATATGAAGCAGAATTTATTCAAAAACTTCTACATGAGAAGAAGGAAACACTTGCTGTGGCCTTCAACTCGACATTTCGATATATCGACGGCGCATTATCAATTAACAATAGTTACTTTCGTTCATATGTCAACTCGATATATCCCAGTGAGCTTGAAACAAAAGATACCACAGATTCTGGCACATCTGTTTCATATTTAGATATTTAATAGAAAAATACGTTAATGGTAACCCAACAACAAAGCTTTATGAGAAACGTAATGACTTCAACTTTTCAATCAACTTCCCTTACTTATGTAGCAATATACCCATATCACCTGCATATGGGGTTTATGCCTCTCAGTTGATTCGATACACAAGAGCATACTCTACGTATGAACAATTCTAAAATGGGGCAAGCTATTGACAAACAAGTTGATCAAACAAGAATATCAACAGTCTCGTTTAAAGTCATCATTTCGCAAGTTTTACGGTCGTCACAATGACCTTATCAGCACATACAACCTATCATTGAGTCAAATGCTGACTGGCGTTTTTCATACTAATTGTTAGGCCATTATTTATACACTGAACGGATTTTTCCTTTTTTTCCCGATCATGACAAGGAGCACACGGCGGGCGTGACCGGTCGGCAGGGGATGTTCATTCCTCCATGGAACCTGATTCCACCTCTAAATTTTGAGGTCGGTGTTTGCTCATACACACATTTCGTATATCAATTTTTATTTCATAATAAGCAAGTGCAGTATCGCTAGCTTTAATTTCGAGTGTTTCCCCCTGAGGACCTACAGCAATAATAATACAGCCTTACAAACTTCAGCAGACTCTCTTTACGGAGTACAATGTATAGCCAGGGGTTAATAATGGAGTTCATGTAACTGAGTCTGATCAGCCATAGCTCTACTGATCCATTGCCCTCCACCAAGCCAACAGCATGGAGAAACACGTCCATCTGTGTAAAGAAACAAGATAGATATATGTCATCATCCTTATTGACAGGTACTGAATATTGTTTTTTGATATACAGTTTAATTCTTACAGTGGTCTTACATAGTGTCTAAGTAAAACCATGCAGACAGCAATTCTTGCTTAAGTTGTCAGTAAATCACAACAGAGTCCTAATTACTTATCTCTATAGCACAGAGCAGGCTTTTTAGTGAGCTTAATGTTACAACTTGTACTCTAATGAATTCAAAGAAAAACATAAAATTGTCAGTTTTATTGTAGAAGAGGCTGTATTCTTTCTTCTATACTAAAAATCCTGACCTTATGGATCAACTAGTTTTAGTGATATTCTCTCAGATGAGACTTAAAAAATACTGATTCCAAATGAGTAAAACAAACTCTTTTATGTGCTTTTTACTTAATTTAAGCAATATTTTATTTTCAAAAATGATTGGGATTGGACAGCAGACACATTCTATTTTAGCACTCTCCCTAAACTTTTTATCTGCATGGTATTGTTTTTTTTTTTTTTTTTTTTTTTTTTTTTTTTTTTTTTTTGGGGGGGGGGGTGTGGAAAATCTATGCATCAAGTTAAAATCTGAATTTTAAAAAATGATTCTCAAAGTAGGGAGAAATCGTGTATCTTTTAACAACTATTTTTCAGTAAAATTTAATATAAAGTGTTTAAACAATCTACATCAACGGAAAAAATAAAGCCTTGATTCCTGTTTTGAGTATTCATACTAAATTTGACTGGGGAGTATTCCGTATTCCTGATCAATACATACGGATATGACCAGGTCAACAGGGGATCCCTACTCCTCCTAGGTACCTGATCCCACCTCTGATGTTTCCAGGGGTCCGTGTTTTACCCCAGTCACGATTCGTTTTGTTTACTGGCTTTAAAGGTTGATTTCTGTTCATTATCTTCACATTTTACCTCGCAATTTCACTTTGTGTGTCCATGACCATTCTTACACAAAGTAAGCAATCTGGGGTAAAGAGCTTTGTAAAAGGATGTAAGAAATTGCATGAAATGTGATGCCGAAATAAGTTAGACTTTTTCCTTACTCGATAGTAGTTTAAATCATATTTTTAAGTGATTTTTGACCATCCAGTCTCATTAATTAAAATTTGACTGAAAATAATTTCAAGTTTGGTTAACTTACAATGAATGGACCAAAAAATGCCACGTAAACAAAAAGTGCTACCACGAGGAAGATAGTCACGTGACTGTCATATACTCCAGTCACCCTGTTCTGCTCCAGAAGTCTAGCTCTATATTCATTGTCTTTACACGATAACATGACCGAGGCTATGTTCGAGAATGAAGTTGAAATTATCACACATATTCCACATACAGAGTAAATAAGGGAATTCACACGATTTCCAATGGATGTCTGTGTAAAATCTATAAAGCACCATGATCCGGGATAGTAGAGCTGGCTATTTCCGACGCCAATAAGATGGAGACTGCAGACAAGAGCTACAAAACACCAAATGGCACAAAGGACGCCAAAATATCTAAAACGAATGCACTTAGCTCTTTGTAAAAAGTTTGTCCGTTTGAGACACAGATAGCGATCAATGGCCATGCTAGAAACGATGGCACCAGAGGATAACTGTGTAAAGGAAAATGTGAACGACACAGCATCACAAAGAGGCTTCGTGTAGCACCACGTGAAGTTACTGGTATAACGCAAAATGGAAACCGGATACAATACGCAAGACTGCAAGAGATCCGTGAAGACTAAACCAGCAAAGAGTATATAAAAGGAATGCCACTGATGGTACCTACTATTAATCACCATAAGGAAAAATGCTATAAGATTCCCTGCTATTACTAGACAGTTTTCCACATGAGTTGGAACCTGACTGGCATGTAAATCAGTAGTTTCATTGCAAACGGCATAAGGATAATAAGTCATTTTTGATTGTCAATCTAAATTATTGAATAAGGCGGTACTAATGTCTGCAATATATATGGATTTCCGAAATATATGCTGAGTATGTGTATAAACATGTATAGATTAAATTATTCTTATTTGCCAGTTAAGTATTTACAAGTGTCACATAGCGATCAAGTACCGGTATCAGATTAGATAAACTAATTGATTAAAAGCAATCAGGAAGTCGACTAAATTTAGAATTTTTTTATTTAAAATAAAATCATGGAACCAATTTAAATATACGTGTAAAAAATTTAAAATATTTATATAAAGAAGGGTTTTATAAGGCAATAAACAGCAGCTCTGTTATACATTATTCAGTGTGTTGTAAATGTCATAAAAATCTGCAGCTATAATACTAGTAGAACTCATTTATGAAATTTTAAAATTAGCTATTGACAATGTCGAGTAAGTTTCTTTTTTAACTGCAATACTGAAAATCATGTGTTGGATTCTCTTGCTCTTTACGAAAGTCTGCAAATAATACAGTAGAGTCAAGGTGTTTACATCGAATTTCCATAGACGAGCCGAGCCGCGTGCCCAACAATTCAGAACTCAGATCAAAGCAAAGCCAAGCAGAAAATTTCCTTATTGTTAAATACAAGTAAACAAGTGAGGATGACTTATCTTCCTATTTAAAAAAAACCACAAATTGGCCACAAGCCTTTGCTGAAATTTTACTATTTAAAATGCCAATACTAAGGACTTTCTCTGCTATGACCTATTCTTGACCGAGTATTTAATCAGCATGATGATGACCACAAATAACATGAATTCTCAGTATTGCTCTGATAAATATGATAAAAGGTGTTCATATTTCAATCCTTGACAATAGATACTCTGCTCAATGCAAATATATTTTCTAAACCAAACCCATTGGTTTGACTGTTATTTTCAGGAGGAAGGCAGATGGGAATAGATTTATATCTTCTAGTGTGCAAAATGCACGAGGTTCTATCTTAATTATGAAAGAGACATCCTTTTTTTCATAGTCGTATTTCATGACTAGTAACATTTCGCCATAGTAAAGATTTTATTGCTTTTCAATTAACAAAAATTCTAAAATATTACTGATGTAAAGTTTTATTACATTTTTCAAATGACCAATGTGTGTAAGGTCAAAAACCCCAAATGAAGTGGGTTTTTTAATGTTTGAAAATTTTGTGTTCAAGGAAAAAGAGTCCCTTGTTTTACCTTCATTTTAGCTGGAAAAAAAATCAAGAATACAAATATAATTTTAATTCTTAAACAAATTTAAATGACTCTAAAAATTATGAACATTAAAACCTTGCTAATCTTTGCGGCTAAGTGGAATTCAAATGACTGCAGTTTGGTGACATTGAAACTAAAATAATGTGTGAACCAAACATTTGTCATCATGCAAAAAGATTTAAGCATCAATATTATTATTAGTAGAACTAAAACAGCTTTCTTGCGCTTTTGTCCATGCAATTAGTTTAATCTATTTCTTGTAACGTGCGTGGTCATTAGAGTACATGTATGTAAACGGTGAAGATAACGAACAGTGATCAATGTCATAAATCCAGTAAACAAAACAGACCGTGAACAGGACAAAAACACGAACCCATGGAAACAACAGAGGTGGGATCAGGTGCCTAGGAGGAGTAAGCATCCCCTGTTGACCGGTCAACCCGCCGTGAGCCCTATGTATTGATGAGGTAGACAGAGTATTCAATAGTCAAATTAAGTATAAAAGCACTGGCCTAACAATTGTTATATGTGGAATATGTCAGTCAAAAATCGACCCATTGATAGGATGTATTTTCAAATAATGTCATTACAAGGACCATGTAATTTGCGGAAAACTGACTTCAAATGGGAATGTTGAAATCCTTGTAACATCAACTTATTTGTCAATAGTTTGCCTTGGTTTAAAAAATGATACTCAGAGCATGCTCTTGCTAAACCATATGCGGGTGATTTGTCATATTACTATATAAATCAGGGAAGTTGACAGTGGAAAAGCTGAAGTCATCATGTTTATCATTCAGTATAGTTATTAGTTGGTCATTGTCGTCTATAGTCAGTAAAACATCCAAATACGAAACAGATGTGACAGACTGTGTAGTGTCTTTTATTTCGAGTTCACCTAGATATATCGAGTCTACATATGAATGAAAGTAACTGTAATTGTTAATTGATATATTTATTAGAAAGTGTGCCTACGTAGAACATGCTCTTGGGTATCGAATCATCTGGGAGACATAATCTCCATTTGCAGGTGATTGTGGTGACAAGGGAAGTTGACGATAGAAAAGTTGAAGTCATCACGTTTATCATAAAGTTTAGATGTAAGCTTGCCATTAACGTCTTTCTTTAGTAAAATATCCAATATGATATTAATGAGAATTTTTTGGTAAAAATATGAAAAAGGGATGGTAAAAAAGGAGAGTAATGAAAAGAGGGTAAAGAGGGTTTTTTTTGTTTTTTGTTTTTGTTTTTTTGTTTTTTTGTTTTGTTTTTGTAAAATATGTGTATGTGTGAGACACAAAAATGGACTTGCTGGGATAAACATGTATGAAAGAAAATGTGAACCATGCATAGAGCATCATAAAGAGGTTTTTTTAACACCACAAGAAGTTACTGGAATACCGCAAATTGGGAACCGGGTACAATACGTAAGACTGCAAAAGATCCGTGCAGACTAAACCAGCAAAGAGGGTATAGAAGAAATGCCATTGGTGGTGCTTATATGAACTATCAATTGCCATTAGGAAAAAACCATAAGATTCTCGGTTATTAATTGACAGTTTAGCGCGTAAATTGTAACCTGACTGGCATGCGTAGTTTCATTGCAAACGGATGTCAAACTAAATTATTTTCAGAAAATGTTAAATGCGGTGACACTATAATGTCTGCAATAAGATTTCCGAAAATATTTGTTGAGTATTTGTATATAAATGTATATATTAAATTATTCTTACTCGCCAGTTAAGTATTTACATGTGTCACATGGCGATCAAGTACTTATTTAAGATAAGATAAACTGATTGATAAGAAAATCAGGAAGTCTGTTAAATTTAAGACATTCTGATTAAACTGCTGCGATTCCTATGTAAACATTAAAGTAGAATAATCTTTATTTTTTAAAAGCAATAAACGTCAGTCGTGAGTACTATTTATTGCTGCATTAATATTGCGTTGGTACATTGACTCAGCTAATTATACAATCGCTGTAATAACTACTTTGGTTACTTCCCAGGCTTTATGAACATAATTCAATCTCTTGTAAAATTCATTAACATTTATTCAATTTCTGTTGATCCAACTCCGTGTGCGGAATTTAACTAGATATTTCCAATATCGGCTAAGTTTCTTATCTGCGATTTTAATGGGTTTATACTTCGTTCATTTGTTCATATAAATCAAAGTACAGACTGTCAAAGAATATCTTTCACTACAGCAAATTACAGTAAATAGCTTTCTTCTGTTGGTGTACCGGTATCTATATGCAGGAAGGATGAATTACTAGTACCTTTAGGGTTCACCCCTACCGCCATATCCTACCCATCCCTTCATTTTGAACTAGCAGGAAATTCTCCGTTGATTTTGCTCGATTGGATATTTGGATTGAATTTTTTGTCTCACATAAGGCATCAGTCCAAATATCAAGTCGAATCTCAACCGAGATAAATGTCAATTTTATACCTATATATTTTGTATAAATCTAATAAAATCATTGATATCTGTAATAAAATGGCTGCCAATGTTCTCTACAAAAGTTTGCACAATAACTAAAAAACGTTTGTTCATCATTGAAACCTGTCTAATACGATATGTGCTGGGGAATTTTGTGTCGGAATAGACAGGGTTTCGGATTGCTCAAATATATAGAAAAAAGTAAAATGGGGGAAGGGGGGATTGGAATTCACAGTGAAATGGATTGCACAGATTCATACAAGATGGTTACTAGTATACTGTATTGTCATATACATGTGATTGTAAAATTTTGAATTTATTCCCACGGTATTATAAATTTGTATTTACAGTCACCTGTTAAATTAAGAATGGCAGTATTATTGTAGGCTTACTCTCGATTTACATCAAATTTCCATTGCCTAACCGCTCCCCACACACTGACAGCTAGATTTAGAGCCCCTCCCCCTTCCTTTGTGACCCATAATTTAGCAAAGATGAATAAATCATTGGGGGGGGGGGTAGAGATATTCCTATTTTTTACAAAAAAATATGCAAAATAACTCACAAAACTAATCTTAAAAAACACCGAAAACCTGGGAGCTGGGTACCTGGGCGAGCCCCCACCAGAGCTTTGCCCAGGCCTCAAGACCATAACTGAGAACAGACTTAAATCGGAATTTTAATTTTTAATATCTCGAGTTTTATTTGATATATGTGTTTTAAAAATTGCAGGTTTGTATAATATTCATGATGAAAATTGTGTTTTATTATTAAAAATAATTTCAGAAGTTATATTTTAAAATTTTGACTTATGTCTGTTCTCAGTTTATGGTCTACGGGTCTGCTGGACCCACTGTGATGATTTTGCATCAGTTTGAATGTAAATACTATATAAAGGTTTCTTCCTCTACTATAAATACCCTAAAACCTTGAAAATAAGCCGCGGCTTATTTTAAGTTTTGGTAAGAAAATGGGGGCTTATTTTCAAAACCGTCTTATTTTCAAATCGCGGCTTATTATCAAAACCAAAAACCGGTAAGCGACGAGAGCATAATCACGGCTTATTATCTAAACAATAAATTATAATCGATCGATTTTGAACTGCCACATTTGGCCGAGTATAATATGCACGGCTATCGGACATACTGTAGCATAACCAACAGACATAGACAATTTCTTATTGTTTACCGCTATATTTAAAACCTTAGTAAATTATGATAAGAACGTAAACTTGTTGAAAATGTTAAATTTATAATCTGTTGAAGGTTAAATTATATTGGAAAGCGAGTTAAAATTAATTTTAGCTGCATATTCAAGCTGCCATATCACGATGTTATTTATAGACATTTACACATTCCTTTGCCAAGTGCTTGCGTAATGTATCAAATCAGTCTGACACTCGGTTTTCAAAAAAAAAAAGCAATTTATAAGTTTATTTTGATTTTAAATAACTCAGTGGATCATGTAAACAACCCCGTATACGTCCCAATTAAAGCCATTGTTGAGAAGGAGTGTACATGTTTGTTTAATAATTTTCTCATCACCCCTATTATCAATGGCTTTGATTATTTTCATTGTTATAATTGGGGTCGATTTATAACCTTCGTCCATTATAGTTTTTTAAAAAAAGAAATATAAATGTTGTTAAAACTTAATTATCAACATAACCCGAGCTCTGTTGAAAATAAGAGATTACCGCGATGCACACAGTCATGATTACTGTTGCTAAATAAAGATTTAAGTCGATTTTATAAAACTGAAGTTCAACAGTTTCTCGTGCATTGTTGATAAAAAATTATTTCTGCGAGGATAAAGACGACATGTAATGAATGTCAAGATTTCTGTGAGCTAATAAGAAAATAATAGTGCTTTAATATCTTGTGCTTTGTTGAATAAAATTATTTATGTCATAGAATGTTTATAATAAAATAAAATATATAGTAATTAAAAATAACACTGTGTTCTAAATGGAACTATCATTACCGGCTTATTTTCAAATCAGGCTTATTTTCGAGTAATTTTCATTGCAAGAAATAGGTGGCTTATTTTCAAAACCGGCTTATTATTAAATCCGGCTAATTTTCAAGGTTTTAGGGTATATACTTGTTTACCGTGATTGACCTTATGTATGATGACCACGAGTAACGTGAATTCCCAGTATTTATTTGCTCTGGTAAACATGATAAAAGTGTTCTATATTTTAGTCCTTGACAGATTTTATTTTTAAATGTACTTCTGCACTCGAATGAAAGTATTCAAACTAAGTTTACGGGTTTTGTTTTTCAGAGGAAGAGGTGATAGGAAAGGGAGAGGGAGCATATATAATGAATGATCCGTGTAAAATATTTAAAATTATCCATGTATGCGAATATTTTCATAGTCATGTAGAGTCAACATGTTCCGTGTCGTAATTATCAGAAATTTTTGTGTTGGTTTTCCAAATGACGAATATGTTAAAATTAATAGTTTTTTCGCACTGAAACTTTACCAACTCATATGAATTCGATTAAGTTTGCTGTTTATAAAAATTCAAAAAGCCTAATATTGTGAAAGGATAACTGCACTTAACGCTGGGTTTTGGGTCTTTTTACGTCGCTTCTGTTGCCTTTATATCTTAACCTTATTTCACTTTTGTATATTTACTAAAGATTTCTGTCAATTTGGCACCGAATTAAAATGTTAAACTGATATTAGACTGTAATACAATAAAGTAATTCTATGTTTTTTGTCCTTACTGCTTTCCAAATATAGAGAATTTACACTTACCTGCCCTTGATTAAACATTAGGTATGCTTGAGAGGTGGAGCTAATATTGTAAGAATGGCTCTAAAATTAGACTAGATAAATAACAATGACGTGTATAGAAATACGAGATTACTCTTTCTCATCTCCCCCTTTATTCTGTGTGGCACAAGTACATTATTTACAAAGGTTTCAAAACGAAATTAACAATATTAGCACGTCCATGTAAGTAAAGAATATTCTGAATTGATGCCTGACAATTCAACGTGTTCGAGCACGGTGTCCTATAGTTAGCACAAAACATGCTATCTTACAAGTCACGTGACGGAATTTAGTATTCACAAAGTTTACTGAGGTAAGAAATCATGTGGTGAAGTATAATATTCAACATGCCACAGCCCTTGGTTACAACAGAGAGAGTGAATGTAAGAAGAAGGAGTTTTTTCGCTTTTAAACTATGAGCGCATGTTTGTCTATTAATCTCCCTTTGACACAACATTATTAATGCAAATATACACCTACTGTTAAACGGAGAACAATAGACAAACATGCACTGACTATGTATAAAGTCAGTAAAAAAGTGGGCGTCCTCATTATCGTACGGAGATTCAAGAAATTGCGATGACCCCCGCCTTTGAAAACAGCTTCGTACTTCGTAAATACATACTTTTATTTAATGTAATTACGCAAAGTTGTAGATTAGATGTTGACCATTCCTGCAATTAAAAGAAAAATGCTTGTTTTGAAAGTTTATTTTGTCGCAATTTTCGCATGTCCTTAAGTGCAGTCATCCTTTATTTTTGATGTCCCCAAACCAAAAGATTTTTTTAATTTTTTCTTAATTTTGGAAAATTTCAACCAGTGTCTTGTGACTGACTTTTCACAGAGGACATTATTTCCAAATCAAGTATAATCTCAACCGAGATAAATGTAACATTTAGACCTGTACAAAAAAGAATTATCTGTGAAAAACCTGAAGCTCATGGAATCCAACACTCATGTGTCACATTGTAAATTCCTTCTCTCTGTGAACCGGAATGTAATTAATCACACCTTTTTTGACATGACCTAACTATGATCACTTGGTCCAAATCACTCTAGGAAATATCATCTCATGGAATAAAGGTTAACAGAAAATTGAAAATTTGTGTTTTAATTCAATCTACACAAACACACACACCCTCACACACACACACTATCCCCCACATCTCTCTCTCTCTCTCTCTCTCTCTCTCTCTCTATGCCAGTATTGGAAAACTAGGAATTTTTTTTAATCGATATAGAAATCATTGCTTTGACATTCTCAATTGCAATGTATGGAAACACATTCTCTAGAGAAATTTATATGATCAACAATAGTACATATTGTAATAAATATTGAATAATTCTTCAAATTTACACATTTGTTTGATTTAATTTCTTGGAACTTTAGCCCTACATATTTTTACTCGAAGATTTTTTTCGTTATTTAATGCTAGGAATATCTAATATAGGTTTCGGTTAATATTCTAAAAACAAACTTTACACATTCACTCAACAGACTTTGTCAAAAAATGAATACATATTAAAGAAGTGAATATGAATTGACCTTGTTTTTCACCTGAAATCGCAAATTTTAACCAGTATCTCAAAATTTACATCACTGAACTAAACTTTTTCTTGCATTTTATTGGCATGATACATTCAACAGATCGGCACTTAAGTCATACAAAAGCTTGATACAAGAAAATATTTTATTGCCTATCTAGATTTTTTAATAATGCTTTAATTCTTTATTAAACAACTTTAAGCCATACGGCCCATCAGTATACACAAAATTAACATAATTATGTACGCATAGCGAGAGTCTACGGGGGTGGAACCCCTAGTGTCCATCTGTCCGACTCCTCAACACCAACAATTACAGTAAGCATTAAACTCTCCATTTTACATGAAAAATATCTATACACAATATGCATATAAATTAAATTATTCATCATTTCTTAATATCATTGCATAAAAAATAAATTTCCCTAATCCAACTAAAACACCAACATCATGAGAGCTGAGTAACTGAGTAAGCTTGTACATATTTGGAGATCTGAAATAATATGGTTTGATATATTTTCTTCTTAAAGAATCATAAACAGGACATTCAAGCAAAAAATGATATTCATCTTCGATACGGTGATCATTACAAAATTGACATATTCTATTGCTTCTTTCTATTTTCTGATATCTTCCTGTTTCTATACTTAAGCTATGGGAAGAAAGCCTTATTCTATAGTAATATACTTCTTTAACTTAGAATGAATAGGTTTTGTCAAATATGCATGGATTTTGGAAAAATTGTCACACACAATGTGCTTATACAAGAAACGCTTTGTTGAATTTTCAAAAAAGGCATTACAATCTTGAAGGTAGATATCCAACAGATACCCCAATATGATTTTTTAAGTGCAAAAAAGGTTATACAATACTTTACGCGCATTTAAAATTTGCATAATATTTATTATTCAAATTATTTTACATACGATAAGGTAATAATTATTGCCACCTTTACATTTTGTAAAATACGATTAGATTAAAGCTAGTGATTAACCTAAAAGTTACAATTTTAGTACAAAAAGGTCAAGTTAATTGTACCATTGCTCAGTAAGATGCACACTGACCCCAATTTTCTTTGCAATTTTGAGTCATGCTATAGATGAATAGTTAATTATATAAAATGTACTTCTTAAAAATCCTTGATATAACTCATCTCACGAGTGACATACCTTAAGGTAAATATTTATTAAGTAGATCTAGAACTATTACTTTAATTTGAAATAATCCATGGAATAAGACCGCAAAACATTACGTCATTTCAATCTGTTACAGTCAAAATGTTTAATGATAGACAATGAAATGGGCGGGTACAATTCGACACGGACGTCCGAGAAAACATTGGATTGAAATTCTAGTATGAAATTTATTTTCAATCCACCTGAGCTGTTTTCAAACCTACTGTGTGAATGTATGATCCAGAAGACAAATAATTTCAATTCTCAAATACATGTTGTGTGAAATTCATATTTACATGTCAGAGTTTTTAGCCTATAATTTTAAAGTACATGTAAAAGTAATAGAAGAGATTATTTTTTCAGGGGACAGCCATTTGATTCTAGAAGGGGGGAGGGGCTGTCAAAAACTGTAAAGTGAGATCATGCCTTCACGTGACAGAATATGTTTATTTCTAGGATGACAAGAGTTTTTTTTTTTTAGTTTTGTCTTCACTGAAAAATGTTTGACAACAAAAACATATGGAAGGGTTGTCCAAACTAAAAGAAAACTTTCTTATTCATTTCCAAGATCCCCCCCCCCCCAGCACACATATTAAACAGAAATCAAATATTTGTCCCATTATATTTCTTTAAAAACGTAACACTGGACAAAAAATTCTCATTTATATAAATTTCAAACTTCAAACTATTCCGAAATAAGCCCTTTTTGCTTAACTGCGGGATTAAATATCGCGCATGCGCTGAAGTACCATGGGGTGGCAAAAAGAATCATGGTGAAAAGTTGTTGTGTTGTTGGGTGTACTAACCGAGCCACAAAGGACTGTAAGGTGTCGTTTTTTAAGTTTCCTGCAAATAAAACGAAAAGGCGAGCATGGGTTAATGCTGTTAACAGGAAAGGCTGGTTGCCTAACAGCAGCAGCAGGATATGCAGTGAACATTTCGAGACGGGTTGGCACTCGGATGACCGTGAAGACCGTAATTACAGGCCGACATTATTTTCTTATAAGTGTACAAAGGAACAAAACAGTGAAAGATTTACAAGAGCATTCAGGAGAAATCTGACAAAGGTATGATAATTTGTATTATATAATACGAATATCTTATTTCAACATGCATTACAAACATGTCAACCCGAGATTCCTCTGTTGTCTACCTTATACCCATTAATTTGACGTGACATTTAGCCTGATTTGAGCTGGTCGCAATTCCAGGCTAAATACGTCTTATTGTACCAAATTTATTTATTAAAGTCTATTAAGATTAAATATTTCATCCCATTTCAAATATGTACAAGTCACTGCAAGTCATTTAATATTCATTAATGTGCTAATTTTTCTGGTTATTTAGATTTTCCTGGTGTAAATATGGCACAGTTACTTATTTGTTTTAGATTAGTGATTTGATTAATTGAAACTGTCCTCTTAACAATAGTGCAACTGTCAAACTGTTAAATAATTGAAATATTCAGTGTGCAGTTGCTATTTGTTTTGAAAAGTTTCACAAGCTACCCCATCTTTGCTGGTCAAAGTATGCTGGTCATTTATATGGGGAACCTGGATTCTACTAGTGCCATAAAGTAAGATCTATCCATATACGTTAAATTTGCTGGTTAAATTTGATGGAAAGAAGCACTTATCATATTTATATAACTGCACAGCCGTATTATACATTTAGTGTAGTACATATTTTGTTTGTCAAAATGTGCATTTACTTTGTATATCTGTGTTTAATGAAAAAATATTTAAATTTAAGGAATAAAGCATAAACAATTAACATGAGGTTTATCTTTTGTTTTCGAAGCTTAGAGTTAATTTTATTTGTAATATTATTGTTAGATGTAATTGATTTTTTCCCCTAGACTTTTGAGGAAGCAGCTGCAAAACAAGAACATTTAGAGAGAACCAGACTAGAGGCATCCATAAGAATGCATAGCTACAGTGTCCCTGAAGAGCAGCAGGCATCTCCAGGGAAATTGTACAATGTAAATGTATTTCATGAAGATGATGACATTGACATAGGTGTAGTCCTTACAGCTGATGAAGGTTTGGACTGTTTATTTTCCCAAAAGTATTTGCTTTGAAGTTAACTTATTTCTAAGTATTGAATTATTTTTTGAAAGATATAGTCCCATAACTGCAACAAGTTGAGCAACATGCATTAGTGTGTTATGAAAATTTGTTTGCTCACACCGCGTTGCTGTTATGAGACAATGTCTTTAAAAAGAAAATGATTCAATGTTTATATTTACATTTGTAACTCCTTGTCTTGTGTGCAAACATGATTTTCACTTCAAAACTCCTGTATTATCCTTTCGCTAAGTTACAATTAATGGAAGACTTAGAGCAATTGCAATCTTTTCAATCTGAGTGTGATTTTTAATTTTTGCTTAAATGATATTGCACTTGCATGGCCTTCAACATTTTTAACGTTAAAATAAAATGCATACTTTAATCTTTTGACCCCGTGTCCTGGTTATGGTATTTTGAATGTCACAGCTTTGCACACACTTTATAAGCAAACAGCATGTGGAATGTAAATACAGATGAACTTTGGTATCTCGAACACTGATATCTCGAATACCATGGATATGTCGAAGTGATTTGGAAGTCCCAACCCCTTATTGTTTAAGTATTTTACCCTGGAAATCTTGAATCCTCGGATATCTCAAAGTTTTTCCTCGGTCCCATTGAGTTTGATATAACAAGGGTTGACTGTATTACATTTTGAATACCAAAATTGATGTTGACTTTTTATTATGATGCTTTAATGGCAGGTAGCTGCAGTTAATAAAATCAACATGCTCCTCCTCACACACACAAAAGATACTTATGTTTTAATGTGATGGAGACCAATTGCAATGTATAGTCATTAATAGGTTCACAGTGTGACACTGATCCTCTTCTCCAAGAGAATGCCTTGTTGAAGGAGGAAAACATGCTTCTGAAGGAAAAGCTGCATAAACTACAATGGGGTGTAAACAAAATTAAAGATGATGATGTTGCAACAAGATTCTACACTGGGTTGCCCAGCTTCCCTGTTTTCCTCTGGCTGTACAAGTACAGTATTTTTAGGTCACCTGAGTTGAAAGCTCATGTGAGCTTTTCTGATCACCCATGATCACCCATTGTCCGTCGTCCGTCCGTCTGTAAACTTTTCATATTTCCAACTTCTCAAGAACCGCTGGGTCAATTTTAAGCAAAGTTGGTACAAAGCATCCTTGGGTAAAGGGGAGTGTAAATTGTTAAAATGAAGGGCCAAGCCCCCTTACAAGGAAGATAATCAAGAAAAGACAAAAATAGGGTGGGGTCATTAAAAAATCTTCTCAAGAACAGCTGGGCCAGAAAAGCTGAAACTTATATGGAAGCATCCTGGGGTAGTGTAGATTCTAAATTGTTCAAATCATGACCCCGGGGGTAAGGTGGGGCAACAATAGGTATTACAAGGGTGGAAATCTGGTGAAGAAGATCAAGGCCAAAGTTAATCAGGTGAGTGTTGTGGCCCATGGGCCTCTTGTTTTTATATGTATTAAATGAGCATCCTACATTTCATACAAAGACATGTAATATCAAATAAAATAGAAAAAGAATAAAAAAAAACTTTTGTGCAAGGTTGAAGGTACATGTATCATCTTAAGATTAGAACAGAAAAATGCATGTGCACAAGGGAGCTAATTCCTGAGTACTGTAGAATCAGAAATATTTGTTGGGGATTTAATTTCATTTATTTCTTTGTTAACAATAATCAACGAAATTAAATCCCACAAGAAATTTTATATGACTATATGATGAGTAGGAGTACATTCGTAACAACAAATTTTAATGCACACGAAACCCTTTTAGATGGCAAATCAACAAAATTTTATCCCCATGAAAATTTGTGCTTCTACAGTATATTCCATAATGAATGGACATTCAATTCTCTTTTGCAGTTTCCTACTTCCTAAGGCAAGATCTATGACCTATTGGATTGGTGAAGGTACGTCAGAGACAGGAAGGCAGAGGCCAAACAAAAGTACTCTCCCTCTCATTGATCAGTTGCTGGCCGTTCTTATGCGTCTGAAGGTTGGGCTTTTAGTAACTGATATTGCTGAACGGTTCGGAATCTCAACATCAAGATTTTCTTCTTTTTTCACGACATGGATTTGTCTTCTTCATGCTGAGCTCTGTGCTCTGAATAAGTTTCCCTCAAGAGAAAAAATTGCATCTTGTTTGCCTGAATGCATGAAAAAGTTTCCAAATTTAAGAGTAATTCTTGACTGTACTGAAATATATATTCAGAAATCATCAAGTTTAGTTAACCAGAATTTAACTTTTTCAAATTATAAACATCATACAACAATGAAGTTTTTGATAGGAATTTCACCTGCTGGAGTAATTTCTTTTGTGTCAAATGCATGGGGTGGGAAAACTTCAGACAGACAGATGGTTATTGATAGTGGGTTTTTGGATTTATTAGAACCAGGAGACAATGTAATGGCCGATAAAGGTTTTACAATTAGAGATTTACTGCAAGAAAGAGGTTGTACTTTAAATATTCCACCATTTAACACCAAAGGACAATTTTCAGTTGATGAAATCCTGTACACACAAGAAATTGCAAAAGTTCGCATTCATGTTGAGAGAAGTATAGGTAGGATTAAATGTTTTCATATTTTTGATGGTGTGATGCCACTTTCACTTGCACCTCTGTTAAATCAAATGTTTCAAGTTGCCAGTTTCTTGACAAATCTTGATGTTCCACTTATTGAAAATTAAATGTACAAAGAGATTTCTAGTCACTCTATAAAATGCCAGTTTTGTAGCTCACCCTGATGAAATAGAGATGAGAGTATCTATTAGTTAGGTAGATGCTTGGAAGGTAAGTTTGGAGGTATATTGGGTCCTTGAAAAAATGTATTTGGGAGGCATAAGCTGTTTACATGTTTTATGTCTGGCAGGCATAAGCTGTTTACATGTTTTATGTCTGGCTTTTTATTGAAAGTCATAGAATTTTACCTTTGTAAACTCCAAACCACCTTTAATAACCACTTTACCTATACATGTAAATAGAGAATTGAAGAATGAATCAATTTTTTTTCTCTTTTTTTTTTTTATCATGTAGATGCAATTTGCAAGCCCTGTTTTTGGACAAATAATGGTTGTAAAATGCACATGTTCATGTACATTAGGTCACATGAAATATATTGTCAACAGTTATTAGTTTTAAGTAAAGCTTTTGTATATAATGTCTACTATTCTGAAATCTATGAAAAGAAAAGAATATCTGTAGAAAGAGTTTATATATTTTTAAATGTTTCTGTTTCTTTTCAAAATAGAATTTAAACTTCATATATGTTACAGAAAATGCATTAAAATCAAAGAATACAAGATTCTGGGATTAAAATAAACTGTTTCGCTTATATTTTCTGGTCTTAAATAAATCAGATAGTTTCAGTACAAATGTTTGCAGTTAACATGAAAAAAATTAATTATTTAGGAATGAATTTAATAAGGTGGGTTGGGGCAGTTTAAGCTTTATAAACCGCGAAGCGATTTATAAAACAGCATAAACTGTTCCTACCCACTTTATACGGTAACCGTATAAATTGGGTAGCTATGAATTTCATTCCTTATATTTTAATTTTCTTTCATTTAGTGTAAGAAAAAAGATGATTGCCCTTAAAAAATTACTTCAAATTGTACAAAATTTAAATGTAACGTCAGGTGGAATGATATGTTTTTGACACAAGTCATTGTGATATAGGCAACCCATTTTATACAATATAAAGTAAATTTTTTATGCCCCGGGATCGAAAGATCCCGGGGGTATATTGTTTTTGTCATGTCTGTCTGTTTGTTTGTTTGTCTGTCTGTCTGTTGTCAACTTTAACCTTGCCCATAACTTTTGATTGGTTGGAGCTATGACTTTCATATTTCGCATGTGTATTCCTTGTGACAAGACCTTTCTTTATGTACCATCATATTTGACCTTTTGACCTTGACCTTGGAGTTTGACCCACTTTTGCAAAATTTTATGAGACTTTAACCTTGGCCATAATTTCTGAACAGTTGGTGCTTGGGGTTTTAGACTTCACATGTGTATTCCTTGAGACAAGGCCTTCCTATGGATACCAACAACTTTGACCTTGGAATTTGACCTACTTTTGAAAAACTTTAACCTTGGCCATAACTTTTGAACAGTTGGTGCTTGGGGTTTCAAACTTCACATGTATATTCCTTGTGACAAGACCTTCCTCTGGATATCAATCTCTTTGACCCTTTGACCTTGACCTAGGAGTTTGACCTACTTTCGAAAAACTTTAACCTTGGTCATAACTTTTTAATGGTTGTTGCTAGGGTTTTCATACTTCACATACTTATGTAATTCTTGTGACAAGACCTTCCTTTGATACCAACAACTTTGACCTTGATTTTGACGTTTTACTTACTTTTAAAAAACTTTAACCTTCGCTATAACTTTTGAACAGTTGCAGCTAGGGCTTTCAAATTTCACAAGTATGTTCCTCGAGACAAGACCTTTCTTTAGGTACCAACATTTTTTATCTTTTGGCCTGGATTTTGACTTGCATTTGAGAAACTTTAACCTTCGCCATAAGCTGCCGTACAGGGGCATCAGTGTTTCACAAACACATCTTGTTTATCCAATCAATTTCCGCATTATATCCAGCATTAAATTATACATGTATGTGGATCAATTATGTTCAGGCCCATGGGCCACTTATTCAACATCTTTAAGATGGGGTATTATATGTTTCCCATAGAATTCGTGAAGTTTTGAAATCATACTGGAAACGTAAGTGGAGTCAAAATGAATCCTTTCAATGTAAACATTGCTTTTAGTAGCGGCAGTCCAAATAACGAAGTCAGACCATGGTAAGCCTAAAACAGCCATCTCCCCTTGCACCTGAGCATAATACTTATGTTTACAGCTTAATTTTGCTTTCCCATTTTTCACTTCCATGAAATCCAGATGATCGTATAGCTCGTGCACTTCCTTACTGACAATGACTTTGCCATTAAGTGAATATGGACACTTGATCTCCAGGACACCTTCCTGAGAGCCCTCTGGCATACTCTTGTCCAGGATTTTGCCATCCCCAGATGCTCCAATAAATGGACATAATGCTAGTAAAGTCAAACCAAGTGGTTGGACAGAAACATCTGCAACTCTCCTCACAAGTTCTAAGTAATCCTGCCTGGCCATCTCCTCATGGTCAATTCCCCACTGGACTGCAGGTGGCATTGACGGGTACCTGTTATTAGGTTGTTATTAGCTCACCTGAGCCGAAGGCTCAAGTGAGCTTTTCTGATCAAAATTTGTCCGTTGTCTGTCGGCGGCGGCGTTGTTGTTGTTGTCGTTGTAAACTTTTCACAATTTCTTCTTCTTCTCCAGAACTACTAGGCCAATTTCAACCAAACTTGGCACAGAGTATCCTTGGGTGAAGGGAATTCAAGTTTGTTCAAACAAAGGGCCACGCCTTCTTCCAAGGGGAGATAATCATGAATTCATGAAAAATTAATGGCATCATTTAAAAATCTTCTTTGCAAGAACCACTGTGCTTGAAAATATGAAACTTATATGGAAGCATCCTCAGGTAGTGTAGATTCAAGTTTGTTCAAATCATGACACCCGGGGGTAGGATGGGGCCACAATGGGCGATCAAAGTTTTACATAAAATGCATAGGAAAAATTTGTAAAAACCTTTCTCTCAAGAACAGCAAAGCCATGATTGGTTTTTTTTATGGGTGCATCCTCAGGTAGTGTAGATTCAAATTTGTTTAAATCATGACCCCCCAGGGGTAGGGTGGGACCACTATGGGTGATTAAAGTTTTACATAGGAATACATAAGAAAAAGCAAGCCTTTTAAAATCTTCTTCTGCAAAGCAATAATTAGTCATATATAAATGCAAGCATCCTCAGGTAATGTAGATTCAAATTGTTATACAAAGGAATACATATGATATATCAATAAAAATTGTCTTTCTAAGAACAGCATAGCCATTATTTGTCATATTAATTCAAAAGCATCCCTTTGAAGTATAGATTCAAGTTCAAATTAACACCCCCCCCCCCCCTCTGAACCACTTTTATATCAAAACTTTTCAAGACTGAACTGATTTCTGCTTTTTCCTAGCCAGAGTGCTCAGGTGAGCGATGTGGCCCCTGGGCCTCTTATTTTTAAATGTCATATATATGCAGTATAATATTGAAATTACTAACAGGTCCAGCTGAACTCTAACATATTTTGCAAGGAAAAGGAGGGTAAGAAAAATTGTATGTAAAAAATGTTTTCTAAAGAGGTTAGTCAAATTATTATTCAAAATTCTAATTTTCTGTTCTTTGGTTTACCTGATAGGCAACAGGATTTGTCTGTATATTTAGAATGTAAAATTAAGTAAGAATGCTCTAAAGTTTAATTTTAATTTTTCTGCAGAAAATGAATCATACCGTTGAAGACTGGAACCATGGAGAATTCCAGAGATGAGGCTCCTAGGATGTTCTCCTGCCCTGATAATGTCTCCAAAGATTGAGGAAGTTAAGCGACCCTTATGGAGTGATATCCATTCTGGACTATTGCGCTGTGATCTGGTTCTCATCTCCACAAAGGACGATAACTCCTCACTGATTGGTTGCAGAATGTTAGCTGAAAGGTTTTAGAATACTGAAAATCATTTTGAAGTACATGCATTGTTTTATCAAAATTTTGATTGAAGAAATTGGCAATAAAATTTTAGTGATCAGAAGAAATTGAGTATACCATGCAGAGATTCAGACAAATCCACCAACTTTTGCAAATCAGTCTCTAGAGGATTCACGTAAGAAGTCACTGTTACTTCACTCACTGGGGTTGGTGTTCTTTCCGGAATATCCCATATACATGCCATTCCTGAATACAAGAAAAAAGAATATGAGTTAACCTTTTACTTTGAATTATTGTCTCCAATATCCCCTAATCTAAATGTGCAGTAGTAATTACCTGTGTTGGGAAAAACATCCCTCAATGCTTGGAGAGCACTTAAATCTGTGTCCCTGTGATCTGGGTGTCTTGGATCAAACTGTATAGTTTTTTTAATTGGTTGATCTCCACCGCTTGCTGAAATTTGTCAGAAACATTTATATCTTAATCCTGATTTAAATTTCTGCAGCTGCTGTCATTCATGGCTGCAATTACCATAGTTACCATAGTTACTTTACCTATTGAACCTGCTTTTCTTAAATTCATCTCGGATAAGGGTGCTGCAGGAAGATTCAGTTGTCTGGGCACATTCCATTTACAGAGTTTTGATGTACAGGAATTTTCTGCTTCTTTCTTGATAGAATTAAGGGCAAAAAGAAGGCTCCCAATGTGACTGCATGACTGAGCCAACCTAAAAGTAATGTGACAATTGTAGTACTTTTTTTTCAAATTTATGTAACAAGTTAATGTCTATTTCTATTTTTTGTGCTATAAATAAAATACTGAGTAATGATTTTTTTTATACATCATTCATATGCAATATAAAATCAGAATGTGAAGGGACAATGGTTCATATTCCTCAAGCAGGAAGCAATTAATCGCTCTGATTATTAAGTTGTGGAACTTGTAGTTTTGATAGTTAAGTACCATTATATATAAGGTGTTTATACTTGTATGACTTATACATACACTGAGTATATATACACAGGGCTTGAACATTACGATATCTGATACATGTATATTAAATGTAATTCCTACCCTATAGGACACTGACAGTAAGCATGGTTAATTGTCATTTCCCCCTCCAGACATCTAGCAGATATGAAAATCTGATATTTAATTTTCTTCATAGATGCAAGGCAGAATGCCTTGAAGTATATGGTTGAGTCATTCACCTGAAAAAAAGTATATTACAAACATGTAAAAGAGATATCATAATATGGACGAAAGTAGTTTCACTTTTTTTTTTTTTTTAAAAATTGAAATTTAAAATACAATTATGTTTCCCCTGATTATTGTACTGCTTGGTAATTTCTTATTTTAATTTTGCCAACCTTATTATTATTATTTTTTTTAAAAATAGTTTTGCTACCGTCACAAAATAAAGATTACCTTGGCCATGAGGATTTCCTTCACATCTCCTGCCTCAAAATGTTTTGCAGCACGATCTAGACCACGAAAATTTTGGACTGCACGGCCTTGTACCTGGCGATCGACCATAAAGCGGACAATCGCCGAGAATGGTAGATCAGGTATCGCCTCCGCATCTAACGATACATACTGTACCTCGGTAAAATGGGGCGTATCTAAAGGACTACCCTCGAAATGGATAGGGACATTAAGGTTTAAGATGGAGTTGATTATTTCCTCTTTTGTCTTTTTTTCAAAAACCACTCCCAACTCCTCTGCTAACCGCTGTAAGGAATTTTTTTTAAGTTTGTTTAAACTTTCCCGGGTCGCCATCTTACTCTATGTAAACATTGCCGTAACCAAGGCTTTGCCGGAAATTAGTTACGTATGCACAGTCATATTATTGGAAATTAGAGAAAAAAACAGTCTCATGAAAAAATATAGAATTTATTATCGTAATATTTTACTAAAATAATCTGTAGCAAAACTTTTATTCATGTTAATGTCAAAGTACACGTGAATTTATGCCACTCTCTATTTTGCCACCCCATGAGCGTTATGTGCATGCGTGCATATTATCTTGAAAGATATGACGTAGTTTATCAAAGTCATGTGACCATGTGTCCTTCATCCCCTTAAGTCTATTATCAGTTTATGGTCTTAGGGCCTGATTGACCCAAAACGTGTAAAGCATCAGTTCTTGTAAAAAAAAATTGACAATTTTTTTTCTTTAATTACCATCTTATATTAAAAAAATAAAAAGTATAACATTCTTGTAAACATTAACAAATTATGAAAAAAGATTGATCCACTCCTCTGTTTCTTTAAACTGTGCGTCCAACAAGTCGGTGACGTCATACACGATCTGCTAGTACAGCAAGATCATACTCGGTGAATACAAGGGCGGTATTATTATGTAAAAACAGGTCACAATAAGTATATGATGAAGTATTTTGAGAAACGGGGAACACAAAAATTATTTTTGCATGGCTGATGACGGAAATCTTATGTAGGTATATCTTATTTCGCTTATTTAGCTTACGTGTGACGTCATAGTTGGTTTTTCCCGTACTCGAGAAATGTAAACATGACAAGTTTTTGTCCTGCTTATGTCGTCTTTAACGATGTCCTGTGCAATATTGAAGTCAGCTTCACCATTCGAAATTTTTACAGTTAATCAATAATTTGAAGGACTTGCATTTCAACGTAAATTTAAAAATATTGAATGATAGGATTTTTTGTAAATTACGTTTTTTGTTGTTTAAGTTGTCTTAAAAAGTTCGTAATTTTCCTTATCCAGATGCTGTGTGATAGATGAAACTTGCCTTTTCGAATTTTAAACCCAATTCATACTCTGAAATATTTTAAAAGATACATGTTCACTTACATATTTTTTATATATGCTTTAAAAATCCAATTATGGACAGAGTAATGAGCCCGGAAACATGGAGAATTAAAACTCCACTTAGATACTGTAGGGCATTATATTTGTCAACCAATATCTCTAAAATAAGGTAAGAAACCTAATGATATAACTGCTTTAAGATATGTGGGACATACTTAATAAGAAATATACAAAATATAAAAAAAAATTGAATGACAAGTATTTTTTCAGCTAAAGGTCCTTCTTCCCCTTAAGTCAAAATTTCAATTTTTAATATTTTGAGTTATATATGTAATGTATTTGCTTAAAAAAAATTGCAATTTTATATAACATTTCAATTCAAATATATGATAAAAAGTTTGTTTTATTATCAAAATTATTTCAAAAGTTATATTGGTTTGAAATTTTGACTTAAGTCTGTTCTCAGTTTATGGTCTTGGGGCCAGTAACATCGTGCGTTCTAGAGAAGCTAAGGTATTTCAAACTAGAATTTCAATCCAATGATTTCTCGGACGTCCGTGTCGAATATTGTACCCGCCCATTTCATTGTCTATCATTAAATGTTTTGACAGTAACAGATGGGAATGACGTAAGCTGCGTATTTCTAATTTTGGCAGTTAATGATCCCAGGTCTTATCATGTTTTTAACTTTATATAAAAAATCTTGACGCGATCCCTTGCAGAGGTGTCTGAGAGAGGAACGAATGACATCTCTGCGACAGGAAATCGGGATCGAGATCCCATTAAATTTAATCAAACACCGAGGAAATGCAGGCTGAGAACATGGAATTAGAGAACGAAGTGTCTGAGTCAACTACTCGGACAAGAGATAGCCAAGACTGGTTGTATCCAGAACTCTTGTCCGAGGAAAAACTTGTACAGATTCTCAGACAGGTTAGAGCACAGACATAAAATACATAGCATGGTTAAATATATCGATACATGCAGTTCAGGAACCTGCGGTGCTCCACATGTACTTGGGTCTTGGCTTATAAATAAGTATACCTGTTGATATAGGTATACATGTATATAAACAAGGACCCAATTACCCGTGTGGTGCTCTAGTGACTGCATTTGACATCTATATATTTAAACTATACCATACAATAATTTATCACACGCCATATGGCATATGGTTTAAAAATATGTAGTACCTTATTGATATGTAAAAAAAGTACTTTTTTTACATATCAATAAGGTACATATATATATTTATAAACCAAGACCCAAGTACCTGTGCGCATGTGCATGTGGCGTGTAATAAATTTGTACCGTGTTTGTTTAAATCTCTTTTTTTCCTATTAAGAAATCTATTACAAATTTTGGTAAATCAATGCATATTGACTTTGCATGCATGCAGTTACCATGCATCTTGAAGTGTACCAAATTCTTGAGGGTGGGATGATATCCCAAATGAGATATAAAGTTGAAAAGTGTTTTTAAACATCATATTAGTGCAGTAAATTGGATGTTGAATTTTCACACTGAGAATGTAGAACCTGCTTACTGCAGACAGTGACTGTTTGTGTCTGCTACAAATGTACTACATGTAGGTTAACTTAAAGTCTAGATGAGAACTCCAGTAAGTTAACATGAATCTCAGAGTGTTCTAGAGGGATGGGATAGGATATTTTCTTCCTGACAAAGATACTCAGTATTTTATTTTCACAGTTATGTGAGTGCCTGGATCAATCAGATATGACACCTTTTACAGAATTATAATGATTGAAGTATAATAATAGTATATAGCTCCCTGGTTGTATAATGTGTAATGTTTAAACATAATTTACTACCTTTCCACTTCAATTACAAAATAAATATGTAATTGAACAATTTAAAGTTGTTCATTACTTGCATTATGTTAAAATGTGGTACATTACCTTCTGAGATGTAAATAAGTACATGTACATGTATTTGTAAATGCATGCATGGGTAAGAATTTGTATTGAGAAGGTTATATTCAATTTCAATTTTTTTTCTGTCAGCTTTTTCTTTGTTAACAGAGATATATCAGACACACAGATTTAACACAACTAGCCAAAGAACAGTTGGTTGATCTGTACTATAAATACATCATCCCTCTGCCCCAGAGAACCTACAGGAACAACCGCCGGGGACGGGAAATGACAAAAAGACAGATTGTTCAGGCAAAGAAAAGAAAGAGCAGTCTGACTGAAGTTGGGAGTCCTGATAAAAAGTACACGATTAGTGTTGTTGCTTGTTATGTGAAAAGTGAAATACATGTACCCGTGTTCACAGTATATAATTCATTAACATCATGTCAATAAGATGTGCCCTCTTCTTACCGATGAGCAAATTTAGTACTAAAACTAAAATTTCAGATTCTGTAGCTGATCTTTTATTGAAATTTTAAGTGATAGACACTTTGAAATGTTTAATAGATATTTTGTGTATATACCTCTGAAGTATGTAACATTATACACAATATCATGTATTAATATTTGTAGGAAGGTGAAGAGTGTGGGCAGTGAATCTCGTTTCCTGACCTCCTTTAACCTTCCGTCATCAGGCTCAGGGGAACGGATCAAGCCACCCCCGTCATGTATTAACTTTGAAAAGAAAAAGATCAAGCTTAGCTCTAGCAGCACTTCATCCAAAGCAGGAACAGTGACAAAATTATCAGAGGAGAAGACAAAAACATCTATAAAACTAAAGCAAAATGGAGGTAATTCAGAAAAGATTGACAATTCAGAATCAACCAAAGCAACAGAACATACAAAGTCAACGTCCTCTCCAGAGAAGAGGACTATTAAACTGATAAATAACTTGTCTTTATCAACATCAGAAGCAGATGTCAAGAAAAGTAAAGTAATTAAAGATAATGCGCAAGAAGAAAAAACTCAAGACAAACAAGAGGCAATGGTAAGTTCCAATTAGTACTTGTCAAGATTTTATGTAGTTTATAATCTTTTCTTAATAAACTGAGGAAAGGAAATTTTTAATAAATTTATATTTAATATTCATTTACAATGTATAACATGTTATGATAAAATATACTTTAAATATTCAGTTTGCAGTATTGTCAAAATTATACCTGTCTAACCACATAAATATGTGGAATCTGGATAGGGCCAAGAAATTCACTATCATACCATCGAGCATTGACTAGAGGGTTGATTGGGCAATAATGCAATGGCTTGATGATGATGATGGTGCAATGACAATGATGCAATAGTGTGATGACAATGATGCAATGGTGGGACAATGCCATGCCATAGCATGATGGAGCGATCATCACACCATCGTTTCATCGCTATAGCACCATTGCATCATCGAGATATGCACCATCATGCCATTGTCGCATCATTCTGCCATCGCATCATTGTCATCACACCATTGCTTCATTGTCATTGCATTATCGCATCATCCACCAAAATCTCGATGGTGTGATGATGCGATAGTGAACTACATAGCCCTATCTGGATTCCATAGAAAAGTAAATTTATGTAATATTGGGCAAGTGTCTCCTTCACAGGAATATTCAATATCAATTTTGAAAAGACACCAGTCACTAAATTTTTATCCTGTTTAAAAATAAACTTATTCTTGTAATTTTAAATGATGACAAAAAAAAAACCATCAGGTGAAAGTTTTATTTAAATCAAATTATTTTTGTAGCAAATCTGAATAAACTCTGATTAAATAAGTTTGAGTGTGAAACTACAGTAAACTCTGTTATATGGAAATAACTGGTACTTGGTTCCTCATAACAGAGATTCTTTATATCTGTATAAAGAACATAGTGCAAAGTCTGCTATGGGATTCAAAAAAATTTCTTTCATAACCGAGATTTCCTTATAAGCGAGTTCTTTGTAACCGAGTTTTACTGTTTTGGGACTTTTTAAACAATGTATTATTGACTTTCAGTAAGCCAAATACTGTACTTTTGGCCAATGTATTTTTTGAGAGGACATTTTAAGTGTACTATATCTGTTTTTTATTGTTATTTATCTATTGTTACTACAATTTTTTATTTGTTATATTTTTTGGTTTCCAGGACACTTCCTCTGAGAGCTCCTCAAAGAAAACTTTTAAAATGAAGAAGGTTTCATGGCCTTGAAATGAACATTCAGTAATTAATGATATATTTTAGTTTAAAATGGATAAATTGAACAATGAATTAAAATGATTACATGTAAATTATGATTACGTTGTAGCTTTTATTTAATATTTTCTAAAAATGAAAATAAATGTTGACATGGAGATATTCAGAATATACTACACAATTAGTGATCAGTCTTTCATGCCTGTCCATCTGAGTGTGTATGGCTATTTACTGGTATGGAAATGATTTTCTCTCCTCTTGGTCCTACTTGGTTTATACTTCATCTACAGAGTGTCGTGAAGTAAAGGATATACAGGGACCTTGTTACATTGTTTCAAACATTACAAGTTTCTAAATGTCAGGGTCAAATCAGGTTTCTGCATAAAATTTTTGTTCAGTGCCTATTTTTTTCTTCTTGTGATCCAATCTGGTTATTAAACACTTCTGTTTATAAGTGACTTAAGAAAAGGATGAACGGTGACCTTGAAGCAATTTGAGGTCAGAGATAAAGGATAAAACAGTTCTTTTTGTGAAATCATTGTTTCTAACCTTTGTCCAGATTTTAACATAGTAAACTTAGTCTACATATTCCAGATCAAGGTCAAAAGAAGCCTCTATATATGCAGAGTCCTTGTCCAAAACATGCTTTCTGCCCTTGGTCAAGTTTCATTCACAGTTAATCCATAGAGTGTCATAAATTTATCAGGGTTTGAACAAGGCAATGACTAAAACAGATTTTGTGTAAAATACCCACAAGAGATGATTCACGGAAATAGAATTCTGTAATTTATTTACTCAATGAGATTTAAATTAAACTTGGGGATAACACATTTTTTTCTTTTTACCTTTTGAAAAAAGTACAAGATGCAATGCTTTTCCTAACACAAGTACAAAAACTTTCTGAGTTTAAAAAGTATTCAGTTACAGTCCTTTACAAGCCTGTTTTGCCTACAAATGTTCCTTACATTTACATAAGTGGGACCATCAGAGATGTTAAATTTTGTCTTTAAAATCTTAAATATATTTGTTGTTCATTGCATTTAGTATTAAGACACTAAATGAAATTATTTTTGTATGCTAAAACATAGTCTAAATGAAATCTATATGTTTCCTCTCCTAAACTCTGTATTCACTGACTTTTATTTTTAAAGTTAACATTTCCAAAAATGATGAAACATTTATAAAATTCAATTCAACACGTTCATTTCATATCAATATCAACTTTGTGAATAAGTGATCTGATAAATAATAATAAACATGTCAAACCAGATCAAGCTATCATGAAAAATAAGAAATATTTATCTTATAATCATAGGGGGAAATTGGATGGATTTTACAGAGTTATGCCCCTTTTCATAGTCATTTCTGTTACAGTAGGTAATTAAATCATGCCAAAACATGTTTCCCTTCATTAGATTTTTTTCTTTACTTTTTACTACATATATTTCAAATATATCTGAACTTATTTGATTTACAAAAAAAATGTCTGTTGCAGTTAGTTTGAGGTTGAGCCTTAATTATTTGCTAGAATGACTTAGGCTACATGCACATTATATCATGTTAAGGTTAACAGTTGCTGGTACATTGTATCTTGTGAAGGTTAACATGTTGATCCTTTCTGTCCCATTTGAAGGAAAAAAGAGAAAATGTCACCCTAAAAAAAAAAAACAGGAGGGGGATGCTACAAGTCCAAATACATTTTTTTTTTGGTTTAACTATTTAATAAGTTCAAATCAGTAGAGGTACAGTCTAATCAGAGATCCTAGCTTAGTTGTGTTCTACAGAAATAGAGAAGGAACAGCTAGTAAATTAAATTTAAAAAAAAAAATCAAGTTTTGAAGCATTGTAGTTCATTAACTGAGGATACTTTAATAAACTATCACCTAACATGTATTTTTTTAATATTTAATTTAATCTGAAAATGTAAGTCCATCAGTGCTGTATATTAACTTTTAAATCTAATTTGGTTGAATCACACCATCCCTGTGGTGACATTAGTAACTAAAATTTCAGTGGATATTTTTGTTTGGATGATGTTGACACTCGATATTGATCAATATAATGTAGTAGATGGTGTAAACATTGACTTATAATCCCCCCTAGGTTAATTGTTTAATCATTGTAATTATGACAAAATGCCAAGGATGTTGCAACTTTACCCTACTGACTTCATGTCATAATTTTAAAATTCATTATTGATGCATGCACATTCCCCCAACTCTACTTCGAAAAACCCCTTGGCATATTAGTCCAACAGCTGTTAATATCAATCACTGATCGTAATAATTTCTCAACATTTAATAAAAAAGGCAACATTAACAAAGAATTGTACAGTTAGACAACATTAACAGAGAAACGTGTTGTTATTTTGCAATCTCAATAAACCGAATGGATAATGTTTAAGATGGTATCTATAAACTCTTAAATAACAATATGTATAATTTAACGATATTTCATTAAACAACAGTTTTCACTGATAATAATACCACCCACTAGAATATCCTGCAGTTTAACTAGTTGAAAACTGCATTAATTAATTTTTCTTTTTAAAAAATTTAGATAAAGTTGTTCTTCTATACATGTTTGATTATCAGACTGAAGTAAATAACTTAAATCCTTCCAGATTATTGTCACATAATTATATTGTACATCTTTTATCAAACAAGAAATATTTGAGAAACATAGTATCTCCCTCCAAATGTGGCAATATCCAAAAAGGATTAAGTTCAAATTTAGAATGCCTGTAATGAAAGTAAAAAAAAATAGGGTATTATTTAACATACCAGTCAAGGGAAAACATAATTCAAAGTTTGATCTTTATCAGACCTCAATATCAGGGGTTATTACCCAGTTTGCGAAGTTTGATGTCTGAGTATCAAACAAGGGCTCTTAGATACCAAGTGGTCAGTATCTTTCTATGTCCAGCAGACCTGTTTACTCTTCCGATTTCGCCGTATTTTGTACGGATTTTGAGTCCAAAATACCTCTCACGTTTTGCTATTATGAAAATACGGAAATCCGTTCGCAGTTAGGTTTCGTTATGATCTGTCTCAGTTTGACGCTTTTTAATTGCTGGAAAAAGAGAAAGTGATGTGGGGTTGCCAAAACGCAGTGGTTTCAAAAATGATAGAAACCTCTCGAAAGAAAGCAAAGTATGATGTTTATCCTTGTTAATTTACCATGTTTTCGTTAATCAGAAATGTAGTTATTCTCTAGTTATATATGTAAAATCGATGGAAAGTGAAATCTTACGGGCAAATGCCAAATCTCACTGACAAATCTAAAAAAAAATACTGAGAGACAACAATATAGGTAAACAGGTCTGGTCCAGATTGACCTTGACTTTTGATCCTGTGACCTCAAAATCATCAGGAGCCATCTACTCCCTAGATACAAACAGTAAAACAAGTTTGATGTCTGTCAAGCAAAAAGTTTTCCAGGTATTAATTGGTCAATTTTTCCTTATTGCTCTGTTTGACCTTATTACCTAAAAATCAATAAGGTCATCTACTCCTTAAGGGGAACCAGTGTCAAAGTTTGAGATCAGTCAAGCGAAGGGATCTGAAGATATGGAGTGAAAATATCTTCTTAATATGAGTTTGACCTTAAACTTCGACCTCAAAAGCAACAGGGTTATCTACTCTCTACAGTAACCAATGTACCAAGTTTGATGTCAGTCTGACAAGCAAAGGGTTCTCAAGATATTGAGCAAACAATATCTCCCTTTTTCTTGAATAATTTGACCCTTGACCTCAGACTTTAGGGGTCATCTATTCCTTAGGGGAACCAAGTTTGATATCAGTCAATCAATGGGTTCTCAAGATACTGAGCTGACAACACTTGGTCTACAGGTTAACTGACACTGAACAACAGGTGCAAAATGATATTCTCCCTTTGTTAAATGGGTCATTAAATGTGTATTGTGGGCTAAACACTAGAATCCATTTAGCAGTTAAGTAGATGGAGAAACTTGCACCCCCCCCCAAAATAATCTCAAGCTAATACTGAGTCAGTCTCAGGAAACCATCATGCACCTTATTACATGTACACTGTATACATGTATATAAAATGTTAAATCATTCAAGTCTGTGAAATTGAACATATGTACATGCACAATTCATAATATTGCATAACATATGATAGGTATATTTAGTACATACCATTTAGAATGTACCATTCTCAATTTTAAATTCCAGTGATTTGTATTAAAAAGCTCAGTCAGGTGAGCCTTACCCCATTTAATTTATCAAAAAGGTTTTAAAGTTTGACATGCAGAAAGAAAGCAAAACAACTAAACTGTCCAAACTTGAAAATCCTATTTTTTGCTTAGTACATGTATGTGGGGTGGGGGCGTTGGACCTTTCTCTGACTTTGTTAACTGTGTTCGACCTAACAGCAGCAAAAAACTGGGGGGAGGAGAAACCATTTCAATGAAAATTTACATATTAAAACTACTATATACTCGGACCCCCTCTCCCCATTTTGCTTTCTACAGGCCTGATATAGTTTGTAGTACCACATCACTTGACGTTATCTATTTTTCTTGTCATGAAAAAATATAATCCCCTACCTAGAAAAATAGGTAAGGTAATCCCCTACCTAGATAAATAGGTAATGTCAAGTGCCTGTGTGTAGTATGTGGCAATAATGAATCACCACTGCTAGCACATTGGTAACCCATACATCATTAGAGTCATGTGCTCTGGATTTTTTTTTGATGAAATTTATAAATTGCGAAATATATGATATAATCAATGTATTATTTGAAAGTGCTCTAAAAGATCAACATATATTTCAAAGTAATTTTTTTGGAAACTTTCCCTTCTACAGGTGGGTTAATATTGAAATATATTTTCATGTAACTTAATATGAATAATTCATCAGCTAATACAAAAATGTGTGGAATATTTTCTGTGCACATTGAGCCACAGGTGCCATACTGCAAGTGGAGCTGGATTGCTCCAACTCGTCATATTTAGAAGAAAAATGTGTGATTTTTCAACTAAATGGTGGATCCAGATAGAAAATAACCTGCTATATCAGCTCTAACATACAATTTTTGATGGGAATATCTTTCTCTAGTACTAAAACCACACTGTCTCCATGCTATTTAATTTTTTGAAAAGTTAATTTCTATAGCACTATGTTCTATGAATAATTCTCTAGACACAGAACCAGGCATGTCCGTGACTGTTTGTCTCCTTGGCATCATACTTACAGCTACAGTCCTTTTGGATGGCCTACCCATTTCTAGTAAGTACTAAGATAATGCTTTTTGCTGAATGTTGAATTAAGTGTATGCCAATAACTTTGAACAATTAAATAACATATTGCATTTTCTATTTCTAAGCACTAAACAAATATAAATATGTGTGAATTTTCTTAAATTTCAGAGTCAAATGGACCAGGAAAACCAGAATTTCTAGGAGGGTCCACAGTTCTCCGTTCTTATGCAGGATTTGGTTTTTGTTTAGAGAAACATATGAATGGATCCATTGTCTGTCAAGAATTCGCTGTGGAGTGCCATGATTATTGTAAATCACTTCAACCTGTGTGAAACTCTGAAAATTGTTCCTTAACTTCTTACTGGTTGAAAGCTGTTAACATCATGTTTGAGTTCTTTTTCAATATATTAAGTATGTACAAATATAAATTACAAAAATTAAGCCGGGCTTCTCCAAACATATACAAATGGAAAGATGGAATAAAATGTGAATAAAGTGTTTTAACAAAAGACAGTCTACAGAATATTTTTTTTTTCATTATGCAGTATCCATTGGCTCAAAGGTCAAGGTCAATGCACACCATTATGTCCAGCCAATAGAATAACTCGATACTTCAACAAATACTGATCTTAAGACTTGTCATTCTGGTGACAAATTTAATTTTGCATGCATTCACTTGTACCAAGTTTAATTGAGCTTTGACAAACACTGTATGAGGAGTATCATTTTGAAAGATCTAGAGATTGCTCTTTTTTTACAGTAATTAAAGGCAACAACACTCTTCAAAATCTTGAACTAGTGTACAGAGTTGACAAAAACTGTGCTTCAAAACCATAAACTGAGAAAAGATTTCAAATGAATACAACTTCTGAAAATATTCTGATAATCACACAAAATTTTCATCATATGTTTGTATTTAAATATTATTATTTAAATATTATACGAACATGGAATTTTTTAAACATATTTGGAAAATAAAACTCAAAATATTGTAGACATTTTTTTCTGCATGGGATGAATGTACGCTATTTAAGTGGTCAGAATTTTTCTTTGCCAAAATTTATCACAGCATACTTAAAATACATTAAAGACATATAATGACAATCCAAGAAATCAGCTCTATTTACTACTCGCGGATTGAAAGAAATTGTGATTCTGCAGAATTATGACCCCTTGTAAAAAGTAAGTTTACAGTATCAACAATAAACATTTTGACTATAAAAGTCTACTTTCAGTTTATGGTCTTGGGGCCAGATCTAAACTGTACAAGAAACAGTTTAAAAGAATTCCAAACACTCTTTTTTCAGTAGCTACCATGACTGTGGCAATACTGTGTATCCAAAAAAAAAAAAATGGGTAGATGTAGTATACTTGGGTATTGAAATTAGAATCTGTCAAAGAAATACCATTTTGAGAGAATTTAACAGAAGTTTCTATTTTCAATAATCATTACCTCAGCATAAACACCTCTTATTAACACTTCAATATTTCATGAGTTCCTTTGTCCTTTGCCCAGCACATCTGAAAAAACTGAAGTCTGTTTTTTATTATGGAAATTTTATTGAATGCAAATACATTGTATATTACACCTTAATATTTATTGGTCAACAACACAATAAAATATGAAGTTTAACCCCTCAAAAAGATGCTGTATCTTAACATTAAGATTTCATTACTGTTTGACACTAAATTTCACTTGTTTGCATCTGGCCTGTGCTTTTTTCTCTTTTTAACGTTGCATATACGTAACACTAACTTTTCTATGCCTTGTCACCTAGTCTTTCCTATGCCTTGTCTGTGGTTTTTCTTGGTCTGCCTGGTCCTCTTCTCTCCTTTTTAAATTTGACCTTGAACTTTGGTGGCTGACTTTCTAATTCTGCTGACACTTGTGGTCGGGGTTTGGACTTGGTGGCTTTCTCTCCTTTTGTCTTGTTTCCTTTCTTTGCTGACTTTCCACTTTTGGCTGTGTCAGCCATTCTAATGGGCTCCTCCTCTGTTAGGGTGGGCATGCTCAGTAAGAAACTGCCGTCATCTTCATCATCATTCACAGATTCGTCTTTGACTTCATTTTCATCTGCAAGTTATAAACAGGTAACATGGTCATTCAATTTAGTTTTAAAGAACTTTAATAAGCAAATTTAGACATACAGTAATACTTGTTTAGTACGAACACAGATATAGTGAATTCACAGATATAGCGAAGTTTTCTTAGATCCCCAGCAATATAAATTTTACGAATTCCTTATATGGATATAATGATTTACGGATATAATGAAGTAATTTCACAGGTCCCAATGATTTCGTTATTTACTATAGTATCTATTATCACAGTAACATGAGAAACATTTGACTACAGGACCCAGGCCGGCATACTTAAATTGGCCTGATTTCTTTCATAAGGAAACCAGACCTTATGCCCGATAAGGCTCTGTATTGCTATGTTCAATCTTTAAATTTTTGTGGGTTTGTGGGAGGTTAATTTTTGTTGTATGAAGAGACCCATTTATTCACAATCTCTATGAAATATTAAATTCTGAACTTCTATCCTGTTCCTTGGTTGAATATGCTTAAAATCAAGAGTTAAAAATAAGAAAAATACGACACCTTCATTCTGGCTGCTTTCAAGCTCTAACTCTTTTTTTCTGCTTTGTACAGTTGCATATATCTTTCTTCTCCTCTTCTGTGGACTTTCCTCTGTTTCACTGGTATCTTCTTGTGTTTGTCTATGTCTCCTTGACCTGCTAGGCTTTGCCAATTTTTTGTATGCTCTAGTCTTTACTGAGGACTGTCGAGATGTTCCTTCTCCTAAATGCAGAAACACAGAATAATCCTCATCACGCTCACCATCTGACTCTGTCTCTGTGGCATGTTTTCGTGGGTGAAGATTTGCTTTTCTTTTTTCCTGATAGGTTATTAGAGCTTTTGTAATACTTGGGACTAAGTCCTGCTGAATGACATCCAAGGATTTAGCAGGCATGTCTGTCTCATTTTCACCGTGGGCAATATTTTTTTGGTTCTCCATGGCAACTTTCATGTGATGATAATGTTGATGAACTGCTGCTAGTTGTTCCAAGACATCGGTTGAGAACAAATCATACAGCATGCTCTGTTCCTCCTTAAATTCCTCACGAGTGGAAGAATCATCCACTACAGTATCACTTTTATTTGGGTACACATGGGACTCTGTTGCACAAAACTCAAATGCATCATAATACCGCAACTTATGAAAAATAAATTCAACATCTAAGTGCTCTTGTAAATGAGCTTCATTCTGGAATTCCAGTATTTGATTCCACGTATCTGAGGTAACTCGAATTTTCCGCTTTCTAATAATTGGTTGTATGCTATATATTCCAAACAAGATATACAAACCGCCCACCCGAATCTGAAAACTGTAAGGAGGCAAATAAAATTTTAATGCAATCTTTAAACACTCGTCTATGAAGTCCTGTAATTCTCCTTCATCTTGGCGCCCTGCGTAAATCTGGGAAAATTTCATGTCTCTCCAAATTGCAGAGAATTCATCATATCTAACGGAATCTGTTTCTGTAAACCGTTTTAAGAGGGCTTCATAGTCTGTCCTTACACCTTTTCCTGGATTATATGTAGGTTTCATAGTCTATTAACAGTGAAAGCTTACAACCAAGTACTTAGTCTACTTTCTCTTTGTTGTAACATTCTCAGTAATTTGTTCCAAAACAAGCTCGTGTACAGAAAATATAATTAACTCGTACTGTTTTGACTCATTCGATTTTATTTTGTTTGTTTTATATATATATATATATATATATATATATATATATATATAGGCCTATATGTATTGATCATCACACGGAACACAAAACAAAAACCATTTCACAATACGATTATGCAAATTAACTCTTTCTTTTTTATATAGTAACACTTGACAGTATTGTAATTATTAATAGTGATAAACAAGCTTATTTCCCCCTACCATGTACATACTTGATGATTGGTGTGTTTTGTTGAAAAGGTGCACCATTGCTCCACGATACAAAAAAATGATCAAATCTGGCGCGGATCCAGGATTTTTTTCCGGGGGGGGGGGGGGGGGGTCGGGGGTTACCTATCAACTCTAACTCTAACAGATGTGCGACTCATAATTTTTTAACAAGCCTAAAAACCTCTATCAAAGCGTAATCAACTTCCTCAGATCTGAAAAAACCTATTTCGGGGGTGGGTGGGTGTGTAGGAGAAGTCTATTTTCTTCAGATGCATGACTCTTCTTACAAATACCATTTTAGGAGGGGTCCTTGTTTCCCGGGGGATTGTTCCAAAGTTATTTTTCTTCGTTACTTTTACACAAAACCTTTTACAATTGTATATACCTCTGAAAATCCAATGGGGACGAACCCACCCACCCTACCCTCTAGATCCGCGCATGCAAATATTTCACCGACATTCCAAAAGGATATCAATATAGCCTTTAACCTGCTGTTCGATATTTTAACCACAAATCGTAAAAAAAATTGTATAAATATCGGTTTTTACAGTTTGAGATGGACAAAGTGATTACATGTCCATACGCCCGCTTTCTTTCTTTCTTCCAGTAAGTTAATTTCATCAACAAACTGGCTCTCCCTATTGCACACGTCAACAATTTCTTAATGGAATAAAAATTGATTTTCAGACTTAGAGAAATGACTTTATTTGCACCTCTGTGCAGAGGCGCCAGATTGCGTATTTTTTTTAATGATGTTATAATGGTTTACGTCCATTCAGGATAAACGTAAAATATTGTTTTGTCAACTTGACACCTTGCGGTATGCACATGCACGTCAAGATTCTAATACATTTTCCTTTGTCGTATCTCAAAATTTAACAGTTTTATGAATGATATTAATGTCGTGTTATTAGAATGAGTAATATTCAACATACGCACTCTTTTTTTTTTTTTTTTTTTTTTTTTTGCATATATTTTGTTAATTACGGTGGCCACTGCCCGACGTTTTATTTTATCAACAACAAATAAATGCATGTATATATATAACGCTCAGATTGATCTTACAATAATCTTTTAAACCATCTCTGAAACGACTTAAACAATTGAGGTAAGTTAGAAACTGTATTCCTTCTGTTTTCTTTTCGCGTGTCGGATAAAAAATTGTAAGCCATGTTGAATCCATTGATGTAATATTTTTTTTCTAATTTCAAACATCTTTTCTTCTCTTTTGCAGACTCGAGATGATCAAGTACTTATTTTTATATACAATGACTTTTCTAATGTTGTTCGGTAAGATTATTATTTATTTTTGTTTTTGGTAAGATTAGCATCTATTATTGTTTGCACGGTAAGATTATTATTATTGCTTTGGTAAGATTATCATTCCTAATTGTTTTGTCGTTTATTAATTTTCAATCTGAAGTTGAAAAATGATTACATGACATGTGATCATATTCAGATTGAAAATTAATAAACGACAGTTTGGTAAGATTACTATCTTTTGTTGTTTGGTAAGATTGTTTTTTATTATTGTTTGGTAAGATTATCATCTATTAGAAGTGTTGGTAAGATTGATAGTTATTATTGTTTGGTAAGATTATCATTTATTATTGTTTGGTAAGATTGTTATTCATTATTGTTTGGTAAGATTATTTTATTATTGTTTGGTAAGATTGTTTGAAAAGATTATAATGGTTTTCTTAAAATTGACAATATTTAATTATATACAAATGTACATCGACGTGTTGAGTGGAAAGTAATAATTTCTAAGCTCTTGTATAATAAATGACATACTATTCCACACACACTGAAGTTCTTATCATCAATCTTGTAGTAAGAGAAGTGACAGGGAATATGGAGGCGGTCAGCTATTGCTTTGAGCTTCTGTTTGGAATGGATATACAATATGACCACTTTTGTGAGGAGTATGGCGACATCTGTGATATATTCTGCAAGAAATAAATTCCTCACAACCTAGCAAAGTAAGGAGTAGAGAATAATTTGCTAAAAATAATATTTGCTAGATCTATTTAATCAAAGAAGTCATTTGTTCAAAAAGGGTAATGTGGACTTATAAAAGCCCCAATTGTTAATTAACAGATTTAAACATTATGATAGTCGCTTGTCAGAACATGGTACATTAAAATTTTTTTCTTTCAGTTTGATCCTTCGATTCGTGTCTGTAATAAAACTACAAGCAGCAATAATAAAAGTCCCAGACAATGTGCATTTAATTGTTTTTATTTTGGAAACAAGGAAAATTAAAAGCTATGTCTTAGTCTTAAGATTTTCTTCTTCAAATGTTATTCCATGTTTTATCTAAATGTACGAAGATATATATTTCGTATGGTCAACAGTCCGTAATTACAAAGAGAGGTGAAATGGGTTTTACAGGTCTTTTAATTATTCCAACCAATAAACTAAAAACTATACCAGTTCTAGTTATAATTCAAAGCATTTCAAAACTATAGTTACAATTAAAATGCTATGTGTGGAATTGCTAAGGTAAGTCAGAATTAATGTATAAAACTTTAAAGATGCAGTCTTTGCAAACATATAGGTTCTATCTATATATCTAAATCATGTTCAGTATCAAGCAATCCACAGAATAAAGCAAATATTTTTCATATTTTAGTAAGTTAACTTTAACGTAACACATTTTAGGATTCTCTGCACCAAGACGATATAAAAGTAATGATTACTTTTTCAATTGCACGATTTTATTTTGATACGGGTACTACATGTACATTATGGGGCGCTTCTTTACTTCGAGCTAGAATATAAGAATCCCCTCCAATACAGTCAATAGTTCAGGGTGAAGGAGGGATATAGGGAATATTGTAGATGAGATATTCCTAAGCTTTACAAATGGATTGTTCTGTTTGTTCGATGCTAGGGGACAACCATTTAATTCTGATAAGGTGGCTAGCAGGACGGAATATTTATTCCCAAGATGACCACAGACAGATTGGGGGGGGGGTGGGTTATGTACAAACACAAAAACTCTATTGCTTGGGGGAGGAGGTTCAATAGCACCAGTGGAGGATAGATTATTTATTTTCAACATTTTGAAGGAAAGTTCAATTATTCCAAAATATGTCAGCACCTCCCCCACCCCCTTTTCAGTATCAAATGGTCGTCTCCTTACCAGCTGATCATGGCCTTGCAGACATGGTGAAAAATGAAATGTAGACATTAACTTGAGTACGAATGAGTTTTTGATCATGAGAAAAGCTGCTACTGGTGAGGAAGCTCCAAACGCTGACAAAAAGTGTTTTATGGACTTGGAGAAAAATATGTAATGTAAAGGTGTGCATATTGAGACCACTTAATTCATTTTCTACATAGGGTGCCTGCCTTATTTCAGTTTTAATTTAGAATTGTTTTCAGACATCATCACTATTGTTGCTTACCAATCAGATTTATTGAATAACACAATAAAGAATAATAAAATAATATTATATCAGACATATTCAAGGCAGACGTAACCTAAGTAAAACCAAACATTATCTGTGTCGACTCTCTGTGAATCTACAAGGGAAAACACTTGTAGTTCCACATCCGGTTTTAAATATTCCCTGCCCTCACTACTATACAATCCATAGATAATTTGTTGATCCGAGTTCATTATTTTGAGATTTAAAAAGAATTCAACAGATCTTTTATATAATTTTTCAAACTTAAGAAAAACATTTTTGGTCGCTACTAGCATACCCCCTCCTACCCAAACCTCGTTTTCTTTGAATATAGACTCTATAGATATATTGCTTCTAAATTCATTAACCTTGGTCACAGACAGTCGGCCTTTGTCTATTTTTGGTGGTGGATTAATTCGGAAATAATTCTCGTCACAGACAACATCACGAAAGTAGCCAATATCTAGCCAAGCGTAAAACTCTGTTTGAAAAATGTCCATCTTCAAGGCGTCTGCAACAACGGCGTACTTAGTGTGCTGACATGCAGAATATTCCGGAAGTACCGTATTAGGATAAAACTTTGGATAATCTGGCTGTTCAAACACTGAACTAATATTGTTAACGATTTGGAAAGACCAAAATTTTTGCCGTTCTGTGAATATGATTTTGGTTTTATTTGGATAACTTTCACGATATTTTTCCATTATTATTTTAAAGTTCAAGGAATCGGTGTAAACAACCAATGGATTGACCATCCACGTAAATACAGACGACCAGTCCCTGTAATCATATGCCGAGTATTCGAGTGATCCATTTCCTTTTCGAAAACTCCCGAGGTCCCAGAATGCTGTTATGATTGTCACATTTTCGTGTATTTTTATCATCATCTCTGTGGACAATCTTTTTTTCCCAAATATTTGATATTTCACCTAAAGTCGAGACAAATACCAAAAATTAATTAATAACATTAGACAATTTGACATTAAAAAACGAGAAAAAAGTATCTTTTGTTTCATTGATTTTAGAAGTCATGTATATATATTGTCATGTTGTAAATTTTGAATTTACCGAGTGGCAGTAAATACAAAATTTACACATGACATGTAAATTTTGCATTTACTGCCACCCGGTAAATTCAAAATTGAACTTGTATAGTGTGAGAAATGTTGTATATGTACACACATCTACTGTTACAGACATCTATATAGATTACAGAGCAGTTGGCAAATTACTTAATAAAAGGGATATGGCATGTCAAACGTTGCAATATTCGAATTATTCCATTTGTATAATATAAATTTTCATTTGTATTCTATAATTTTACATATGCATTGTACAATTTTCCATTTGCATTGTATAATATTTATTTGGATTCTATAATTTTCCATTTTTATTCTATAATTTTTCATTTATATTCTATATTTTTTCATTTGTATTGTAAAATTTTTATTTGTAATCTATAATTTTCCGTTATATTCTATTATTTTTCATTTGTAGTGTATAATTTTTATTTGTATTCTATAATTTTCCATTTGTATTGTATAATTTTCCATATGCATTCTATAATTTTTCCATTTGTATTCTATAAATTTTCATTTGTATTCTATAACTTTCCATTTGTATTCTATAAATTTCAATTCGTATTGTTTAATCATACAATACACATGGAAAAGTATAAATACAAACAAATGGAAAATTATAAAATACAAATTTAAAATTACACAATACAAATGCAAAACTATAGAATACAAATGGAAAATTATAGAATACAATTAAAAATTATAGAATACAAATAAAAATTATAAATGAAACTAAAGATTATACAAATCAAATAAAAATTATACAATACAAATGAAAAATTATACAATACAAATGAAAAATTATACAATACAAATGAAAAATTAAACAATACAAATGGATAATTATAGAATACAAATAAAAATTATACAATACAAATAAAAATTTTACAATGCAAATGAAAAATTATTCAATACAAATGGAAAATTATACAATACAAATGGAAAAGATCGAATATTGCAACGTTTGACATGCCATATTGGGACATCCAAATTACTTTGATATATCCATGATATTCGAGATATCGGTCTACAAAGGTTATTAATCGTCTTTACACCGGCATAATTCGCGTTAGCGCTTTATGATAATTATGCAGGCGTGAAGCGTGGTAGTTTATGTACCTCATGAATTTAAAAAATTAAATTCATATCGATCTTATATTTACATTATTTATCTGATTAATAATGATTTACAAATTATTCAATGAACTATCATTTTTTGAAAAACAAACAAACAAACAAACAAGATGCGTTTGTAAAACAGTGATGCCCCCGTATGGCAGCTTATGGCGAAAGTTATTTTTTTTTCAAATACATGCACATGCATGTCAAACTCAAAGGTAAAATTCAAGAGATAAAAATTGTCATCCGTAGAAAGGACATGTCTCAATGAATGGCCATAACCTTTGAATAGTATGTGCTAGGGGTTTCATACTATAAATGTTTCTTTATTGTGACAAGACCTTTCTTTGGATTAAATATATTATTTTGACCTTTTGACCTTGATTTTAGAGTTTGACCCACCTTTAAAAAACTTGAACCTTGCTCATATCTTTTTTACAGTAAATACTAGGGCTTTAATATTTCACAGATGTATTTCAAGTGACAAGACCTTCCTTTGCATACCAAATATTTTGGACCTTTGACCTTTTGGACCTTGGACCTTTGACTTTGATCTTGAAGTTTAATTTACTATTTACTATTTACTAATTTACTAATTTACTATTGAAAAATTTTAACCTTGGCCATAACTTTTGGACAGTTGGTGCTAGGGCTTTTATACATCAAATGTGTATTTCTTGTGACAATGCCTTCACCTTGGTACCATTAATTTTGACCTGACCTTGGGGCTTGACTTACTATTATAAAACTTTTGTCTCGGCCATAACTTTTGAATCATTATGGTTGGTTCTTGGGCTTTCATATTTCACAGTTATATTCATTGAGACAATGTTAAGTCCTTTCTTTGGGTAACAACATTTTTTTTTATCTCTTAGCCTTGACCTTGGAGTTTGACTTGCATTTGAGAAACTGTGCCTTTAGCTGCCATACGGGGGCATCAGTGTTTCACAAACACATTTTGTTTCATTGAATTAAGAAATAATTCCCGCGTCGGAGGAATTGTTGGAGAGTATACCCTGATAGTCGAGAGATTTTGTAGGCAAACAAAACCCGAGCCCGAAGGGTATATAATAGATGTTACCAATCTATTAAGATAATTGTCATTTGCATATTGTGTAATTCAAATTATTTAATACCATTTCTGTTTTCACGTTACCTAAAATTTCTAAGCATAATGAAATTAGCATGTTTCAAATTGAGTGTGTACAGTAGAAGAAAAAAGGGTCATGGTTATTAATATTTAAAGGGGTAATATTGAAGTATTTATTTTACCCACGCAAGATTCGCCCGTAAGCTACATTTTCTGGTGATGTTTACAAGAATCACCATGGAAACAGTGATGAGCACGACACACCATAACAATTTTCTCCTGCATTTCTGGACTTGCTTCCACATTCAGTCTGCAAAATGGTACAAATATATACCTTATCAATAATCATGCAAAACAATCCCTTTCCTCCAAATTGTGCAACATACCTGCATTTAATACATGTTTAAGTGCACATGAAGCAAAGAACCACGCAACGGACTTGCGAAGTTGATATAGTAACGCACTATGTGTGTGTGTTTGTGGGTGGGTGGGTTAGTTTGTCCTTGTGCCTTGTGCGAAACGGAGGTGACGTTATTTGCAAGGGATCGAATGTTGCCTTCATATATATATATATATATATATATATATCGCATAATCACCGGTGTTATGTAGACCTGTCCAGTGTGAGACAGCAGTGTGAGATTTTTCTGTCTTACACTGCGTACTACTACGCTGCGAACAGTAACGTAAACATTCCTTCTTATATAATACTTGTAACAATGTCTAAAAAAATCACATATTCTTAAAATGTTGTTGTTTTATTTATTTAATCAAACTTATTTTCATTCAAAAGATTATCTTATTTTCACTTTCTAAATGGCACTATTTGTAGGTCGCGGAAGGATTCTTCTATAAGTTACGCTGTCGTTTTTTTTTTTTTAAATCCAGTTTATTTAACTCAGAATGATTTAAGTGGACTGAAATTCATTTTCTGAGTTTACACCATTTTCAGGTACGATTTCTTTAGTGGTGGATTCAGATTTTTGATTGGATACTAAATTAAAAATATAAATTTTTCAATGGCGATGGCATGCCGTTATTTTGGATAAAATAATGCGAGAAAAATAATCTTTCATTACATACTCGTGTGGGATAGTGAAATTCCACCACAGGGCCAAGATTCACAGTCTAGGACTCGGCAAAGCCTCGTCCTAGACCGTGAATCTTGTCCTCTCGGTGGAATTTCACTATCCCGCACTCGTAGTAATGAATGATTCTATTAATATATATACACATATATAACATACAGTATTTTGTTTTTCCAAGTGTAAATTATAATTAGGGATGTCAATTCTGTCTATAATTCATACTCGAATATTCAGTGAAAGTATTCGAATATATTCGAATATTCGATAAATAAATAAAATCTGGTTTAGTTTAAATATGTATCATCCTACTTGAAAGGTTTAGAGTAGGTATTCTTATATTGGAAGTAAAATTGTATGAAGACTTTGATATTTATCAATGTTTGAAATATTTGATTTAAATGTAGAAAAGTACAATTTTAACAAATTATACAATCATGTGTTTTTATAGTAGCTCCAACTGAGGAACCAATCGTCTTACCAAAGGCAGGATAGTCGTATAATGTTCAGATTTCAATACGTGCAATTAATTACAATTATCGGCCTAATAAGAAATATGATCATAATCTTTGATACAATGTTTTTAAAATATAAACAAACATTTCCATAGATAATTTTCCTAGGTAATTAACTATTTTCCCGATAATGAAAATAAAATTCAGGATTATGTACAACCCGTAATAATCAAGTAATTTACACATTTATTCTGAAATTGAGCCCTTTACAAAATTTAATTACAGACATCTTCCATCGGACATCCATTCAATGATCAATTAAATTTATTAAGATAAGTATTCTCTTCATGTCTTTTAGATATTCTAAGAAGGTTTGCCTTTTGTTGTCCTCGATTCTATATCCGATTGTATTTAACAAATAAAAAAGTATGAAAGTACGTTTTGTATTATACATAAAACATTAATGTATAATTCATTAACATCTTACTCAAAACAAAATAATTTAGTAGATCTATACGTGAAAGAAATCAGGCGATCAAAATTGATCGCTTGTAAATTAAAGGGGATATCTAATCAAAAATTATTAATCGCAGTACTTCTTTTAATGAAATCTGAAAAATACCGAATATTCGAATCTTAAATTCATATTCGAATATCAACTCATCGAATGAATATTCGAATGTTCGAATATTCGTTGACATCCCTAATTATAATTGAGTTATGTGCAATCGGGTTCGAAATTTTTGTTAACATCATACTTAGCTATACGTAGCTTGAATTACATAAATTTCATAAAACACAGACCCCTGGAAATTCCAGAGGTGGGATCAGGTGCATAAGTGGAGTAAGCATCCCCTGTTGACCGGTCATACCCGCTCTACGTATTGATCAGGTAGACGAAAATTTCCTTACAAATTCGTTATAAAAAACAAAGGCCCAACAATTGGTATGAAATAAGTCAGTCAAAATACTACCCAATGATAGGTTATATTTGATAACAAGGTCATAATAACGACCATAGAAAATATGAAATGCCGACTTTAAACGAGGTTGTTGAAATCCCTGTAACATCAACTTATCTGTCAGTAGCCTGCCTCGGTTTAAAAATTTATCGTATTCGATTGATCGTATGTTTTTGAGTATCGACTAAGTTGGGAGATGTAAATATCATATACAGATGATAGCGGGATATTGCTACATAGATAAGGAAAGTTGACGGTGGAAAAGTTGAAGTCATCCCGTTTGTCATACATTTTAGTTGTTAGTTGGCCTTAACGTTTATAGTGATTGAAGCGTCAAAATATGAAACAATTGTGGTTAAATATCAAGTTGAAGGCACAACAAGTAGTTTTTTTCTTCTCATGTGGATGTTTTTGAATAAATTCTGCTTCATAGGAATATAAAAACAGGTCAGCTAATAAAGAAGCACAGTTAGTCCATCGGGATTTTAACAGTTTGTTGGAAGGACAGGTCTCCGAAGACTATATACATAAATAGTTCTCGGGGCCATAACTCTTAAAATCACGGGTGATGTGAAAGTATATTGTTAAAAAATAAACAATAACAAAGAACTGTAAACATAATATCGACTTTGATCAACCACGCAATAAGTTAGCTTATAAAGACCATGCATATACTGTATAATTATATACTTGTCCTTTACAGGCGTCTTCACCGAAACAATAGAAAGAGGAGCGTTTTGCAAACATTTCAAGCTTTTTCCCTATTTTTAACTGCATCACAATGCATAAAAATCAATTACTGACTTATCTTGGTGTATTCTTGAGTATACCAACTTTTATTGATATCAGACCAAAAGTTTAGAAAAACTACAAGTAAATCTGTGTAAGTAAACGAAGGAGCAAATGAAATGCCGTTGATTTATATTACAAGATGTCAAATGTAATATGGCAATGATTGACCAATGTTTTAAATAAAAAATATTCATTAGTAGTTTTAAATTTACTTACTGATCATAAATGCTAAGAAAAATCAAGCATCAAATCACTGTATATTGCAGTCAGATTAATGTGAATGCGCCTAGCCAAGATACATGTAGCCTTCAGCAATCTGAATGAATTAGATAGATATATTAATGAGCACGTGTTACAATTAACCTGGGGAAATAGCAATGAACAACAGCCCACTAAAGTATGTAAATTTGACTTCAACTGAACATTTACCTACGTTTAGAAATTTTCAAAGACTTTATTATTCTTATTTTAAAACATTCATTCCTATTCGATAAAATGTGATTCCTATTCGTTAAGTTGTGACTCCTATTCTAAGAAAAGTTATTCCTATTCGATAATTTGACATTTCTATTCGATAAATTGTTATTCCTATTGAAAGAAATATGATTCCTATTCCAAAATGTATCATTCATATTCGCGAAAAACATGTGTTTCCTATTCGATAACATGTCATTCATATTCAAAAACATCTGATTCCTATTCGACAATTTTGTCATTCCTATTCGGCAATTTTGTCTTACTTATTCGATAATTATGTGATTCATATGCAGTAAACTTGCTTTTCCTATTAAAAAACATATCATTCCTATTCGAAAATATACGATTCCTTTTCGATAATCTTAATTGTTATTCTTACTCGATAATTTTATCATTCCTATGCTATGTTTTCTTATTCTTATTCAATAATTGCACACTGGGTAATTATGTTTTTCAATAGGAATAACATGTTTCTCGAATATAAATCATTTAATTATCGAATAAGAATGACAATATAATCGAATAGGTTCTACATGATTTCGAATAGGAATAACAAATTATCGAAAAGGAATAACAAATCATCGAATAATAATCATGTTTTCGAATAGGAAAAACAACTTATCAAATAGGAATGACAAATTATCGAATATAGGACATTTTTCGCATAAAAATACCAACTTATCGAATAGGAATCTCAAAATTTTTGAATAGGAATAACAAAAGAGTATATAATGCAATGTTTTACACGCCATGATCGAACATTGAAACGTTTGTCATGCCATACGCTTGTGTTGGATTTCATCTTGTAACTTTTAAATTTGTCTTGAATATACACTTAGAGTACAGGTTTGCCAAATATATTGACTGTGCATAGCCATCGTCCCCTGGCACCCTCTGTATTCAAGTCACTTTTTTACACTACACAACAGTATGCTGCTATTATATTATTTAAATTACTTTTTAGCTCACCTCGACGAAGTCGAAATGAGCTAATGCTAAACCCGAGGCGCTGGCGTCGGCGTCCCGATTAAAGTTCTTGGAGCAAGTCCATTCCTAGGTAACTTTAAGCCATACCTGGACCAAACTTGCATGAATGATGCATCTATGGATGGACACTACCACACTTGCTTCGGATGCTGGATCTGACCAAGACTTTCCATATGAGTTGACCAGGTTAAAGTTTTTGAAGCAAGTAATTTTAAGCCCTTCCTGGACCAAACTTGCAGAGATGATGCATCTAGGGATGACGTTACCAGCCTTGTTTTGGATGCTGGATCTGACCTAGATTTTTCAGATGAGTGACCAGCTTAAAGTTTTTGGAGCAGGTACCTAACTATAAATCCTACTTGGACCAAACTTGCATGGATGATGCATCTAGGGATGGACACTACCACACTTGCTTCGGATGCTGGATCCGACATAGATTTTTCAGATGAGTGACCAGGTTAAAGTTTTTGGAACAGGTTCATTCCCAATGAACTATAAGCCCTACCAGGACCAAACTTGCTTGGATAATGCATCTAGGGATGGACACTACCACACTTGCTTTGGATGCTTGATCTGACCTAGATTTTCCATATGAGTGAATTTTAGCCATATTTTAACCAAATTAGCATGACTTTAACTGATCACTCATCCAAAAAATGTAAGACAGATCCAGCATTCGAAGCAATCCTGGTAGTGTGCATCCTTAGATAATTAAACATGCAAGTTTGGTCAATAAAGGGCTTAGAGTTACTCTGAAATAAGACCTGCTTTAACCTAGTCATACTTTAGCTGAAATTGCAACATCTGAAACTTGAACTGGGAACAGTGAAACATATTAAATGTACGAAAAGAGTTCATGCATTTCTGTTTAATATAGAGCATTGATTATATAATGAAAATACATTATTTTTTTCAAAAATCTTCTCTTCTCCTGGATATTTAACAGACTAAATGCATAGTTATGGTGAGCAAGAATGCCTTTTTCAAATTGTGAATTTCATGGCCTTTGGGCAGGAGCTCTGGTGTTAAGGCGGGGCTCTATTGTCCATATAATGAAAGTTTATCATTTCTTTAAAATGCTTCTTCTCTGCTCTTTGGTATTTAAAAGATAAACTAAGTACATGGTTTATAATGAGCAATGATGCATCTTCCATAATTGTAATTTCATGGCCCCTGGGTCAGGGGTGGTGTTAAGGGTTGGGCTCTGTTGAATATATAGTGAAAATGCATTATTTTATTGAACATCTTCCTCTCTGCCCCTGGGTATTTAGCAGACAAACTAATTGCATGGTAATGATGAGCAAGGATTCCTCTTTCAAATTTTGAATTTCATGACCCCTGGGTCATGATTTCTGGTGTAATTGCTGGACTCTGTTAGATATATGGTGAAACTGCATTTCTTCTCTGTTCATAATGCCAACACAGTTACTATTTGATTTGTTTGATGTACTCCGACCGACCCATTAAATCACCCCTACCCAATCATTTTTTTTAATACTTTAAATGTTCATTTCTTTTCCTGGGTACCAAGGGAAATACAAATTGTTTCATTTTTAAAATTACGCTTTATTATTTCCTAAGATGAATTAACGATTAAACATTTTTACAGAAATAAATATTAAATCTGTAAAGCTGCGCAGTGTAAAATGAAAACATAAATAGATTTCTAAATTTGTGATATTTATGACAATAATCAGACTGTTAGATACTCCCCCCCCCCCCCCCCCCCCAGCTACCGACTCGCTTTGGGTTTTTAATGATGGCCTGGGCAACTAGAGAACAGACAGAATAAAATGTAAAATGCAAGGGTATTTTTTAGCATTTTTTAGCAGATTTGGACACTTAGTCAAGTGTTCTGATACTGGGAAAGGGTCTCTTAATTTGTATTATTCTGAGAGAAGATGTTCCCCTTTGATAATTATTCACTGTTAAAATGTAATTGAAAGGTCAAATGAATAAGAGAATTATACACGATTTTTTATGATATATTTTTTTTATATAATATATAAATAAAAATCAAGGGCCAGCATGGTCAGGTAGATTGTAAATAGTAGATAATAAAAAGGAGACAAAAATACCTTATTTTTGTACATTTAATGTACTCCAAAGACTGAGAGAGGCAAGGTAGGAGAGAATGAGTTGGGTCTACAAATAGTGTTCAAGCACTATTGTTTTGTTTAGTTTGCATGGTGATAGTGACAAATGGGGTAAATTCAAGAAAGTAACTAGATCTACTGTAGGATTTATTAGTGAGTAAAAGACTAATTATTTTGCTGATCCCTGATCATCCTACTTGTCTTGCTTTTGGAAAAAATAATCTCAACTATCAGTTTATTTTGTTTTATTTTATACTTCTGAGAATTCTTTACATTGTTGTATTATACTCAGGTGACCGTTAAGGCTTCTGGACCACTTGCTACCTTAATCTTTTTTTTTATTGCTACCGTTTGTCCTTAACCTGTCTGTAGAGTATTTGATAACATTAATTTTAGACTGATAAAGTAAATAAGATGTTTATATACCCATGTTTTACTAAATCAACTACATGGTTATTTTGTCTTGGAAGATGCATGGTTAGAACATGGTTTCACAATTCATTACTTAATATTTTTAGCTATAGATCAAAATTCTAATATTAATCAACAAAGTTTAAATGAAGAGATTGGTTTAGTATCAAAGTCACGAAATCATATCCTTGCAAAGAGAAAACTTGCCTTTTTTCTTTAGAAAATAAGCCTTTTCACAGGAAACAGGTGTAGCTAAATAACTACAATCGTTTGCCTGATCATGACAAGGATCACACTGCAGTTGTGACCAGTCGACAGGGGATGCATACTCTTCCATGGAATTTGATCCCAACTCTGATACTTTTAGAAGTCCGTGTTTGCTTTGCTCCCGATTCGTATTGATTCAATGGACTTTTCGAGCTTGGATACTGTTCCTATCATGCAGTACTTTTTACAAGCCCCTTAATTGATGATCTCATATATCAGTAAACACAAAATTCTCATCTCTTATTTTGAAGCACTCAAAAACCCAGAAAAGGAAGACATTTGATTTAGGAAAGGATAATGTGCCAAAACTTCTTTCTGCGGCCCCTTTTTCTACGACGAATTATATTTATTCTACAACGATTTTGATAGTTTTCAAACAAAAGTGAATAAATACGACGCCTTTTGAATAGTTTCAATAGTTCCAACATATTTTAATTATGAGGATTACTGCATTATCTATGATTTTTTAGACCCCATGAGAGCAATATTCGGCCTGGTTTGTGACAATAGGATCTTTGAAAAAAGAATAGGCGGGTCTTAGTACAATAGAGGGGTATGCATGTCCGAGGAATTTACCTTATATGGCTATTGTTATTATTTCGTACATAGTCGCTTACCGAGAACAATTGTCCAATCCGATGACTGAACGACAAAACATGCTGGTTTACTACATGTTTACATTTTATCACAGACACGTGGCTTAAGTCAATTTACACATTATCTCTACTACATTTCAAACTTTCAGTGACCAGCAAAGACTTTTTATACATGATAATACGTATGGAGCCTCATTGTTTACCGTTTTGGGTCGAGAAATTCACCATGAAACGTGTATTGACTGATTCTCGGGAATACGTGTAGCCAATTGCCCAACGACGCTTTACAAAATTATGAAATTATACAATGTATATTTTAAAAAATTGTTTGTAATTATGAGCAGGGAAACTGTAGAATCGTGTCTAATCTGTGACTCAACAATGAATAAAAAAATGTTTATCGGAAAACAAGAATATGCCTTTTTTTCCAAGCATGAAATTCCTTAGAATTTTTGTAGTACTCACTCACTCGTAAAGCAAATCATTTAGCTGATTGGTCGGTTAGAAAGTCACGCCGGTGCCTCGATTAGCATATGAATTTATTCTTACGTCAGAAAAAAAAAGTTTCGTCGATCTGTTCGTAATGGGGAAGACCAGCCAGATTTTACAATATATTAAACATAACATTTGAGCGCAGTTAGGTACAATTTTCTCCTTTCACATAACGGTAGATTTCAATAAAATACATCGACCATCCAAAGGAGAAAAATGTACCTAATTGCGCTCGTATATTTTAAGGGCTTCAAAGAGTGGGGCGGGCCAAAATTCCATGGGAATTGGATGTAAACATGGTACCCCTACTCAAAATAAAGATAAATATCTTCCAAATTATGTTCCTATTTTCAGTAAAAGGAGTATTCCATGATGGTACACATATCAGTGATTAAGTGGATGCAAAAATTAGAGTAAAATTTAGATATTTTATTTTTTTGTCCATTTACTGGGGGCCGTATGGCACATCATCCTTTGTCATTAGATGGACGTTTGAAGATGCTTAGGACAAAACACAAAAATACACAAAAAACATAAAATTTAATACAACATTTCTTTAAAAAAAAAGTTAAATTCTCAAAATGATGACTACAGTGAGTGAACGGAACACATTATTTAATTTCTTTGAATCAGTGAAATGTTTTCTTCAGATTCAAGATAAACTAGAAACTAGAGAATTCACACAATTTAATGACGGTTAAACAATCGGGGCAGTCTGGTAAGTAATCCTAACCTCTCTTTCTTCTCTTGCTTCTGCTGAAATAAAAAAAAAATACAGTAAGACGTTGTAGAAATCATATTTTATATACCTAGTTACGAGTGTGTACATCAGAACACACAACAAAAACTAGAAATATGTCCATAAGACTTGATTGCCCTGCCCAGTGCCCAGGGTTCATATGTAATGAAACATGAGAATTTGTGTTAGTGCATGAAGTTTGCTGAAATAAATCTTGAATAGTTTCTTTAATACTGAGTTTTTTTTTTTTTTTTAACAAAATAAATAGTAAAGTCAAAGGTCATTGAGAAGGTCAAAGTAAAATAATTTGGATATAGTTGATTATATTCACCAAATAATGTATCACTGCATAAGCTTACATAAAAAAACATATCTAGAATAGTTTCTTTGAAACTGAGCTAAACACAAATTTGAGAAAAAATAGGTCAAGGTCAAAGGAAAGGTTAAGGGCAAAAAAACTTATGCAGTTGAATAGCTCTCAGCAATATTAGGTTTGATCAAAATATCTGCGAGGTCAAAGGAAAGGTCAAGGTCGAAAAATGTTGGTGCATTTGAATAGCCCTTATCAATATGTATCTGAAGTTTGATTAAAATATATAGTTTCTTGAAACTGGGCTAAACGAAAAGTGTGATGGAAGGACAGAAGGATGAAAGGATAGATGCCCCGGCCATATTCAGGGTGGGGCACGAAAATGAAATGTATATGAAATGATAAGGGTAGATGTTTACCTGTTGTTTCTTTGCTTTGACACAACAAAAGAATCTTCTCCAGCCTTTCTGTGTTGGCACAGGATCATCCTCCTACGAGCCAAAATTCATTTACAATACTTCATATGTAAGTTGTTAATGTTTCGTTTATCCTTAAGCTATCCTTGTCCATTTTAAAAAAAGGAAAATTCAATAAATTACGTTACAAACGCTTTTTATGTCAAATACGTACCATTTCATTGCTTACATCTTGTTCAGGCAGTCTTTAACCTATTAACAAAAAAAAAAAGAAGAAATAAAATAACAGATTAAATTTTTGGTCAGCTTTGTTTCTACCATTAATGAAAACATTAACTATTATATATATCATTTCCCGTACAAACACTGGACAAACCTTGCTTCATTGGCTGCACTGGTGAACAAGTCTTTGAAAACATCTGAGGCCGTGTTGTACATAACCTAGATAACGAAAAAATACTTTCTATAATCGTCTTTCTAACAAATTATATTATGATATGATTAAGCATTATGTGTTTTTAAATAGGTTACCTTATACAATATGTATATTAATATTCAATTTAATGGATACCTTTTGCATTGCTAATTTCTCAGCGTTCCTCTTTTCTAAGAGCGCTTTTCGTCTGGAGTCAAATTCTGCAGATTGTAATAAGCTAGATACATCCACCTCTACTTTAACTGGTCTGTTAAAAAGGAATAGTTCAGTAAATAGGCAAAATTAATGAATTTTGAGAATCTTCATATTTTTTAAATCATTATTTTCTTCACTTGAACTCTACCATTAACTTAGTGGAAACATATAAATATTTCTCATTCAAAACAATGAATGAAACAAAAATGCACGCTGATACAAGAATCAGTCCTGATTTACTATGCGTATGTTCCCAGGAATATCGCAGTTAGGTGTAGCTTGGATGATCAGGTCATTCACATTTTCCTGTGCAGCTTTGTATAATAACTGTCAAGGAAAAGGCATTTGTAATTTCGACTGTCAGTGATGAAAATGGACAATTTTAATCCTCCTTTTGTCTTTCAAATGTACATTTTCTTCCTTTTTGCACATATATTTAACACAGAAAAAGGAGATAAATTAAGACTTGTAGAATAAATCTTTAAAATCTTGCAAGAGAGTATAAATTCTAGAAAAATACACGTCAGACTATAAATAATTTTTATACCTTTTGAGTTATTTTCCTCTGGTCTTCATAAGACTTTCGTGTCACCATGATTCTTCCTTCGACAAACATTGCACGAGTGGCTGGAAAGGTGAGGAAGTACTGTACAATTTCGGAGGCTGCCATATACATAATCTAAAGAAATTTGATACAAAATAATTATCATTATTAGTGAACATATGTATAGTATACAAAATATAAAATGAAATATAAAAGGTATTTGAAATAAAGTTTTCTCTGCTCAGTAGATACCTTTTGCATTTTCAATTTCTCAGTGTTCATCCATTCTTGGTATGCCCTCTGTCGTACGTCATAATTTACAAATCGGAGTGGGGCAGTTGTAGCTACTTGTCCCTTGTCGGGGCTAGAAACCAAAGAAATGCCTATTGCAATATATATTGTACATCATAACAATATATATGACATACATAACCCTGTTTTTTCTTTAAACCTTTATGCTCTTGAAATGTTCGAATGGTATAAGTTTGCCATACGGATGTTCACATTTTTTTCAACTCTACATCTTTTAAATTTAATTGCATTTTGTTTAAAATAACAAAAGAAAAATCTCTTGATCTAAAGAATGGAGATTTTCTACATTATATAATCAGCTTAAATGCATCCCATAAATGTAACATATTTTGCGGATTGAATTTCGACTTTAAATGTTGACAAAATACACAATGGAAACAGATTTTCCCCCTATACATATAAAGGAATTCTTTCCATATTGTATTTACCTAGGAAGATCATGACGACGTGTGGTTGCACGCATGATCAAGTCCCTCACATTTTCCCGTGCTGCTTTGTATAATATCTGTCGATAAAGAAATTTAAATTTATTTGTACTCCTCAGCACTCAGAGACATCAGTGTAAAGTGTGCTAATCCACTTAGGAAGGAATTCAAAACTACTCTTGAGCTTTATTGTATTGTGTAATTAGTTGATAAATGATGTGAATCTTCCATATATGGAATTTCTGTACTATATTAGTTTATATACCAGATGTATATGTATATACCAGAAAAAATACATCCATCTTCATTGAAACATCATATTTATTATACCTCCTGTGTTGCTCTTCTCTGGTCTGCGTAGAAATTCCGAGTAACTACAATTCTCTCGTCGGAAGCCGATTTTAGGACAGAAGCCATCGAATTTGTCTGTATTTGTCCATCGCTGAAATTGATTGAATAAACATAATTATATAAGACATTATATCCACGAAACTTATAAATAATTAATTATGTTGAACTTGGTTACATATTTGCAAAAGACTTGAAAGTAAATCGTCAACTGAAATAATCTTATCTCATCATTTTTAACAAACCTGTACTTAGTAGTAGGACAATATCTGGAAACCTGATCAAAGATGCTGTGTACAACCTAGAACGATATCAAATAGGAAATGTATGATTGAAATCATTTAAGCATCAGACTGTATATATATATATATATATATATATATATATATATATATATATATATATATATATATATATATATATATATATATATATATATATATATATATATAGTGAAATTGTAGTAAAAGTCCACGGTATAGGTAGGTTATAAATTAAAATAAAATCCAAGATAAACAAACAAGTTCACATTTAATTATTACACTAAGCGCTTTCGCCGTGAGGCTCTTCAGAGTGTAACAAAGTTTATAAAAACAATACAACTTGGTTGTTATGACGTCGTTATTGTGACGTCATAAAGGCAGCATTATATATTGGCGCAGGTAAATGCCATTAGGGCGCCAAAAGTAGAGAATTGAACATATGTACATTGTGATGAAATAGACTGCTAATTTTAAGCTATAATGTTCAATTTACATTTAGTTTAGGTTTAAATAATTTAACAAAGTAATCTTCCTTGGCTCTCCGTAATTGTTCATTATTTTCTAGAACTTTATAAAAAGGAAATATTAAAAAGTTTCCATTCGCACATGAATCAAAATGTTCACTGCATGGCGTATTCCTGACAGAAGGGTCCCGTATTTGTTGTTTATGGACTCTTACGCGGTCAGCTAGTTTGTTACCGGTCTGTCCAATGTAGTTTTCCCCGCATGAAGTACAAGTCATACAGTATATTAAATTTTTAGATTTGCATGACATATTCGCATTTACGGTAAAGGGGAAAACTACATTGGACAGACCGGTAACAAACTAGCTGACCGCGTAAGAGTCCATAAACAACAAATACGGGACCCTTCTGTCAGGAATACGCCATGCAGTGAACATTTTGATTCATGTGCGAATGGAAACTTTTTAATATTTCCTTTTTATAAAGTTCTAGAAAATAATGAACAATTACGGAGAGCCAAGGAAGATTACTTTGTTAAATTATTTAAACCTAAACTAAATGTAAATTGAACATTATAGCTTAAAATTAGCAGTCTATTTCATCACAATGTACATATGTTCAATTCTCTACTTTTGGCGCCCTAATGACATTTACCTGCGCCAATATATAATGCTGCCTTTATGACGTCACAATAACGACGTCATAACAACCAAGTTGTACTGTTTTTATAAACTTTGTTACACTCTGAAGAGCCTCACGGCGAAAGCGCTTAGTGTAATAATTAAATGTGAACTTGTTTGTTTATCTTGGATTTTATTTTAATTTATATATATATATATATATATATATATATATATATATATATATATATATATATATATATATATATATATATATATATATATATATATTGTTTGTTCTTTTCTGATGATATTTACACAATTCTTACCATTTCTGATTCCTTGTCACGAGTTTTAAACTTGAGACTTTTTTCTGCATTTTTCAAACTGCTCTCTGTTTTGGGTAGTCTTGTATTCTTGGAAGCCTTCGAGGTGCTTCGTGATTTATCCACCGGCCGCTTGTGTTTTTGACGCATCATCTTTCACTCTTGCCTTTGCCGCGTCTTTTTCTGCCTTTCGAGGACCCCCTCTTCTGCTATTTTCAGAAAATATCTCTTCATATTTTTTAAATACCAATCCCTGTTTCAGCTCTCTTCTTTTCTAGTGTTCGTTATATTTATGCAGAATTCATTTACGTAGAAACCAGATATTTTTTTACTGTATACACACCTTGTTGTCAAGGTCTCTCAAAGTCAATGTGCCATTCTGGAAACATTCCCTCAGCTTCTCAGGGTTCTTAAATAAATTCAGTAACTGAGCTTAGTATTTTCGGATAAAGGCGCTTAAAAACATACAGATTTTTATAAACCTACCTCTGATGAGCTTGTCGTTTTATAAAATTAACCCCAAGAAAAATATACTTCTATATAAACAGATTTTCTATATAGGATTTCATTGATATTGTGACGTCATTCGATTAAAAAAATATATTTGTTTCAATATTCTTATCAATTATCAGAAGGAAATACAAAGCCAGTTCCTAATTCCAAAGCAGTTTATGGCATTTTCAGTTTTTCAGTAAGATTCTTTGAATACCATCCTCCAGTTTAGATTTAAAAAACCTCAGTTCCTTCTAGTTGTGTCTCAAATCAGATTCAAATACATAGAATTGCTAGCACGTTTGAGTAATTAGTAATTAAAAAAATTATTATTTAGGTAAGACGAAGATAATTCCTACCTTTCGGTCTTTTGCTTCCATCTCCAAATATATTAAGATTGGATTTTTCTGTATACAAACTAAGCTTCTGACCAAAATGTTAGTTATGATGCTGAAAGCTTTATGACGACTTTGCTATAGTGACGCCATTGATATTATGACGTCATTCGATTAAAAACATAGAGAGGTTGAGATTTTAAACTTGTACGCGTACGTGTAAGTGTGCACAAACTTTGACGTACACGTACGCGTTTTTTGTAATTTGTCTGTTGAGATTTTTATAACGTGTAACATGAACGTGTAGACTGTAATCGGTGTCTGTTTCAACTATTTAGTAGTTCTGTGACATTAGTTTGACTTTAGTTTGTGAACAAAACATGGTTAAAATAAGTGTTCATGAAACTTAAGGGAGCCGACTGGGGTTTTATTGTGTGAAAACTACTATAGAGAAACTCTTAAATTTTATACCATATGTACCTTACATTGACTTCAGTATGCATGCCAAGTTTAGTGAAAATCTGCCGTCTGGTTATTTTTTAGGGACCATCTCAAAATACAGGTACATTTACTATAGGATTATATAGGAAAATACCCTTTTTTCGCACTTCGGAGCGAATTAATAATACAAATGCTACTATAGACTTTTTGCTCAAATTATATTATTTAATGAGTAATACTATATTGTACATTTTATGCAAGAAACACAAAATTCTACCGTCTGGTTTCCAGAGGGGGCATCTCAAAATTCATGATATTTTCCTGTTTTTATGGAGTACTACAAAATATGACAGATACCACAGATTTACTTGAAAAACTATAAAAATGATTGTAAGATTCTCAATTTCCTATGTTAAAAATTTCAAGAGTGTCTATATTATACTTTTTATTCTATGATATAATTAATGACCCCTCTTAAAGAACTTCGGTTATTCATAACGTCAAAAACACACTATTACGACGTCTATCTACCCATCATTTCAAAAATCGTTCAAAAAATCAGTTATTTAAAAACGTAATTGGAATTTTTAATCTGAAATTTCCTAAATTTGTTTATTTTTATAAATTATGTAACACTAATTGCTTTAAAAGAGTAAATACGCTTTATTTTACTATGCTGCGTGAAATATTGCGCAATGAAAACCCCAGTCGGCCCCCTTAACATCCTAAATTTTTAAAAACAATAACAGTTTTACACACAAATTGACAAGTTTTTATTGAAAAAGCTACAAGTTTACACCTACGTTTAGATGCCTTTTTACAAGTTGTAGGAACGTGTAGAAAACTTATCAACACTAAAACTGATGACGTAATACGCAAGAAATTTAGGGTATTCCCCTACTAGACGTACCCGTACACGTATTAAATCTCAACCTCTCTAATATTTAAGAAATGAATTTAATTTTTGAAGATTCAAGAGGACATGAACTACGACGCTTCACGCCGGCATATTTCATGAAGCGCGTTAGCGCTTCCTGATAAATATGCCGGCGTGAAGCGTTGCGAAGCAGTTACGAAGCAATTCAAGGGATATCCGGTTTTTCAATAACTTTATCAAGATTCCTTCCTCCAGTGTTAAAAAACAACCCAACTCGGTTTTTGGTCGTGTCTAGATCATGTGCAATAATTAATGCATGAATGGCTAGCGCGTCTAAATAGTAAACATTAATATGCAGTTTTCAGTTAAGACGAAAATTTGGTCCTTTGCTTCCATCTTCAAAAATATTAAGATTGAATTTTTCCTCTGCACAAACAACGCTTCTAACTGACATGTTATAATAATTGATGATGCTAAAATTTGATTTGTGCCGTCCTTTGGACTATTAGGTCACAAGGCATTAAGGTTGAGAGAGAGAGAGAGAGCATTGTGTTTTATGATGTGAGCATGTTTACTTTTGCTAAATACAAATTCCTGTAAGTTGTTGAATAAACCAGATTATCCTAATAAGGTCTTCCCCTTCATTTTTTACAGATTTAATAGAGACCAGTAAATTTAAAAGTCAACATGAATTATTTACATATTCAGTTTAAAATTCATACGTCATCAAACGCAAGGAAATATAAGTGAAATATTTATTTAAAATACATCTTTTATACTGTTTTACAAATACCTTTTCACCTCCACTACATATTCAAAAAATTTTAAGGAAAAAAAAAATACATATACATCTTTATATATTTACATTTCTAATTGTTTTCTGAACACACCTGAATGTAAATTTCGCCAAGTGAATGGTCGGGAGCCTAATATGCTTGTCAATCCCGTGCAGCTGCCTTTGTGCCTGACGTCAATGGGCGGGAACTATTGAAATTAGCATGGGATGCCTCGTGTATTTTAAATCTATTAGACAGCACTGTCTAGTTTTTTGGGTATGCCAGGGACATCGATATCAACGATAGTTGGAAACGTGGGATAATTTATGCATATTGGGCTTCGCTCGTTATGCAGTTTAAAGCTGAACACGCTTCGTAAAAGGAATCTGTCCGCCATATTCGATTATTCACTCGCTATATCTTAGGGCCCCTATATAAAGCCGCTCACTTAGTCACTGTTCAGTGTAAGCAGTCGTCACCGATGTAGACGGACGCATACTACACAGCACTCGGTAGCGACAAAACTAACTATGTACTTCTTCTAATACAGGGAGATTAAAATACTGAAGAAACTTACAACAGTTGCACAGGTCAGTGCAGTGTGCAAACCTAACTTGTAAGATAACCAGCCTGAACACGTGTCACCATTCCAAAACGATAACCATGACAATAAAGCAGTCAGGTGTAATGAATGCGAAGGATATACTCCGGTGCTGATATCGTAGATAGTATAATCGAATATGGCGTGTGCCTATTTACGAGTCGTGTTCAGCTTTAACCCATTTTCCAGCTATCGTTGATGTTCTGTCATACCCAACAAACTAGACAGTGAATCCTTAAGCCTATACAGCCCTATGTATTGATCAGGTAGACGGAATATTCCGTGGTCAAATTTAGTGTAAAAACAAAGGCCTAACTGTGTCAGTCAAAATCATGACCCATTGATGTTATATTAGCAAAAAGGCACAGGCACTTGTTTCGGTAATAATTTTTTTAACCCATAGTATAATAATAACACAAGGTAACCAACTCCGAATTACATGGAGTACCCCTCTCCCCAGAATCACACTCACTTACACTTTCAGAGGAAATGCACTGGCAAACTGTTTATTACCACTGTCTTCTTCGATAATTTATCTACATAAATGATATCAGAATCGATGGACGTTTCCTTTACATGTAGATACACTCGATCGGCACATTTTGATTCTAAAGTACGTTTAACTTCTTACTAAGATAAATCAAATGGTCGTCTCCTAATACACATGCATTTTGCCGATATATAGATTACTATAGAAAACATAGATACTATATGCTTGTGCCCCCTCAATAATAATGTCCGATGACCTTTTTTTTTGCTTGTCAAGAAATTTTGGTAGTTGATAATGCCCCCTCAACTGATAATGTATGGCTGTGCCCCCCCCCCCCCCCCTCAAATTGCTTCCTACGGGCCAGTACTGTCACATACTTACATCTTTATCTGCTTTATGATACTGTTCATCATAAATCCTTTAACCCATTAAGACAGGGAAAAAAAGCCGAGATAATAAAAAACTGTATTTTATTGGAATCTTTGTATACTAAGATTAAGAAATGTCTACTATAATATTTGATTCTGAAAGACGGCAGGAGGGGGCTGGCAAATTCTGGAAATATATGTATTTGAAATGAAAAAAAAATCTATCATCAAATGTTAAAATAATCAATCTGACCTACATTGGTGCTACAAAAATGGTGAACCTTTTAAATTGTATTTTTCCTTGCCGTCTTCAATTTTGTGGACTCATCATTTTGAATTATAATTCTGCTGTTATATTTGCGAATTTAATAGACTGACACATATTTACTAAAGTTTAAAAGTTTCACTAGAGAATTTGCACTGCTCTTCCCCTTTCAGAATCAAATGGTCGTCTCCTAATACACATGCATTTAATGTTAAATAAGGATCATTCATATAAAGTCAATCAAATGACATAATGATCAACTAAGTAATGTAAATAAAGAAGATGGTGTATTTGTCGTGTGTTCTGCAGAAATCATAACAATGTCACATTTGACATTTCAATTTCAACAATTGACATACTTTATAAAAATCTACCAAATAAATACAAATGATTTTTAAATTTCAGTCGGTTGGAAGAAAAGCTTTGAGCTTGTGCAACAGATTCAAAATTGAACTCCATTTTAAAATTCTACAATAAATCAATAATAAAATCAAACTGACCAATGACTAGACTGTTGCTTTAAAAAATAATAAAATAAATCAATTCCTCGCCGTTATGCACAGGTAACGTATACCACTGTGCTATCGTTACTTCATACAGAATTTGGACTTTAAAACCACAATAAAGCAGAGCAAAAAATTTACACAATTTTCTTTTTTTTCAAAGAAGTTTTTTTTAAAAAAGTTTTTGTGTCTTCTCTCTTTTAGCTGTTTTTTTATATAACCAATTGCTTGAAAATGGTGATCACATACAAGCACAAAAAAATCTGTAAAACAGAAGAATAATCAAAATATTCAAATTACATGTATAAGGCAGTGACTTTTGTAACAATAAGCTCTGGACCTTGACAGTCACTTGAGTATCATGAATTTCAGGCTATGACTTTGGCTCCGCGTCTGGACGTGTGTGACTAATAAAGTTACATCGGTCATATATTGAAAATTGCAGTTGAACTTCGGTATCTCGAACACTGATATCTCGAATTCCATGGATATGTTCAAATGATTTGGAAGTCTCAACCCCTTATTCTTTAAGAACTTTACCCTGGATATCTCGAATCCTTGGATATCTCAGTCTTTTCTTGATCCCCTCAAGTTCGAGATAACGAGGTTTGACTGTATATTCATCCAAAACAGTTCGTTTGCAATATAACCATGATAAATATGAAGACTTTCAAATGCATAACATGATTTTCAATATATGATCAACTTAGCCCAAACATCCATTACACAGTATGCTCTCTTGCCCACTGAAGCACTCCATCATGTCATTTTCAACTGAAGGCCTTCAAACAATCACAGAAATATCACTTTTCACATTTTATCCAGCTTGTAAAATTTTCAGATGGCATAAAAAGATTGTTAGCAAATTCAAATACATACATGTATAATCTATTTTGATTTTGGTATTCTAGCTTTGGCTTCCAAGTCCATGATATCCTTCTGTAGCTTCCCATCAGAGAGTCTCAAAATTGCCTTAACAGAGGTAAAGGAAGTCTGATAAAATTAATTACCTTGGACACAAAGCTTTTTTGACAAATTTTAAAATTATTGTTTTTTGGTCAATAAATTTGTTAAATTTAGACTTGAAGTTAAAATAAGACAGAATAAACCTATACAATATATTCTCATTAAAACTTGACTCTTAGGTAGCTTTTTTCTGGATCAAAGTTTAATGATTTAACCAATCTTGAATTCTCAAACAAACTACTTCAACAAATTGTAACTTTACTTTTCTTCGATTTATGAAAATCTACACACTAGGTAAAGAAAATCTGGTCTTCAGCAGGGACAATATGGACTATTCATGTTGATAATTATTACTTACAACTCTGTTTAAAGAAATTATAATGTTATGTATCACAGTATGTACACATTTAACAGTTCTTACCTGTGACAAATCTTTCCAGAACATTTCACAGTCATCGTTATCCATGATATTGGTGTCCTTTGTTACATGGTCAACTTTATTTCTATAAAACCTGACTCTCTCCATATCATCTGTTTTTTCTTTATTACCCAATTCAGGTTTCTTTCCCCAGCCTTTAGTTGGTGATGGAAGATCAGATGCAAAGTTTCTCAGTAATTTGTACATCATAGTGACATCTAATTTTGAAGATGTGGCAGGTGGTTTCTTAGCTGAAAATAAAAATGAGAAGTCTATAAATCCTCAAGGTCGCAATATTTTGTATGCCTTGCTCATGCTGAATCCAATTAGTAAAAGATAGTGGTCTGCAGGGGATGCTCACTCCTCCAGATTTGTACTGTTTTAATGGACTTTGAGCTTGAATTCTGTTCGTTATCTCCATATTTTATTCAATTAGTGGAAACATTACAGGTATAGACTCATATTCCACAAATTGATATAAACTTCAGCAAAAATAAGTTACGATTCTGCAAAAATCAGGTATTTCAATTCTGCAAATGAGTTACCCATATCAATGGCACACAGATAAAGAAATCTTCCATAAATAAATTAAATTATACTGATTTATCATATGTTTGAATACTTCTCTGAGATCTAACATTGTAAGAAATCATGCTAAGTTATGTTCACCTGCTTGAGACCTTCCAGGTAAACATAATTTTTTTCCAAGGTTATAACAAGAGGCCCATGGGCCACATCACTCACCTGAGCACCGTGGCTAAGAAAAAAGCAGAAATCAATTCAGTATTAAAAAGTTTAAATGCATAAGTGGTCCCGACCTACCCTTAAAGGGGAGGGGGGTATGATTTGAACGAACTTGAATCTACACTAACTAAGGATGCTTGCATATTTTTTTGACTAACTGTGGGTTTTTCTTCTTTAAGTTTGAACTTACAGTACCTGGCCATAATACAGTACGCAAAATGGCCGCCGTTATAAAAATATACCTGCACACTTGCAGTTTTGAATGTTGTTTGTTTTAAATTGATATATAATAAAAGAGCAAGAGCCACTTAGGGCCTTTTTTGGCCCTGTGAATTTCTGAAAATTCAAAACTGTATAGTTTTAGTCAACAAGGCAATAAATAATACTTGAGCACTTGGTGAATGAATATCTACTGAAAATGACGTAATTTTCTTTCTAGTCAATGCATTATGACATCATGATTTCCGTCATTATTCATATATCCTGAATATTTCTTCAAAAATAGCCAAAATATGATGCCATTTTTCAATGGTTCATATACAGCACAACCTCCGATCCAAAATGTGAAAATATATTGTAAAAGAACTGTTAATGAAGATTATAAAACATATTTTAATTTTTGGATCGAGGGGTGTGCTCATATTTTAATTCTTTGCTGAAGGTTCTCAAAAACACCTGTTTTTTGCGAAATTCAAAAACATTGCAATTTCACACACCTGTTTTTCAATGCCTGGACTCTTCAAAGGAAATTCTGTTGTATAAACTGAAAGCACTAAGTCGCTACTTTATAATAATGTTGAAAATGGTACACGGGGTATTAGTCAATAAATTGGTATATCTACAGGGTCATTTTATACATAAAGTGAACCTAGCTCTTTATCCTACCTTACTAATACTTGGTTATGTAACCTTTTGCTTTTATTGCAGCTTGTAATCGTGTTGGTATTGATCTGTACAATTTTCTAATCGTCTCCAAATCGATAGAGGCTCATATGTCCTTCACAATTCGCACTAGGTCTTCGCGTTTTTTAATTTCGTCCAGGCGATGTTCCAGTCTGATCTTAATTGTCCTCCACACATTTTCAATTATGTTAATGTCTGGTGATTGACTAGGCCAGGTAAGTGTAGGGATGTTGTTTGTCGTTTTCCATTCAACCGTCTGTCTGGACTGGTGCACCGGACAATTATCCTCCTGTAGAATCCAGGGACTTGCAGGAAACTCCTTTGCAACAAGAGGCCACAAATGATAATCTAGGACCGAAATATATTTCTCAGAGTTTATATTTTCTTTTTTACTTCAGTCAAAGTTCCAACACCATTAAAAGATAAACACCCCCAGAACATAGCCGATTAGTCCGAAATATCTGACGTTTTCCTGGTTTTTTTCCGATTTTGATATTTTATGTGCCAGGAAAACGTCAGAACCGGCGCCATTAAGGAAACTGGAAATTTCGCCTTCTCCAACCGGAGTTGATTTTCGATACTTGCAAACCGAATTTAATGCCAAACTCACAATTTACCGATAGCACAATGCTTTTATTACTCACCAATATCGATGAAAAGAAAACATCAGTCCGCATTTCGACACAGGACTTTTAAGATTTTAAATTGCACGAAATAAAAAGAAATCTCGACAGTTAGATAAAATGTTTTCATCGGATTGTATATTTTATAAACGAACCATAAAAACGATGTTAGTGAATACTAAAAGTATTGTACTATTGAAAAGTTGTGATTTTGACATTTAATTCGGTTGGCAAGTATCGAAAATCAACCCGAGAATGCCGCCTCCGCTTGGAGGCGGCTAACTCCCAGTTTTCGTAATGGCGCCGGTTCTGACGCTTTCCTGGCATGCAAAATATCAAAATCGTAGAAAAGCCAGGAAAGCCTCAGATATTTCAGACTAATAGCCGATATGCCGGAGCGGGGCGAATGACTACTATACTGTCCAAGACAATCGGGTTGAAATCTTTCTCCGGGTTTTCTCCAGACGTAAATTTTTCTGTTCTTTCCTAAAATAACTTTCATCTCATCACTAAAAATGACCTGACTCCAGTTTTCCTCCACTATCCACCCTAATTTGGATCGACACCACAAAACACGCTTTTGGTTTCGAGATTGTAATTTTCTTTGAAACGGAGCATCTTTGATATTTCTGTTCTTTTAATCTCCTTCTTACAGTTCTATTAGACACCTTCTGTGGTACAGATTCGTTAAATTTATCAGTTAAATCTGACAGACTCTGTTTCTTCACCAACCTTGACAAGACGCGATCACCTCTTTCATCCACCAATCGTTTTCTTCCCGGTCTTTCTCTATTTTCCACGGAACTCCTTGCAGCATTTCGTCTAACAACCTTCTGTATGGAATTTGGACTTATTCCGATAATTTCTGAAATTTTCCGCCTACTTAAACCACTCTCATTCAATTTAATTATCGTCTGCTTCTGCTCGAGTGAAAGGTCTTTCCCCCTCGGAGCCATTTTGATTTACGTATGTTTTGGTACTAAAAATAACCTAAGGAACTTCCTATGTGTGTGACGTCAGATATGACGTTCATGTATGGATGTGTGTTGTTGTCATTATTTTTTTTTATCATATTACAATCGATAAAATGGAGAGGAAAAACATCGTATGTTAATTTTAATTTTCACGGCGTCCATTTTGCGGACTTTATTATGGCCAGGTACTGTACATTGTGATTCCTTCCTACCCCCGGGTTCATGATTTGAACAAATCTGAATCAACACTACCTGAGGATGTTTTCGTATAAATATGACCAATCATGGCTTTGCTATTCTTCAGAAAAAGATTTTTCCTATATATTCCTTTATGTAAAACTTTGATCATCCATTGTGGCCCAACCCTACCCTGGGATGTCATGATTTGAACAAACTAATGTATCTACACTACCTGAGGATGCTTCCATATAAATATGACCAATCATGGCTTTGTGTTCTTGTGAAGAAGATTTTTAAAGATTTTTCCTATATATTCTTATGTAAAACATTGATCGTCCATTGTGGTCCTGCCCTACCCCCAGGGGTCATGATTTAAACAAATTTGAATGGACCAAAAATAATCACAAAATTCCACTTCAACAAACAGTCAGGGGTGAGACTGAAATCCGTCATTTCTGAAAAATGATGGATAATCGTCATATTTACTAACTACGTATTTTCGTCATTTTTGTCAATATGACTTACTATCGTCATATTTTCTTTTTCAACTTAATTCTTCTATCCTGGTTACATAAAAGCGAAATTTGAATTCACCGCTGAAAGAAGAGTGTTTACGCAAGTTTCATTTCATCCGGGTCACTAATTACTGCCGACCATGTGCGTTAGAACATCAACATGGCAGGTGAAAGTTATTATTTAGCGGTAAAATGTCGAATTTTGGTAGAACTAATTCGCCATTTTTACATGGCTTTTAAACCTATAAAAACATATAGTACACCGTCTGGAAGAATACGTACTTGTAGAGAAAAGTCTCGACAAAAAGTTAAAGCCATAAAAAAGTAGTGCGCCCCGTAAAACAAGCGAGATATTTCAGTGCGCCCAGACCCTCCATTTTGAAAAAAGACGGCATATCGTCATTTTCGTCTTCTTTCCTATTTAATGCAAATAAATTGACAAATAACTCTTCCACTCTTATTTTTGCTTGGGAAATTTGTACTGTCGAAATAACCAGTATTGTAGTCAACTGTATTAGAGAAATGAAGTTTGTTTACGATATTTTTTGTCCTTTTTTCGGTTGGTGGATCTAACATTTTTCAAAGAGAGGTAACTCGGTATTCTAGAAACACTCTAAATTTTTATAACTGTTTTTCGTCATTTTCTTAAAAATGACGAGTTTAAGTCATAATAAAAATTTTATTTTATGACTAAAAATCGTCATTTTAAAAATGACGGATTTCAGTATCACCCCTGACTGACAAATGTAAACAATCAAGAAAGGTTGCAAGGTTTGCTAAATCATTTGTATCATTTAATCAGTGAATCATATATTTTTTAAAATAATATGAAGATTTAGCAATTCTTGGAGCACAATATATCATCAAACTAAACTACACAATAGAGCTTGAGCATGTATAACTTGTTCTTTTCTCTTTTATGACAGCATATACAAAGTAATTAAGGTACAATAATAGAAAAGAACATTTTCAGGTTCTTCACTGGAACTGCTGAACTGATTTCACTAATTTTAGCATTCAGAATCTACGGATGTAGGGAAACAACAATTCATGCCCCCTCCCCCTGCACCTGGGCCTGAGAGGTGGGTCTAAAATCATATTAAGGTCAGACAACACGTTCCTCAAGTATATGTTTTGTATCTCTTGATATTATATAAAGAATTATATATAATTGTCATTATCTTGTGATTTCTAAATTGTTTTCAATGTGTTTTTAAATAAAAGTACACCAAAAATTGTGACATAGGCCATTCAAAAGAGTACCAATATGGATTGTGTAAGAAATATCACCCTCTGGTATCTTGTTCAAATCCCTGGTAACATACCTCAATTTTTTGTGAGGAAACTTATTTAAGTACATGTACTTATACTTCAACGACAAATTCTTGGAAAACATTATAAATTTTTGAGAAACATGTCGTCTGACCTTAAGAATATCTGCAGTCTTTAAACATCTTTGTTCTTACTCCACAACAGCAAGCAGTCAAACTGTTGTAGGCATTGAGCCAATTATCATAATTGAAATATTAAAAATTAAAACTGTGAGAGGAAAAGTGTTTTGAAAGAATGTCAATGAAATTTCTATTTTAAGTGGCAACACCATTCATCCTAATCTTAAGCCATTGCATAGAATTATGTCCCTTGATGCATGAGGACAGCAAAAACAGATAGCAATAGGTCATCTGAGTGACTTCAGTGACCTAGAAGTTTTCTGTTTGAAAGGACATGGCCCTAGGTCTTCATATTTTAAATCTCCTTTAAAGATATTCTTTTACAAATCAAGACAACCAAGAATTGCTGGTGATGACATAAAACAAAAAGTGAAATGTTCCCTCAATATATGCTTACCTGGAAATAGTATCTGCATCTGCTCTTCACTCATTTTGTATCGACCATATTCCATAGTATCCTTATTGTCTATTAAAACTTTCTCCAGGTTTTCTGGTAGAATCACTGAGTCGAAGTAGATTTGAAGAGCATCTCTACCAATTTTTGTAAGTTTTTTAAACATCTTAAAATTCCATTTCTGCAATTCCTCTTCTGAGTTATGAGCACTTTTACATTCTGTTGAATCTGTTTAAAAATATTTTTATGTTTTCTGATAGTAAATAGCCTGAATAGTAAAACACAGAAAACTTTTGAAATATAATTTAAGGAGGCTCATTACACCCACAGTTTATTTTAGATTTCATTACAGCACCAATAATTATGAAGATTTCAAATATCAAATTGGAGGTTAATTATGATATGATAAATATTTTTAAAAGATTTTTTAATCTTTTTGCTGATTTTGGTTAAATGTTTTATTTCAAGTTTCTGATTGATAGTATTTCAAAAATCTCAGTGTCAAGTGATGGATATCATCTTCAGATGTGTAAGCAATATAATAACACTTCATAATATTAAAATATTATTTTTATTAGAAAAAATAATTTTCTTCCAAAAAAGAATTAATGTGATTTTCTTCTTAGTCTTTGCATTAATAATTTGGAAAATCAGTTATAAATATACAAGGGATGTATATTAATGAATAATAAGTGACAGATTTAATGGAAAATGTTTTAAGGAAAGAAATTTTTCAATTTAAAAAATAATTGGAATAAAAAGTCCACTTGCAAGAGTTATCTTTCCTATATCTCCCTGACTCAAAACACTCAGGAACGGTTGAACATATCAGATTCAGAATAAGCTAAAATTTCTAGAATAAATATACATTTTTCAAAGAAATAAAGACAAGCACACAAACAAGAGTACAGTACTCTAAAAGCGCAAGTGAATTATAATTTATTTCAACGAGGTTGTAGATTTTAACTCGAAATTCCTCTATATATACATGCTGTCAGTGGAAGAACTTGCTGCTTTCGCTATGACATTGTACACTACTTGGGTAGCTAAGATTTGACTGTCATTCTCTTTGGTCTCTACTTAAAAATAACCCTTCTTCGTTTGTGATTTATAATGAATCCGTTACCTTGTTCTTGTTGTTTACAACATCGCATGTAGTCTATTTTAGAGCATTTTAAAGATTTAGATCATCAGCAAAGCGAACCTGTACAATTCGTCCTCGGGAGAAAATGGACGAAACAATGGAGGTTTATTTTTCTGTGCAGTACGTCATCAAAAAGTGGTGTAATGAGCCTCCTTAAAGTTTTAAGGAATTCATCTACAATGTCATTTTCTAATGCCTTTCTTACAAGACCAATGAAATTGTATCACACTGATCAGTACCACATCCAGTCAATACCACTTCAACAATAATACTTTTTTGTGATTCTCCAATATTTGATAGGTTCAATATTTTCAGCCACAATACCTGTATATCCATTTCCAGCAGTTAATGTCTTGCCTATAGTACATGTATCTTGAAACCCTTCAATATGACATGGGAGGGGGGTGTCTCGATTTGTTTTGAGAATGTAGAACACATGAAGCATTCAAAGCATGACAGTACATGTAAAATGATACAGTGTACAGATAGATATACAGCACACAAATGAACCCAGATACCAAGAGTATATTCTATCTTCAGACAAAAACATGTACAGTAAAACACGCTTACAGCTAACATGTTTATAATGAATTGATGCATCCAGCTAAGTGATTTTTATTCCCTGTAACTTTTAAATATATTGTTAACTTAACAGATATAACAGATTATAACAATATCGCTAACAATTTATTCCGTATTTGTTGTTCTAAATATCTTTCTTGACATTATAAAATCACTAAAATTACTTCTTGCTAAAAATATAAACCAGTTATTGGGGGATAAATCGCTAAATTTGCATTGAGCTAAAAAATCAACTTTTAGGGTATCAATGCATGGTCTTCAAGATACATGTATCTATGTTCGAGATACAAAAGTTTTAACTGTATTAGACCATATTATACTAAAATGAAATTACCTTGATCTCCAAACCAGATAAAAACATTCAGGCTTCAAAAATATCTCAAGAACAGATATCTTCGAATCACTTGAAGAAAGCACTGTCGGAGCTGGAGTATAATATTCTTAGCAAAAATAATCAAAAAGTTATGGAAAACAACTATCATCATATCATTATAAAAGAACAAACTTTGTGCAATCCTTACCATCTTCCTTCTCCTCGTGGGACCTTTTGGTGCCCCTTGTCTCATGGATGGTTGGTTTGGTACCTAAAATGAGAATATGTATTTTATAAGGGTAGCCAAACTATACCTGGATCAGTCATATCAAGGTTTGTTTTTCAAAGAACAGCAGATGTCCTCGTCCTTTCCTAACCATATCTCTTATCATCATCCAGTGACTTGGAATTGAAATCACTAAAAATGTAATGTCAGCAAAATACTAAGTAAAGGATTATTCAATCTAATCAGTTAATGTAGCTTAGGTATTTCCTACCAAGATAATGTTTGAACTCAGTGCCCTTCAACTTAGATCTTAAAACATTGGTGTGACATCATTTCTTTGTTCTTTCAGTCTAAAATTTTACCTTTGGAAGTCCAATATTAGTCAATTATCAGACTGTCTCATACCTTCAAAATTGGACTGAACTAAAAACATGATTATTTAACAAACAACACAGTTCATTCTTTTATCTAGACTACAATCCTTAGTAATTACTAAGGAAATCATAATCATAATACATAAATAATGTGCCCTAATGTCAGTTATTACTTCATATACAGCAAAAAATAGACACATGGACAAATTTGAATTCTATACATCCTAAAGGATGAATGCATATTAATATGACTAATCATATATATCATATATATTTCCTGTTCTTCATCAGAAGATTTAAAATAATTTTTTAATATATATTCCCACGTAAAACTATGATATCCTACTGTGGCCCCACCCTATCCCCTGGGGATCATGATTTGAACAAACTTCAAAAGAAAATCTATATATTATGTCAGGAAGCTTTCATAAAAGTTTCAGCTTTTTTGGCTGAGTGGTTCCTGAGAAAATTTTTTAAAGATGCTATGAAATTTTCACAAATTCTTAATTATCTCCTCTTAAGGAGGGTGTGGCTCTTAAAGGCAGAGATTTTTTACCGGGTGGTAAATTCCAGGTGAGGGAGGGGCTTATTTTGTACAGGTGTGAATGCCTTGAGGGCTAGCAAACTACCTGTGGTCGTCTGTCTCCTAATCCCTATACACAGGAAGTGATTTAATACACAGTGGAGTACCTAAGAAGTCAAACTTTACCTATGTTGGGATTTTGAGGTGATTTTAAGTTAGAAATAAAAAGTTGTAAATAAAGTTTAATCTAAATAATTTTTATTAATTGTAATTGAATGTGTGTCAAAGCATCCCCACTCATTAAAACAAGAGGCCCACGGGCCTTATAGGTCACCTGAGTATCATGCAACAACTTCGCCACAATGGATTCACGTTTTAACCCAGAGGCCATGAAATTCACAATTTCGAAAGAGGCACACTTGCTCAACATAATTTTACATTTAGTAAGCTTACTTAATACCCAGAAAGAGAGCAGAGGATTATCAAAGAATTAATGCATTTTCACTATGTAATCATTAGAGCCCTGCCCTAACACCAGAACCATGATGCAGGGGCCATAAAATTCACAATTTTGGAAGAGGCATCCTTACATATCATAACAATACTCTTAGTTCATCAGCTTAATACCCAGGAGGAAAGATTTTCAAAGAATTATTGCATTTTTACTATATAATCATTAGAGCCCCACCCTAACACCAGAACCCCTGACCCAGGGGCCATGAAATTCATAATTTTGGAAGAGGCACCTTTACTCATCATAACTATGCATCAGTTTGTTTGTTAAATACCCAGGATCAAAGAAAAAGATTTTAAAAGAAATAATGCATTATCACTATATATTCAACAGAGCCCCACCCTAACACCAGAACCCCTGACCTAGGGGCCATGAAATTCACAATTTTGGAAGAGGCACTCTTTCTCATCATTACTATGTACTTAGTTCATCGGCTTAATACCCAGGAGCAGAGGAGAAGATTTTTGAATAATTAATGCATTTTCACTATATAATCATTAGATACCCGCCCTAACACCAGAACCCCTGACCCAGGGGCCATGAAATTCACAATTTTAGAAGAGACACCTTTCCTCATCATAACTATGCATATTGTTTGTTTCCTAAATACCCAAGAGCAGAGGAGAAGATTTTTTAAGAATAATGCTTTTCACTACATATTCAACAGAGCCCCACCCTAGCACCAGAACCCCTGACCCTGGGGCCATGAATTTCACAATTTAGGTAGAGGGCTCAATGCTTATTACATTCATGCCAACAGTTTGCCTGCTTGATGCCCAGGAGTAAAGAAGAAGATTTTTAAAGATTGCATTAATTCTGATGGTTTTAGCCCCACCCCTTAGGCCCCAGGGGGGTAGGGGTCATGAATTTCACAATTTTTACTCCCCTTCACATATAGATGCTATGTGCCAAATTTGGTTGAAATTGGTTAAGTGGTTCCAGAGAAGAAGCTGAAAATGTTCAAATGTTAACGCACGACGGACGACGAACGACGCACGACGCACGCCGACGGACGAAAACAGATAGCAATAGGTCACCTGAGTAAACTCAGGTGACCTAAAAAAAAAAATAATTATCATAATATTTGTTGAGCTTTGAAAAAAAAAAGTTATATCAAATTTTGATATATATTATCATAAAGAATATCATAATTATTTTAAATACTAAAGGTGTGTATATATATTATCAAGCTAAAAATTCTATAGTAATACAGCTTCTCTATTGTTTATACCATGTGTGGTAAATATCAAAGGATCAAATGTTAATTTGAAGGTCACCACGAGTGCCAAACAATGTGTACAGGGTATACACAGGGACGAGTAAGTAAATGTCAATCAAGTTCTAGCACCCAATGATGTACCTTAATGCACTTGATTGACAGGGGTACACAGACCAGGTATTTTGGAAGGTGGTGCTTAAAATCTCTGCCTTTAAGCAAACTTGAATCCCCTTAACCTAAGGATGCTTTGAGGCAAGTTTGGTTGAAATTGGCCTGGTGGTTCTGAAGACAAGGTCAAAAATGTGCCAAGTTACAGAAAACTGACGACAAGCATCAAAACACTTCAATCAGAAACCTTTGGTTCAAGCTAAAAATGGTTGAATTTTTTTCCACAAGAAGATGAAAATGTTCAAAACATTATGACAAATGCAAAACATCTTGGACGATGACAGACAAAAGACAGCCATCGGTCACCTAAGAAAGTCTGGAAGATACTTGAGTTTTTAAGTCACAAAACAGTCTTTACAGCTGGAAAAAGATGAAATGCTGATTACATGTACACCTGCATTTTGATGCAGGGCTACAATAATTGCATATTCTAAAGGACAAGTGCACTTAAGCAATGCTTAATGGGCCCTTTTTCAGTGCTTTTTACTTTAGAATATATTACCAAATTGTTCTTTTTTGGTAATGGTTAAACACAAGTGGATATTTCTAATTAAAATCATGTTAAAACATCATCTAAATCAGCATGGATCTGAAACAAATGAAAATTTCTATATGTCTATAGATACCCCGAATCCGGAAAAGTCGTACCGAACCTATTTTGAGTTTCGTTTATTTAAATCAAGGGGAGGAGACATTTAATCGGACACTTGAACAATCTGATGGTGGATCATTGACGGGCGCGTTTTCCGAATAATGCTTCTTGTGCTATTTTACCTGAGTAAAAAAAATCGAATGAAGTTGTATAGATGCTGTAGCCATAGTGATCAAACTAAAAAATTTGCACGCTTGCATTTGAAATAATACAATAAGTATTAACATTAGTTCCTTTAAATTTTAAAATGAAAAAAAAAGTGTATTTAGGTGGCTTTCAATACCGTTACCAGTGTCTTGCATGAATTTTTAATGCTTGACACTATTATGTATGATGACATTTTAAGACACTAAACTCTCCTAACCCTCCTCTGTTCCTTAAACCAAATACATACAAACTTTTCTATGCGGCACGACTTCGATATAATAAAAAACGTGGCTGTGGCTATCTTTTACAGTGAGCACCTTTGAGGAATGTTTACCTAGGTAGAACTCACGTGACTATCGGTATTTTAAATAATTTATTCCACGGGTGAGTTCAACATAGGTCATACAGGTAAATAGCTATCGCTTGCTATAGGAAAAACATTGAACTTTTCATACATTTTTAACATTTTAAGTACAAGCCTAATCTTGTACAAATTTCCTACTTACACACAAGTTGTAAAAATGTATAATGCATTTTTTGTCATTCGCACAAGTTTGTACAACGTTAGGCTGACAGTAAACAAAAGCTTTGAAATGAATGACCATCCTCGATTTACTATAGAAAATCACGAATGTCGGCTGACCCCTACCACATTTTACAGCTTTGCTCTTTGTATATTCATGAATTTCAGCGATAAAATTTGTTGAATCTTATGGTTTAGATATTAATTAATGATCTGAGATGAAAAATTTTGCTTAATTTAATTCTTCATTTTTTCACATTTTACCGGGGCCCATAAGTGCACTCGTTCTTTCATTTCAAATCCATAAAAGTTCTTAATGTTGTTGGTCAGAAAAACTTAACTGTAAATGAAGCTTATTTGACAAATTTGACAAACAGATATTCTTACCTGATTTTGGACTAGATGACCCTCTACGCTGCTTAGCTTCATGATTTACAGATGGGAGATTGCAAGCGTTTGCACTTGGATCACTTTCTTCATGCTAAAAATATCACTCATGAACATTTTGAACTGTATTTTTACAAACTCATTCAGCATACTACAGTAGTCCACCAAAACATAATCATGATTATTATCAATAGTCTATGAGATGTAAACAATATAATTATGATAATCCACTACATACACAGCAAACAGTATACAGTCATGTAGTTACTGACTGGCTCTAATGATAACAGTATACAGTCATGTAGTTATTGACTGGCTCTAATGATAACAGTATACAGTCATGTAGTTATTGACTGGCTCTAATGATAACAGTATAAAGTCATGCAGTTATTGACTGGCTCTAATGATAACAGTATACAGTCATGTAGTTATCGACTAGCTCTAATGATAACAGCTCTGTTGTTTGACAGATCTGTGGCCCTAAATTGTCGCTGGCTGAGGGTAATAAATCCGTTCAAAATTCTTATATATTTTCTTGTAAAACATCTTCAGAAGAATATTTTTCATATATATTTCAATGATAACTTTGATCCCCTATTGTGGCCCCATCCTTTGGATTGAACATGTTTATGTGATAAATAACTGCATTTTATGTATGGCACTTTTAGAAATTTGAGAAACTCACATTGCTTTCTTTCTTCTCCATAGTTTCCTTGCATTCTTTTGCACAAGTTGAAACTGAAATACATTAAATGAAAGAACATCTTAAAATAAATATCACTTTTCAACAAGCATGTAAAGTGATGTAATATATATCATACCACCATGGGAAGCAACATTTCACTAGTCATCTTTCTCTGCCTTGAAAATACAGCAAAACTCAGTTATAGCGAAGTTCTGGGGACCTGCCAATTTACTTCCCTATATCCATAATTCGTTACATCCGTGTAGCAAATTCCTTAAAGTATATATATAGCGAATTCGCAATATAGATTTTTTCATTTAACTATGACTACCAAATGTATTTAGGGGAATAAAAAATATAAAATTTACCTCGGAGTTCAAAAGTTTTCAGATAAATTAGTTTCAAATATAAATACTTACAGTTCAATATTTTAAAAATTTTGATCTTTGAAAATTCGCAATAAAAGATGTAAATTTAGTTATTTTTAACTTCTAGGGGACACAAAATCAGTTCGCTGTAAATGTAAATTCGCTATGTCCAAGTTCGTTTTATCCATAAAATTTTACAAGGAACTGTTAAGGATTTCGCTGAGGATTGCAAAAAACTTTGCTACATCCATAAATTTGCTTTATCCCTGTTTGTACTAACGAGTTTTACTGTAAATATATAAATAAAAACTCCTTACTGTAGCAATCAACTTCAAATTTCCTAATCTCAACTATTTGAATTTACAGTATATTAAAACTTTATGTCAAGTTTACCATGTTTATGAATGTAGCCTTGCTCATGCACAGGCTCAAGTATAAACCTTAATGTAGCTCCATCCTGGTAATGGAAGCATGCAATGAACAACACTAAATAGAGATGCTTGATTGACATAGGTAATCAAAGTTTATGAAGCTCACCTTGACAAATGTTATCTATAAGTAAGGCAAATCTTACATCAATTTTTTTCAATTAGTGTCCATCCCTAAATGCATCATCAATGCACGTTTGGTTAAGGTATGGCTTATAGTTACTTTGGAATGGACTTGTTCCAAATACTTAACCCTGGTCACTCATCTGGAAAATGTAGGTCAGATCCAGCAAACAAAGCAAGTCTGGTAGCGTACATCCTAGATGCATCATCCATACAAGTTACCCTGTTCACTTATCTGGAAAGTGCAAGTCAGATCAAGCATCCAAAGCAAGTTAGGTAGAGTGCATCCTTAGATGCATCATCTCTCCAAGTTTGGTGCAGGAAGGGCTTACATGTACTTGTGATTAGAGTTTCTCCAAAAAACTTTGAACTGGTCACTTATCTCAAAAATATTGGTCAGATCTAGTGTCCAAAGCAAGTCTGGTAGTGTCCATCCCTAGATGCATCATCCATGCAAGTTTGGGTGAGTGATAAAGGTGGGGCTTATAGTTACTCATCTGGAAAATGTAGGTCAGATCCAGCATCTGAAGCAGGTCTGGTGATGTATATTCCTAGATGCATCATCCCATTAAGTTTGGTATATGGCTTATATAAATGTACTTGGGAATGGACCTGCTCCAAAAACTAACTTGTTCACTTATCTGGAAAATGTAGGTCAGATCCAGTATCCAAAGCAAGTTGGTCGAGTCCATCCCTAGGTGTATTGTCTGTGCAAGGATGGTCAAGATAGGGTTTATATTTACTTGCGAATGGACTGGCTTTAAAAACTTCATCCTGGTAATTTTGTAGTAGACAGCCATGGGTTTGTGAAATAGAATGGACGCAAAAAAACATGGCTTGCAATGACAGATTCATCACATATATTGTTCCATTTGTCTTAATGCAGCTTGCAGAAATAAGCATATAATAAGGGTGCAACGATAAACCGTTTGACGGTATATCGCGGTATATTTTTCCACGGTTCAATTCACGATACGCTAAACTGATATCGCGGTTCGGTTCAATCGGTCCAGAATTATCCGTTTTGTCCGTTTTATTTCCTTCTTTACTATTTCAAAATGGCTTCCGCGCAAAACGTGAGGTCGCCGATAACGCATTTACGGCAGTTAAGCTCATCTCCAGCATCTTACAGACCTCAGATTTAACACGGAGAAGAATTTAATGTGATTATAAGTTATAGAGAAATGATAACCCTTTAGATCTAAACGTATTCTTTGGTAATACACGATATTCCATCACGTGTGTATTGCGATGAAAATTCGCTGTCTTGTTGACTAAAACCTATTAAAATATGACAACTGGTTTTCTACGTAAATAAAAGGAATAAAAGAATGAATGTCTTCCTTTTTCATTCCAATTTAAAAGGAAGATTATTAGGAAAGGTCCCCGTAGTTCCCTGTAGATGTTCATCATTGGTTTAGAATGTTGTCACAACTCAAAGATCTACCTAACAATCCAATTCAAGTTAACAAAATGTTATTTTAGTTATTATTAAAAAATGTGAACATTTTGTATAACACTGTCAAGTTTAAAAAAAAATATGATGACAAACTTGAAAGACTTTTTAACCTTGTCATGTATCGTGATACGTATCGTATCGTGAACTGAATACCGTGATACGTATCGTATCGTGAGGTTAGTGTATCGTTGCACCCCTAGCATATAATACATATTCATGTGCTGATATTTAGTTAGAATCACCTTTACCTTTAGGAGTTATGGATGCTTTCTTCTGGTTTGAATTGTACCACTCCTTCAATTTCTCCACGTGTGATTTTGAAGATTCTGGCACTTGACTCTCTAGGTACAGCTTCTTTAACTCTTCCGTTAAAATTGCTGTAAACATTTTTAAAAATATATATACTGTAAAATCACATATTTTCTTGGGGTCAAATTTTTGTGGTTTGAAGAAAAACTATGGGTTTATGGGAATTTCAGTTGAGCTAAAAAAAATCCAAAAAATCCAAATCTAACATTTCTGGTCTCTTCTTGTTTTCCATTTGCATCCAATTACTCCAACAATCTGGCCTTCCAACCCTTTCAGGATGTCGAGCTGAAAAACATGAATTATGTATATCTATGCACTGTAAGATATTCATAACAACATAAGCTTAATTAATTATCTTAAAATAAGGTAACAACAGGGGTTGAAATTTTCCTGGAAAACCCACTAGCCCAGGGACTGCTGATCAGTAAAAAATTACTAGCCCAAACCTCAAACTTAAACCAGCCCAAATTTTTTTTTACGCAAAATGAAAACATAACAAGTTAAATTAAAGTTTCAAATGCTGTGGTGATAGAAATAAATTAAACTACAATGTAGTTCTCTTTCAAAAGAAACCAAAAGCAAAAGTAAACTGACGAGAAATTTTTTTTTTCTGTTCTGCTACTCAAATGGACTATCATTACATTTAAATTAGCTAGCCCAAGTCTTAAAATGACAAGCCCCAGGAGTCAGGCTACCGTATACTTCAACCCCTGTAACAACGGGTAAAAAAAAATCTGCACATATTTTAGCTATTTTAATAATTATTCTTTTGTAAAACAACAGAGTCCTAAGGTATCCTAGTTGATTCTTAGGGATGATTTACTGGTAAACAAATCTTAATTATGTCCACCAAACAAGTGATCTCTGAAACTACTCATCCAATTGAGGAGAAACCTTTTTGGGTTTCTAAACATGTTGTGTAGAATGAAGGTCATTTTTACCACACATGCAAGCATGTGCCTGCATGTGTGATGAGTGAAATGACTGATATACTTGATATTGTTGTAACTTTTATATTTTTTGATCAACTGCTTTAAAACTCATAATTTAAAGAATAATTAGTGGTCTAGACAAGATGAAATGGTCAAATCTGCATGAACTCATGGACATGCACTTCACTCTGATTGGCTGTCACAAAAATCTGAATAACTTCCTTGTTTTTTTTTAACAACATACTTTAAAACTTAAAGAATAGGTATGTTCATAATGTTATAAACGGGAATTCATGAAAACATGTGCATGCATGTGTGCTGAAATTTGATTGGCTGAAAGTTTATATGACTAAAATTCCCTTAATTTTTAAAGAAAACAAGATGAAATTTAGAATATAGATATGTATATAAGGTTCCTACATTATACTGCTATCAAAATTCTTAAAAACATGCACATGTCCACTCTCTCTTTTTATAAAGTAAAAAATCTATCCCACCATGCAGCCCTATCCAGATAACATAAACATGATAAATCGAATAAAAAATTTTGCATCAAAATATGTCTTGCCATTTAAACATACCTAATTTGAACAAGTTTGAATTCACAAAGGGGAAACAGCAAATTGTAGTAAACCCCCTGCCCATCCCACAAAAAAAACTCATACATGTATGTATTTTTTTTTAATTTTAATCATATATGCTATTAAAAGCTTATGTTGTCTTCTGTGTTTGAGGAATAAGGACCCGAGACCTGGGCCAAGAGGTGACCTGACCTGACCAAGGCCACTAAGCGGCCTCGCTCAGGTCAGGTCAGCGAGTGGGCCAGGTCAAGGGTCCTTATTTCACAATGTTGAACTCATAAGGGGTAATCAATTGTTTTATCATACTGATATAAGTTAAGACAATTTTTGTAGGCTTAATTACTAAAACTAGAAATCTGACCAGTCAGCAAGGGCCCCGCCGAAGGTTAGAAATATAAGGGTGCAGATTAGGGGATGAGAATTTTACTTGATTCCAAAAAATTTCAAAATATATAAAGAATAAGCAACAGCAACTGCTAAATATCCAACAATCTGTAAATAGTATCCTTGTATTTACACAAGGCAGTAAAAAACATATCTATAGTAACTCAATTAAATGTATTTAAAAATGAATGAAGCATGTGTTTTCTAAAATGCCAGCCTTCAGTGAATGCAAATATCACCCAGGCTTGACCTTAACTTCAAAACAATATCAGTTGCAGACATTAAAGGTGTTAATTAATCTTAAAGTGACAGAAAGATAACCCTCTAAAATATTCTGCAAACCAGCAAGATAATCAAACCCACGGGATTAATTATACTGCTCTCTCAACCTTTTATTCTAAGTTTACAATAAGAACTTTTTCAGCAATGATAGAATGAGGTTATTATCTGAATACCTGTTAAAATAATTAGTATTCTTGAACTTACATAAGGCAGAAAAAAAGAAAAAGAAAAAAGAAAATAATAATAAAAACAATATCTTTATCTATTTCTTGTTTTTAGAATTCAATAAAATCATAACTCATTGTGTATTTTACCAAAATAAAGTATGAACATTATTTAAATCAACATTTCAGAGAATGTAAACATCATTCAGAATTGACCTTAACTTCAAAACAAACTTCATTTGCAGACAGAGGTGTTAGTTAATCTCAATGTGGCAGATAAAGATAAATGCTTTGGATTTTCTTCAAGAGGAAAGTTAATTAATCCCAAGAGACTCATTGCAGCCTTTCATAGTTTACAATAGGAACATTCTCAGCAGTTATCTCTCTTTGCCCATTCACTCTTATATAAAGTTAAGGAATATACCCCACCACCCCAGCTCGAAACCGGATGTCATAGAGAACCAAACATAGCATCAAAATATGTCTTACTGCCTATTCAACCAACATACCAAATTTGAACTTAACTGGTCAACCCTAAAAAAAGTTATTAGAAAAAACAGAAAATTTGTGGACGGAAGAATGACAGACGGACAGACAGACAGACGGACAGAGTGATTACTATAGGGGACCCGCAAATCCTTGCGGGGCCCTAACAATCAATATATTAAACCTACGAACTGTTATTATCAGTGTTTCATCGGGATTGGGATTCGCTAGTGAAGTTGTTTACTTTTCACCTGCAAGTCTTGTAAGTTTTTGCACCGCCGATTTATTAAAACACTTTGTGATTGTCAGTAACATGCATTTTTATAAATTCACAAATACCATTTCCGAGTACAATGACAATCTGGTGCAGACTTTTACTGTACAAAAGATTCAAGTCTGCATTCGTTGAATTTGACATTGTAACGAAAGTTTCAATGAAAATAATATACAATTATGGACTCTTTCGGTGGTGAATATGGTTTGTTATTCACCAGAAAAATATCAATATTGACCGAGGCTTCGCCTCGGTCAATATTGAAATTTTTCTGGTGGATAACAAACCATATTCACCACCAAAAGGGGTCCATAATTGTTTTATTATATAGTTCAGATTTGAATAAATAAGGCATTGAAGATTGCATGACGACATTCATAACTGACTGCATGACGACATTCTTTTCATTTACGAACTTCTGTCGTTGAAAAATAAAAAAAATGTCCAGATTACAAGTTATAACGTCTGTGTTTTTCATCCGCTGTGCGTAAGACATCGAAGTGTTTGGAAAATAATCCTGCGATAGGCATGCCTGACATTTTTCCTGCTCAGATACACAGCTGGTTCTGGCCTTTGCAACCAACTGTTTACAACTTTGTTTGAGGATTTGATTGTGACATCACAATGCCGCTGCACGCTCACTGACCCTCCAGTGAATACGGCTTCAAATCCGGTGAATATGTAGTGTTATGAACCGTTTGCGTTTGTATAGATTATATAGGGACTATAAATAGACTATATAATAATAAATTTTATGACCCATCTAAAGGACTATCGTATTCTGTATCATAAAAAGACTAAACATATTTTTATAACGGCATTTTTTGTAATGAACAGTCATTACTGTATGCGTTAATTCTTAAATTTGAATGGAATTTAGATTAACAGGTCATTTTGAACAGTCATTATTCATAATGACCGGGTCATTATACCCCACATGCAATGATTCCTAGGTCATTATTGCTGTAAATGGTACTTTTTGGAGTCATTATTGAGTTTAAAAGCCTTCTAACAAGCCAATCAAATTTGAGTATTCTTAATTAACAGAGGTATAATAAGACCTTTTATTCACACATCTACACATCATGCCTGACAGGGATGGGGTCGATTACTCTCAAAAGTAATCGATTAAATTACAATTACTTTGGATTTTAAAAGTAATTAATTACAAGCTGATTACAGTCATTTTTTAAAGTGATCAATTACATCTGATTACTTTTCCATCATGTAATCATGATTACTTGTGATTACTTTAGATTACATGAAATTTTATGAAGTTTTTCTTCTTATAAATTCTTTGTTTAATGTTCGGGAAAGAAATGTTTTCTTTGTTTTTTTTCACAGGTCATTACATATTAAAATCAGTGCTCATATTACACACTTTTTATCTCAATTTAATCAACATTTACATTTTAAAGGCAGAGTTCAGACAAAATTTGGTTAAATGTCCTTACATAGATGCTTGAGATGGTTTACCTGATCATCTGGTCTGTATCTTATAGACAAGTAAATATCTGTGTTATTGTTGGGGAAAAACCAAATACATATAATTTATTAATCCAATTGGACATAATTATAGTTAGAAGTTATTGCCTGTTTACCATAAAAAAGGTTTCTTCTCAATCAGATGAGTAGTTTCCAAGAACACACAAAAAAGTACCAGAGAAGAAATGGAATACAGAGTAAAAACAAAAACTTCCCAAACTTTGTTTTGATAACTCATATCTAGCCTTTTATCAGAAAGGAAACATTCTTACATCTTTCTTTTTTTTACTTGTTATCCCTATAGTTACTTCTCCTGTCCAGTCTATGAGTAAAATATCTTTCTTATAAAACTTTGATTCTTCATCATATCGGTAATCTGCCTTGGAGAGATTCTTTACCACGCCCAATATGTCTACAAAGAACAATATATGATAAGTGTCTCAAATGGCCCCAAAAATAAATACATGTTTCTTAATTTTACTTTGTATATAGCTTTACTTTGCACAGCTATACACGTCACCTTTATTCATACCTTTCAATTTGATCAAAATGCCATTAATTTAGAAATATGATATCATAAAGTTCACCTTTTCCTGCCATTTTAGCATATTTTGTATAAAACTGCTTATTTTCAATCAGTTTTTCTTGTAGAAAATATTGAGTGCAGACTTGAACAAACTTTATATTTTTTCCAAAGATGTATCTATCCAAGACTAATTACTGACAGAAAAATTTTGCATGTTCAAAGCTGCACTCTATGTTTCCCATATGAAAAACGTCAAGGAAAAGCCACATTTTTGTCTTATTTTGAATTTTTGTTTGATTGCAAAAAAACTGTAGATTCCTAAATATATGCGAGGAATTAATTAACGCGTAATTACGCGAGGAGCACCACTCGCGAAATAAAGTTACTCCCTTTTATTTTTATGGTGTTGAAATTAATGTTAAATCTCATTGTACACCGTCCATTCGCGAATTATTGTTCTCGCGATTTGGCGTCTAAGAGCCCTTTCGTGATATTAAGTACTCGCGTACAATAAGGACAGGGGTGTGCAATTACAAAAATTAGTTACTAGCCCGTCGGGCTAGTGGCAGTAAGCAAGTTACTAGCCCGAGGTTGCCAGTCACTAGCCCATTAACTACCGAAAACAATACATGTATAAGTATAGCAAAAAAGTAAATAAACAAGAGGCCCATGGGCCACAACGCTCACCTGAATAACTTTGGCCCTGCTGTTCTTCACCAGATGATCTTTTTGTAATACCTATTGTGGCCCCGCCCTACCCATGGGGATCATGATTTTAACAATTTAAAATCTACACTACCCTAGGATGTTTCCATATAAGTTTCAGCTTTACTGGCCAAGAGGTTCTTGAGGAGAAAATTTTTGAAGATTTTTCCTATATATTTCAATGTAAAACTTGGATTCCCTATTGTGGCCCCGCCCTACACCCAGGGGTCAAGATTTGAATTCTTTAGAATTTACGCTGTCCCAGGATGCTTCTACAAAAGTCTTAGCTTTTCTGACCAAGTGGTTCTTGAGAAGAAGATTTTTTTTTTCTATATATTTCAATATAAAAATTGGATTTCCTATTGTGGCCCCGCCCTTTCCCCGGGGGTCATGATTTTAACAATTTAAAATCTACACTACCCCAGGATGCTTCAACATAAGTTTCAGCTTTTCTGGCCCAATGGTTCTTGAGAAGAAGATTTTTAAAGATTTTTTTCTATATATTTCAATGTAAAACTTGGATTCCCTATTGTGGCCCCGCCCTTGCCCCGGGGGTCATGATTTTTACAATTTAGAATCTACACAACCAAAGGATGCTTCAACATAAGTTTCAGCTTTTCTGGCCCAATGGTTCTTGAGAAGAAGATTTCTTAATGACCCCACCCTATTTTTGTCTTTTCTTGATTATCTCCCCTTGTAAGGGGGTTTGGCCCTTTATTTTAACAATTTAAACTCCCCTTCACTCAAGGATGCTTTGTACCAAATTTGGTTAAAATTGGCCCGGTGGTTCTTGAGAAGAAGTTGAAAATGTGAAAAGTTTACAGACGGACGGACGAACAGACGGACGGACGACGGGTGATCAGAAAAGCTCACTTGAGCTTTCAGCTCAGGTGAGCTAAAAACATTTAAGTTGAAATGAATAAAACAAATATTGGTTTTGCGCTTTGTTATTGTCAGGTACTTCTCCCTATATTTATCGACTATAATTGTCACTGAAACAACTGGCGATAGCAACACACAATACATATAGGTTAAAACGAATTTAAGATTATGATTTTACAACAAAGTTAATTCGTACATCAATTCAGTCGACGTAAATATACTCATATTTTCGTTTTAAATTTACTAGCCAAACGGGCTAACACAGTAAAGATTTATGATAGCCCGACCTCTAAAATTGGTAGCCCCGGGCGTCGGGCGATGGTAATTGCACACCCCTGAAGGAATTTAAAGTAGCATCATTTCTGACGTCATCAACAGCCTGTGAATGCATATAAATGTGAAAAATGTATTGGAAATATCTCTAATATAATCTCTTCTACAAAATAAAAAACAATTACACATATCTGAATCACATTCTAAAATGTTGATTTTGGGGGGCCAAAATTGATTCCTATCAAATATAGTCCTTATACAGAAATTCAAAATAACAATATTTTGTTCATTTATGCTTCCTTGTACATGTAAGATGCTCCCTCTCTTTAAAACCTTACCAAAAGTTTTTGAGGATTTATGTTTTCTGTGAATTTCTTCAACATGCACTGGTTCAAACTGAACCCTTTTTCTCACAGCAGTTTCTGTGCCCCTGTGACTGCTACTACTTGAACTAGCTGCATCACCAGTGCCACTGTCTTGGGAAAGGGAAGGACCATCAACTGGTTCAATTAAGGGTTTTCGTTGAAACTTAAGCTCATACTTGTGGCACCTTTTGTAGTCTTTATTGGCCACCGTTATATCTGCACCAAAACCAGAGATGTAGTACTCCTGAAAGAAAAGGTTTTTTGACATTATATTTTATCATTCTTTTCTTTTGTCCTAATATCTCTCAATATTAATAATGATTTAGTCATAATTTAAACAAACTTGAAGAGACTACGATGGAATCATCATTGTTTATGGAGGTCACTGTTCATGGGGAATTTGACTGGTTCATGGGTAACTTGCATATCTTATTAAGATAAATGAATCAACTGTGCTAAATGTTTGTGTGTTTCAATGTTTGTGGGGACTAATATTCGTGGGTAAGGGCTACTTTCAAAATCCACGAACAATGATCCCCCACGAACATGATGATTCCACAGTACCTGAAGTTGTTTTGATATTAATAACTAATCATGGTATTGCTGTTCTTGAGAAGAAGGTTTTTAAAGTTTTGTTAAAGTCATGATCTAAACCTGACATTGCTTCTCTTTTAATAATGACTAATCATGGCTCTACTGTTCTTGAGAAGAAGATTTGTAAAGTATTTTCCCTATATGCTCCTTTGTAAAACTTTGATCACCAAATGTACACATGGCCCCATCCTACAACAGAGGTCATGATTTGAACAAACTTGAATCTACACTATCTGAGGTTCTTCCATACTAATCATGGCTTCCCTTCAGAACTTTTTAAAAAGTATTCTTTTAAGATGCGAACAAACTTGAATTTAAACCTAAGCTGAGGATGCTTATTCATATGACTAATCATCCTGATCATGGCTTTGCTGTTCATGAGAAGATGATTTGTAAAGAATTTCCCTTTATATTTCCATATGAAACTTTCAGTTTGATTCCTTATTTTGATCTACCCTACCCCTCGGGCCATGACAATTTAGAATTCAAACTACCTTAGGAAGTTTACACACAAGTTCAATCTTTTTTGGTGCAGTTTTGCTAACACCAAAATGTATGTGAGTATACACGTTTTGATAAAAACATGAATAGTTTGTTTGAAATTGGGCTAAACACAATGCAAGAGGCCTTTCGGTCACAACGCTCATCTGAGTCACTTTTGCTTTGCTGTTCTTCGGATTTTTTTCCCTAAGTACATGTATTCATATGTAAAAATCTGTCTTTTGTGGCCCTACCCTATACACAGGGGCCATGACTTTCAGAACAAAATAAGTAATAACAAAATCTAATCTACACTACCAGAGGAAGCTTCGATAAAAACATGACTTATCATGGCTTTGCTGTTCGTGAGAAAAAAGGTCTTTAAAATCTTTTCCTATAAATTCCTATGTAAAACTTTGATCATCTACTGTGGCCCTACCTTAGCCCTGGGGTTCTTGATCTGAACAAACTTGAATCTACACCACCTGAGGATGCTTCCACATTAATACTATTTACCATGGCTTTGCTGTTCTTGAGAAGAGGAGTTTAAAAGATTTTTTCCCTATATAATCCAATGTAAAAATCTGATTGCCTATTATCATTCAAAAGTTAAGGCCATTTTTTAAGTTTTCCAAAAGAAGGTCAAACTCCAAGGTCAATAGGTCACAAAAGTTGGTATCCAGGAGAATGTCTTGTCACAAGAAAAACACACATGAAATATGAAAACCGTAACTCCAAACATTCAAACATGTCAGGACTCAAAGCAGACTTTGGGACAAGGTAGCCATATGCATGATATGGCTACCTACTTTTAATTTAACTGGCCATTTTGAGATTTAGGTTGCCAAGTGTAAAGGTCGCCTTCAGAAATAGGAAATGTTGAAAAAAAAAAACACATATCGAAATCTTTTTCAAAATATTTATTTTTCCATACTCTCTGCAGAACTAATCCTACTGATGCTCTACAACGATGATTTTCACTAGGAAAAAATATTTAACTACATTTTCGAACGAATTTTTTGTATGATGACCATGTGCAGCGGTCAAGATTAGATTAGATAATAAATTACATCATATCACATCATTTTTTTTCATTAACCAGAATTTTTATCGTTGATACGTATGTAATATTGGGGCGAGCAAGAATTCGGGTTACAGAGACTTCGAAAACATGTAGAGCTTAGGGAACTCCAACAACAGTATATTACTTTTCTGCAAAGTCTTCGAGATTTCAGGTCTTATTTTGCAGAGAGAAAAGTATTTAACACACTGCTTTTGCATTTCTTCCCCATTCTGGGCTGTATGATGGAAAATGCAAAAATGGACAGACCGATTGTTTCCTTGAGCCTGCCATCTTGACTATTTTGACTGAATTTTTAACCCAATGTAAGAAATGTTAAGAGGCCTGGTCAGATTTTTTTTTTGGTCGCGGAGTGGCGACTAATTGTTAATTTTACTCGCAAAATTGAAAGAGCTAAATCCACGAAAGGGAAATCAGCCCAGTCATCAAAATAAATGAAACTTTCTCACATAAAACTCTAAGATTTGTATGTTGTAAAACAATTTATTTTTTAACAATATCTTTTCTGGTTTTCTTTTAACATTCGTTTAAATTTGGTATTGTTTTCCTTATTAATACTTTCTCGTCATTACGTTGACGTTACATACTTAAACGTCGTGACATTGACATTTTGTATAAGAAAGTAACATATGTACATATGGAATAAAAATAACCAACATAGGCTCTTCTTTAAAATTTTGGGAAAATTTTACTATGAATTTTTCAAGAAGTTCTTAAAACTTTTGGTTTATTTTTTAATTAAAGCAGTTTGTACTCTAAAGAAATGCCATATATTTGTTATATACAACGGTTGTCTGGTATAATCGTTGATACCTGTAACACGTTTTAAATGATAATAAGAGATACGTTAATCTGAAAACAAACACAACGTGTTAATCCATCATATTTGAGTAAAACTGAATTAATGTAGTAAAATATATACTATAGTAACCATGGATAAGGATTTTATCATTCTTAAATGTTTTATTGTATGGTCACACGGCATACAAACAAAAAATAGACACTTTTTCAGAAAATACACAAGTACTAGTACTCTTTAATAACAAAACCATAAAATTAAAATGAAAAGTTGCATTAAAAATGAATACGTTTAAAGTTACCATCTATTTTATTGTCATTTTGAGACTTTCGTTGCACTTCTTTAATTTATGGCATTTCCCGGATATTTGAAATGAAATTGTGGTTCATACATGTACATGTAATAAATAGTGATGTTTGACGGTAATCCTGCACACCACAGATTGACAGGAAAGAAGCCACTATAGACTTTTAAACAAGTTTACAAAGCATCAAATCGGCCGTAAAAAAATTAAGAGTCCAACGAAAACACAAGATTTCGAAGTATTTGAATTTCAAAATGGAACCTGAAGTTAAAAAAAACAAAACAAACAAGATAAACGGAAATGGCAATATACCACTTTACTCATTGTAAATTACTTAATCAAAATAAAGTTCACCAATTATGATAAATATGTTATATCATCAAAGAGAAATGTTTTTAATATACCCACAATAGGTATGAAGATTTCAGATGACAAAAACGATCGAATTAATTATTGCTACCTAATCGTTTTCTTATCATATTATCATCTTACACACTCCCATTGTGGGGAGTACCTATTATAAACCCTTTTAATAAAATCATGAAGTAAAGATTATCTGGTGAGAAGTGAAAATTAAATTGAAACATAACAACATCTAAGACTTTCATATAGTTCAAAACCAGTTTTAACATTTTACTCATAATTTTACTCATAATTTTCAAATATTTAAAATAACATTTCGGGAATTCCCCTACTAGACGTACCCGTACCCGTACACCGTAAATCTCAACCTCTCTATTACATTCTATACATTCAGGATACATGGCCGTAAGAATCGGGGGTGGCCATGCCCCTCCCCCCCCCCAATAATTTTGCCGATATATAGTATACTATATAAAACAAAGCTACTATATGCTTGTGCCCCGTCAATAAAAACGTCTGATCCCCCCCCCCCCCTTTTTTTTTTTTTTTGCTTGTCAAGGAATTTTGGTAGTTGATAGTGCCCCCAACTGAAAATGTATGACTGTGCCCCCCACCCCCCCCCCCCCCCCAACTGAAATTGCTACCTACGGGCTTGGGATCTATAATAATAAATTTATGCAATGACCGAGTCACGAAAAATCAATCGTTTTTAAATTAAATTTTTATCAAGGAGATTGAAAAAAAAAACTGCTATTGAATTTATTATTTTTTTTTATACTATATATACAAGGTCTAATATAATTAGCATTGTTATTTATTCACTTTACTACTTTCTTGTTTAAATGGCAGCAGTAATTGGTCGAACTGTCCCACGTATTTAATGTGTGGGAGTGGGAATCCCGCAACCCCCCTCCTCCCAATAACCCTTGTCTTTTTTTTTTTTTTTTGTAAATGTAATAGTTTTTTTTTTTTTTTTTTTTGCTTCTTATTTTATATCGATGCTCTAATCCCCCTTTATGAATTAACACTACTACATTATAAACATGCTTGCTAATCTTGGTTGCCCTCTCTCCCATGGGCCTGTTACATTTAAGCGGAGTAACTCAAAATAGAAAGAGATAGCAAGTAGCCTCCCTTTGACATTTTTTTTTTCATGTGTTGGCTAGGTCACAGCATGCATGTGATACTGAAATTACTTAAAACCATAGAGAGTTATCACTGCCTTGGTAATAAGTTATTCGTTTATACAATATAGGGCATTTTTCTTATAGTCTAAGAGGCCTATCACAAAAATTATACACGATCTGTAAAATCAATCTATCGTTTATTTGATCTGTCAGCTCGAATTTTCTAGGTTCAATACTTCGTAACATAATTTATGTTAAGAAGTCTCGGATCAGTAAAGGTTTTCACTAATAAATATTGATTAATCTTTTGTCTTAAAATGCCACTGGCGATTTCTGAAACGCATGTTGGGTATGGGTTATTATTATAATACATGTATAGTTATAAAAGACTCTATTGCGTGACATTAACCATTTGTATGCTGTCGATGCAGATTTCACGACATACACAATTTATGTTTTGTAAGGTGGCAAAACAATCATTATAAATTCATCCTGGTAGTTGCATCCGATGTAAATTGTTTCATATTCTAGGCTATTTCAACAAGGCACTCAGGAGAAAATAAAGAAGTAGCCTACATGTTTCTCGGGTGATCTCCCTTTGATTACATAGTGACCATAGGCATACTGACCATAGTGAGGAGGAGCCGGGAGTTGGAAAACAAATTCAAAGCATAAATAAATAGGCTGTCAGAGGAAAAGAAAACACATTATTATTTTTTTTAAAACCTTTCAGCATAATGATGAGTTATAGATCAACTTCTTGAAGGAAAAGTCTTGGGTCAGGACTGAGGCACGTAGTACACAAAATGTTGACATTATTGCATCTACATGCAGTCATGCTTAGCGAGAATTTTTCATCCTTTTTTTTGCACCACAACACAAATTAACTTATTATAAATATAACATTCGCATTTCGAAACTTTTTAATATTTACAAAAACAATATACCCGGTAGAATCTTTTTCTTTTCTATTAATGTAGGGTAATCCCCGCTATTTTCACAGTGTGAGTCAGTGCTAAGGTATTTGAACCGAACGAAAAGTATTAATTTCGATGTGACCACAAAATAAAAATATACTTTATTTATTCATATTTTAATCCTCTTTTCAATGGTATAAATTTTATTTTGTTCGAAGGGTGTGGCCACAGCAAAAATTTGAACCAAAGGCGAAAAAAATGCTTTATTTTGATAAAAACTAGCAAAGTGCACGTGTTTAGACGTTTTCTGTACAAATATGACGTCATCAAATAAACAAATTGGCATAAACTATTTAAGTTTGATACCCAAGGATAATGTTTCTATTGTTAATTTTCTTCTTCCCCTCAGTTTAATTTTCCTGAAAAAATAGGCCGATTTAGCCCCTTCGTGGATTTAGCTCTTTAGCTCGCATTTGTGAGTTAAGTACTTGCAACTTTGAGCCTTGCATGTTCAAAAGTTATGGCTAAGGTTAATGATTTTCAAAAGTATGTCAAACCTCAAGGTCAAAATGTCAAAAATGTTGCTATCATAGCAAAGATCTTGACACAAGTGAAGTATGAAAGCTCTAAGTTCATTTGTTCAAAAGTTCAAGTTTGGTAAAATTTTGCATAAATGGGTCAAACTCCAAGGCCAAGGTCAAATATGTTGGACCAAATGAAAACTCTTGTCACAAGGAATACACAAGTGAAATACGAAAGCCCTAGCTCTAACCAATCAAAGGATATGGGCAAGGTTAAAGTTTTTTGCTGACAAACTTATAAACAGAAAAACAGCCAGACGGATGGACAGACCAAAACTTATATGCCCCTGAATCTTCAATTAAGGGGGCATAAAAATTGTCATTAGTAATCAGAAAAGTGGAGGAAAGAAAAGAACTTTATCCTTTTAATAAAATTAACTTACCTTATTATTTTCAATCTCAGACTCGATTTCTTCGGCAATTTTTCCAAATGCCACTCCTCTAATTTCAGAGCCTGATTCATCTTTCAAGAACACTACAAACTTATTTCCCTCCCCATCTTTGTTCTTATAATACTTTTTGTCTTCTGTATCCGTTTCAATTCTCACAGTTGCTTTAATCTTATAGCTGGCAAACAGAAAAACGAACATGATGAACAAATCTTCATTTTTACATAAATTATCATGGTTATACTTGTACATGTATATAGCATGTATAGTTTAAAGTATTTCCACCCTCATGTGATGTCATAGTTTATTGCAACAAGAGGCCCATGGGCCACAATGCTCACCTGAGTCACTTTGGCCCTCTGTTTTGCATCAGATTTTCTTCCCAATACACATGTATTCCTATGTAAAATTCTGATCATCTTTTGAGGCCCAAACCTATACAAAGGGGCTATGATTAGAGCAAAAACATAGGTATTCAGAGATTACAGAGCTCACCTCAACGAATGTTGTCTTTAAGTAAGGCAAAGTCTCACACTAAACTAATAATCTAGGAGTGTGCATCCCTAGATGCAACATTCATGCAATTTTGGTCTGATAGGGCTTGCAGTTACTTGGGAATAGACTTATCTGAAAACTTAAAACTAGTCACTCATCCAGAAAGTGTAAGTCAAATCCAGCATCCAAAGCAAGTTTTGAGATTGTTCATCCCTTGATGCATCATCCATGCAAGTTTGGTTCAGATAGGCCTTATAGTTACTTGGAAATGAGATCTGCTCCAAAAACTTATGCTGGTTACTCATCCAGAAAATGTAGGTCAGATCCAGCATCCGAAGCAAGTCCAGTAGTGTGAATCCTTAGATGTATCATCCATGCAAGTTTGGTCAATATAGGGTTCATAGTTACTTGGAAATGACATCTGCTCCAAAAACTTTAACCTGGTCACTCAAATGGAAAATGTAAGTCAAATCCAGCATCTGAAGCAAGTTCAGTAGTGTGCATCCTTAGATGTATCATCCATGCAAGTTTGGTCAATATAGGGCTTATAGTTACTTGGAAATGAGACCTGCTCCAAAAGCTTTAACCTGCTCCAAAAACTTTAACCTGCTCCAAAAACATTAACCTGGTCATTCTTTAGCTGAAATTGCAGCATCTGAAACCTTGACTGGTACAATAAAACACACTAGAAGCATCCTCCATGCATCTCTGACTAATATAGGCCATAGAAGTACTTGAAAAGAAAACTGCTCCAAAAACCTTAACCTGGGACGCCGACGCCGAGGGTATCACATAAGCTCCCCCAACTTCGTTGAGGTGAGTTAAAAGTGAATCAACAAGAGCAGAGGATGCTTCCACATTAACATAATTAAACGTAGCTTTTTTGCTTTTCTTAAAGATTTTTCCCTAGCAAATCCCTATTGTAGCCCCACCCTACCCCTGGGGACCATGATCTGAACAATTTACACTACCACAGGAAGCTTCACCTAAATTTTATCTTTTCTTGTCTAGCAGTTCTTGCGTTCGAAGATTTTTCAAATATATTTCAATGTAAAACTTTGATTCCCTGTGGTGGCCCTGCCCTACCCTCAGTCAAGGGTCATGAATTGAACAATTTAGAATCTACACTACATAAGAAAGCTTTCACATAAGTTTTAGTTTTTCAAGCCCAGTGGTTCTTGAAGATTTTTTCCTACATATTTCAATGTAAAACTTTGATTCCCTGTGGTGACCCCAACCTACCTCTTGGGGCCATGATTTGAACAATTTATAATCTTTACTATCTCAGGAAGCTTTCAAATAAGTTTCAGCTTTTCTGGCCCAGGGGCTCTTGAGAGGAAGATTTTTTTAATGATATACTCCACCTTATTTTTGCCTTTTTTTGATTATCTCCACTTGAAATACAGTTTGGCCCTTTATTTTAAAATCGTCTTAATCTAGGGATGCTTTGTATCAACTTTGGTTAAAAATGGCCCAGTGGTTCTTGAGAAGAAGTTGAAAGTGTGAAAAGTTTACAGGTGATCAGAATAACTCACTTGATCTTTCAGCTTAGGTGAGCAAAAAAAAAAGTTTATTAATTAAACTTAAGCACAATTCCACAATTTGTCCTTTGGAACGAAACATTTAGCAATTTTAGTAAATTGGTTTTCTTTTATGTTCACGTTATCTGCTCTTCCTTAAGGTTCATTGATACTCTGACAAGAGAGATAACTCTCACTGAGATAAATTCTTATACTCGTGCGGATCAAGGGGTGGGGGGTCCCTTCTGGAATTTGCAGAGCTATTTAATGTACATAGTAAAGTAATTAAAAAATTACCTTGGACATTCCCCCCCCCCCCCCCCCCTGCTGGACAACATGGACACCTGTCAAGTGGCTAGGAAGAGTAAAAGTTAAAAGTACATGTAATTTGTATTTACGTAAAATCTTTAATCTTTTTCTGGGATTAAAGCCTGTCGAAAAACTTTTCATGAGGTTAATCTCAATTTACTCAATTATTATGTCAGCGATTTTGTCAATCATCAAAGGAACATGGCATGACCACATCTGTAAATAAAATGCCAACATGCTTAGCTTATAGATCAATTAGTAATAAGGAATTTGATTGGTCAGTTTAACAAGCATTCTTAGAGCAATACTACTCCCCCTACCAACAAGTGTAATATGGTTCCTCTTTAGCAATATAGGAACAAATAAGAACTTAATTTGGTTGTGTCTTTGAGGGCAAAGACAATTTAAGGAGGTAGGAATGTAATGTATAAATGTGTAATGGTTTGGGCCATGGATATCGATCAGTCTGGGTAGCTCAGTTGGTAGAGCACCTGACTGGTGATGCAGGGGTCCTGGGTTCCATTCCCGGTCCATCCATACATTTTCTCCTTTCCTGTTACAAATGGATATCAGCCTGGATAGCTCAGTAGGTAGAGCACCTGACTAGTGATGCAGGGGTCCTGGGTTCCATTCCCAGTCCATCCATACATTTTCTCCTTTCCTGTTACAAATGGATATCACCCTGGATAGATCAGTAGGTAGAGCACCTGATTGGTGATGCAGGATTCCTGGGTTCAATTCCCAGTCTAGCCATACTACATCCTTTCCTATAGTCACATACTAATAAAAATCATGGTAATAGGTCCCTGCTTAAATTGACATCTTTGCAGCATATTGCCATTTTCATTAAAAGTAACAGTAAAATTACATTTCAGTTGCTTATTTAAGTTTAATCTGACTATACCTTCCTAAATGCCTAATGTTAACCAAGCTATCTAGCTATGTAGCTAAATAAAGATTAATATGCTGTGAACAACTCATGAAAGTTGTACAGCAATTATTCTCTTTAGAGAAGCGGGTACACTTTGGCTTACAACTAAGGCCAAAAAGAATAATAGTCTTGTTTCCTGCTACCAGCCTGAAAAAATAGGGTAGGTAGGTAGGAAAATTATTTTATTTTATTTTTTTATTTTATTTTTTTCCGATGGCATTTTCTGGATATGAACTAATAAAAGATCAAATTAAATATGTCACAGGTCAATATTGTCTTTTAAAATTAAATTTCATGTCTTTTTATGCACAACTCAAATGGTATTTTATGAAAGTCCATATTCAAAACAAGAATTTCATGAAATGCTTGTTTTGTGTTAACAACGGAAATCGATTACAGTGACAGAATGATGAAATTCTGGAAATTCCCAATTTCTTTTCTTCCAAAACTAAAAAAAAAAACTTTAGGATCGGGTGCAAAAAAATAGGGTAGGTCAGGTAGCAGGAAACAAGACTATTATTTTTTTTGGCCTAAGAGTAGATGTAAGCAAAAGCATCATACTTCTCAAAAGAGAGTATCTTTCTCCAGCAATGCACTACAGGGTTCTTTGCCATGTATAGTATTATGCCATTAGTGATCATCCGAAGTCACATGCATTGCGTATTTAAGCATAAATTATCTGCGTACTATAAATAAACAAAGGTACTGTTGTCCGTGAAAATGATGCTATTTTTAGAATGTCCTTGTGACTATCACGTGACAAATTTACATGTCACAAATTCTCGTCTGCAGTGTATATTTTCAATGTAAACAATATGACTACTGCTCGGAAAGAGTTAAATTTAACAAGAGACCCAAGGGCCTTAACGGTCACCTGAGTATGATACAATAATTTAAAGGATGCATAGAGTATAAAATGAACTGAAAGGTGAAACTTTGTTGCCCAAAAGAAAAAAAAAAATAGGGTGATCATGATCAACAAAATAATTGGTCTTAATATTCATTAACAGTTCATAAATTAGATTCTAATCTGTTCCCCATTTATCACTATTACCATACAGTATATTAACAAATTATCAATGCTTCTGTACTATTTTAATCCCTTGTTGAAATCTCTTACATTGGCCTCTCTTGGTCTTTGATGAACATTTAATAAGACAAGTTATTTTTGTCTCATTTTTATTTATCTACTACTTACAAGTCTATCTGATCATTAAAACAATGAAAGTACTTTTTGTATTATACAATAAAAGTTTTTGCATAATTCTCTTATTCTATTTACCTTTCAAGTACATCATTTACAGTAGTAAATGGCAAAGGGGAATAACTCCTCTCAGTAGAATACAAACTAATAGAGCCCTGGCCAGGACCAGAACACTTGACCAAATGGTCCAGATTTTCAAAAATCTGGTAAAAATTCCCTTCCTTATAAAATTTTTTACTCTATTTGCCTCAAATATGCCCAGGTTCGGAGAAGATTTTTAAAGAAATAATGCATTTTTACTACAGATTCACTATATTATCAATAGAGCCCCCCCCCCCCAACACCAGAGCTTCTGACCCTGGAACCATAAGTTTGCTCATCATAACTAATCACTTTGTTTATCTACTTAACACTAAGGAGCAAACAGGATTATTTAATAGAATTAATGCATTTTCACTATATCATCAAGAGCCCCACCCTCACACCAGCACATCTGACCCAGGGGTCATGAAATTCACTACTCTGAAAGAAGCATTCTTGCTCATCATAACTATACACTTAGCTTCTTTGCTTTTTTAACCAGAAGCAGAAAAGAATATTTTCAAAGAAATTTTGCTTTTTCACTTTATAATCAATAGAAGCCCCCCCCCCCCCCCCCCCACCAGAACCCTTAAACCTGGGGTCAATTTTGGAAGAGGCATCCTTGCGTATCATAACAATGTACTTAGTCTGTTTAAACAATACCCAGGGGCAGAGAAGAAGATTTTCAAAGAAATAATTCACCTTCACTATAGGATGTATATAGCCCCGCCCTAGCACCAGAACTCCTGTCCCCGGGGCCATGAATTTCATACTTTTGGAAGAGGCATCCTTGCGTATCATAACAATGTACTTAGTCTGTTTAAACAATACCCAGGGGCAGAGAAGAAGATTTTCAAAGAAATAATTCACCTTCACTATAGGATCTATATAGCCCCGCCCTAGCACCAGAACTCCTGTCCCCGGGGCCATGAATTTCATACTTTTGGAAGAGGCATCCTTGCTTATCATAACAATGTACTTAGTTTGCTTAAATAATACCCAGGTGCAGAGAAAAAGATTTTTAAAGAATTAAAACATTTTCACTTTATAATCAATAGAGCCCCACCCTAACACCAGAACCCCTGATCCAGGGGCCACGAATTTCACAATTTTGGAAGAGGCATCCTTGATTATCATAACTATGTATTTAATGTGTTTCAATAATACCCAGGAGTAGAGAAGAAGATTTTCGAAGAATTAATGCATTTTCACTATATAATCAATAGAGCCCCACCCTAACACCAGAACCCCTGCCCCTGGGGCCATGAATTTCACAATTTTGGAAGAGGCACTCTTACTCATCATAACTATATACATAGTTAGTTTATTTAATACCCAGGAGCAGAGAAGAAGATTTTCAAAGAATTAATGCATTTTCACTATATAATCAATAGAGCCCCACCCTAACACCAGAACCCCTGCCCCTGGGGCCATGAATTTCACAATTTTGGAAGAGGCACTCTTACTCATCATAACTATATACCTAGTTAGTTTATTTAATACCCAGGAGCAGAGAAGAAGATTTTCAAAGAATTAATGCATTTTCACTATATAATCAATAGAGCCCCACCCTAAAACCAGAACCCCTGCCCCTGGGGCCATGAATTTCACAATTTTGGAAGAGGCACTCTTACTCATCATAACTATATACTTAGAAATGATCTATATAGCCCCGCCCTAGCACCAGAACCCCTGACCCTGGGGCCATGAATTTCACAATTTTGGTAGAGGACTCAATGCTTATTACAATGATGCCAACAGTTTGACTGCTCGATGTCCAGGAGTAAAGAAGAAGATTTTTAAAGATTGCATTAATTTTGGTGGTTTTAGCCCCACCCCTCAGGCCCCAGGGGGGCAGGGACCATGAAATTCATAATTTTTGTTCCCCTTCACCCATAGATGCTATATGCCAAATTTGGTTGAAATTGGTTTAGAGGTTTCAGAGAAGAAGCTAAAAATGTTCAAATGTTAATGCACATCGCATGACGCACGCCGACAAACAAAAATGGATAGCAATAGGTCACCTGAGTGACTCAGGTGACCTAAAAATGATGTCAACGAAGTATAGTTGTTTCTTTGTATCAAATGGAACTGAAACAGCCATAGTTGCCAACTCACCCGATTTCGTGGGTTACACCCGATTTTTCGACCCTTAACCCGATTATTTTTTGTGACACGGCGGGTCATGCTTCTCACCCGATTTTTGCCGAACAACCCAAAAATCTCCTGATTTCCGGATTTGGTTTGTAAATTAGGTTGCATTTTCAACTTCCAGTTACAACCTAAGCTTGGATATATGTAAACAATGCTGATGGCTATGTTCAGTAGGCTGTATACCAGTAAATTATCAGTGCAGGTGTAAAAACAATTACCTGAGAGTTGTTTTGACAAATCAAAGTTTGAAGTCAATTTAAAATGACTTCCGATAGAACGAGATCGTTATCAGCAGGAACAAATTGAACCAAGAAAAAGAGAAACAATATTAATGTACTTATCAAGGAATCTTGGAAAACAACTTTCATTAGATAAAATATAAAGTATTCGAAGATAGTGTAGGCATAACTGTACTTTTAATAGCACTTGTTTATTTCATTAATTCGAGAGAGGAAAAATAACTTCAAAACCAAAATCGGAATACTTTCAAATTTAGCACAAACTTTCCATGTGCTTCAAATCAGCAATGCGCTAGATTCTGAAAAGACTTTCCTTTAAAAAAAATGCACACTTAATTCAGGTCAGAATAATAAAACCTTCAATGCTCTTTTAACATGTAACATTTAATCAATATATATTAAATTTTCGCATTGTAAGTTAGTCTCTTTTTCATAAAATAATTCTCAATACACAAATGCTTATATATACATATATTTCGTTACGTTTTATGACCAGATTTTTATATGTTGGAGGTTGGCAAGTATGGAAACAGCAAGAAATATCTCGTAGATTGGGAATACCCTGAACAACAATAACATTGGTGACAGATCATTTTCAGAAGTGAGGTACTGAAATGCATGGCAACTTTTGAAGTCAGTAAAAGAAAACAAAAAACAAAGTTTGTCTGATATCACTGCCTTATTTAACCAACATAGAGAGTCTACTGTTTCAAAATGAACTGTGCAGAGAACTTCGTTTAAGCAGGGGTATTTTAGGAGAGTTGTAAGAAAACGAATCATAATTCGTGAAGTCAATCGTAAAGCTCGGCTTTCTTGGTGCAGAGCACGGGCACTGGAAGTTAATGTAAATATATTGAGTATGAAAAAGATATTAAAAAAGGACTTTTTTTTATACATGTACATACTCAATATTTACATTAGGCCAAAAAAAATAATAGTCTTGTTTCCTGCTACCCAACCGACCCTATTTTTTTGCACCCGACCCTAAAGTTTTTTTTTAAGCTTTGGAAAAAAAAAAAAAAAAAATCAAGAAATTTCAATTTCAATAGTCCCCGCCCACTGACGTCAAACACAAAGACAGCCGCACGAGATTTACATGCATATTAGGCCTTCTTAGAGTCAGACACAAAGACAGCCGCACGAGAATTACATGCATATTAGGCCTTCTTAGCTCCTGACCTTTCGCTTGGCGAAATTTACATTACAATAGAATGATCAAGAAATCAACTCTCCTAACTTTCAAAGAGTTATCACAGAGAAAACAATTAGAAATGGAAATATAAAGACATAATTGACCTCTGACATGTTTAATTTGATCTTGTATTAGTTCATATCCAAATAATGCTGTCGCAAAAAAATAAAATAAAAAATAAAATAAAATAATTTTCCTACCTACCTACCCTATTTTTTTCAGGCTGGTAGCTGGAAACAAGACTATTATTTTTTTTGGCCTTAACTTTCAGTGCCCGTGGTGCAGAGGCAACCGTTATAAAACTGTCGTCAATTACTGGCAGATAGTAATATTCAGTGATGAATGTAAAGTAGACATTGGATCTGATAGTCGCGTACTTATCTGGAGAAACAGCGGTCATTTCGAATACAAGTATTTGGACAATCACTCATCAGTCAGGGGCATAATGCAAACAAGTTATTGTCAAAAATAACTCAAATGAGTTATTTTTTTTTCACAGTGAGTTACCTCCCTTTGCTATGACCTACTTTTCCCCAGCATTAGTAACTCAAACACGTTATCTTTCCAAAATAGTTTCAATAAATTAATAACTTGTGTAAGTTATTTTGTGTCATTCCTCCCTAACTTCACACCCTGTGCACCAAAGGTTTTTGCTCGTGCACCAAGACAAAAACAAATGTTTGATAAAATTTAAACCTTGCTCAATCCAGAAAAAATGTTCAAAGTCTTGGGAAAATTGGGAAAAGTTTTTTATTTAATGATAAAAACTGGACATATAAACCATGTAAATAAAACCACAAAATAAGGATTAAAATGCTGTTTATCTCCACCTCCTCACCAATTCTCTATTGGAGTCGGTGCACTCCATCTAGTATTACATAATGGAATCCCAAAATGCAATGCATATTGGCAGGAAATACAAAACTCCCAAGAAATCAAGGTCCAAGTAGGATATAAAAATAACTTATTTTAGTTATTATTAAAAAAAATTTCGTGTGTGTAAAATAACTTATTTAAGTTATTTTTTTGATAACTTGTTTGAGTTATACCCCTGACTGCTCATGGCACAATACTGTACTTACCGTGTTAATTTAGACGTTATTTTTCCTATTTCATTTATTTTGGTGTTTTTACGAGGGGTTTTAGGCCTACAAGCCATAAATTGATTTTTCTTCTTTTCACTTGAATCAAAACTTTTTAAATCCAACAATTCAACAGCTGTTCCACAACGAATAGAAATTTCTTATTCGGCGGGAATGTTATTTGGGATGTATAATGTCCTGATAAGTATAATGTCCTGATGAAGTATGTCATATCATGTTTATGAAATAAAATCATTTCAAGCAAAAATTCTTTTGTGTTTTGTGCATCATCTTCTTATTTAGGTTATTCGCAAAAAATATAAAGTCCGACGGCATATTCGTCAACATAAGTCATATTTCATTTGTAAACACCTCTGACCAGTGCTGACAGTGCGAGTTCCCATACTCAAAATATTCTAGGCCTCTATAATTATTTTAAAAATATCTAGTTTTTTTTAAAACTTTCTTTTAATTCAACTTTTGTTATTTGATTCTCATCTAACAGTATACTTATTCCTGAAGGATTTACTCAAAATAGATATAAATATATGATTTAAATTACTTTTCACATCTAGTTTTACCCAAAACCCATTGTAGGAATCCTAGTGGTTTCGCTCCTGTTTGCTATGAGTGCTTTCGACCTCAGGTTTGTTCGCCCTATTGCATTAGCCCAACTGGTTTGAGGTTCGCTTAAACCTACAGTGTAATGGACGTTAAATGTTAAACAAGAGTGGCCGGTTGATTGTCTAGATTAACGAGCACTTTAATAAATAAAATATAATAATAGACGGACAAAGGAAAAGCGATTCTTTTTGTAATTTCAATTTGTTCAATAAATTTCCGTTATCAAAACCAGACTCGGGGCATAAATATTTATTCATGCCTCATCTCCGCAATGCCAGGGGTCCTGACTCAGAACCTCTAGCTAGCATTGGCGAGGATGGCCTCTGATGAAAACATACAACAATACATATTATGTATAATTATCACCTCCATCAATAGTAAATAATTGTATGTGTTTATATCTTTTATCAAACATGCTATTTCATTTTTAAAAAACCTCAGAAAGAACTAGAACATTTTTGCAAACTCCAAGACATCTACGATTGTAATTTGACCAGCTAGTGAAAATAATATTGTAAATTTAATTTCAGTTTATATTATGATAAGAAGCTAGACCACTTAACAAAACTGAAAACTCTTAACTTATCCTTTACTCTGCTTAGAAAATATGGAAACTTCCTTATTGAATAATCCAAATACGAACAATACGTTTAATTTCCTATGAACCAAAAACATTTCCAGTTATCAAATTTCAGCTTTAAAAAAATGCCAGCTATAGGAATAGTTTTCATTAAATATAAAGCAAAACTTTAAACATTGGATAGGTATAAAAGTGCAGATTGCTAAGAACGCTTAATTTTGGCATTTGCAGCAAAATAAAAAAAAAAGATAAGAAATTTTATCATCCTTTCACCCTTTTTTTCAACAATTTTTTTTATTCCTGAGAAAATGATGTGTAGGCTACAGCCTTTTTGCCTATATGGAATATAGTATATTTACTGGTAGAAGTAAAAGTTCGGATTATCTAAAACTGTCCTTCAGTACTTACGATACTTTAATTTTTGCTAAAAAATGAAAGGAGCTTTTAAGACTTAGATATTGTATATTTGATTTTTGGTCTACAAATACAATTAAGCATGTATATACTAGTTAAAGGATTTTTATGATGTCTCAAAATTTTTTGATATAACAAAATTTACATGCTATTAAAATCATCCATTTAAAATTCTTTGCCAGAAAATTAATATTTTTAATGTTTCAGCGATTCAAAGTTTGGATATCTCAATATGCATATTTTGATCGCCGATGTTACGCGCCATTGCTCTGACGTCACAGGTGTCAATCCTGGACAAGGGAAGTACTTTTCGTTTTGACCTAGATAAGTGATAATTGGATAATTGACAGCTACTAAGGTACAATTTGAAGCGTTTGGATGCCCAAATGCACGCAAGAAAGTTTTAGGAAGATTTTTTACATGCCCTGGGCTTGGTCGGGAGGTGAAAGGGGGCCCTTTTCTACAATTGCGAGGGCTTCGTCTTCATTCAGAACAATCTTTTATGCCCGCGATCACGATTTTTTTTCTGTACTATAAAATATTTAAGAAAATGGTACTTCTCATAATGAAAAAAATATACCAACTTGCATTTTAAAAGTCGCGCACAGAAATGTTGTGAAGTTCGTAATGGCGTACGCGGCGCCATTGAACAGTGTTGAACAGTGAACCCTATATCACGGGAGTTTTATTGCCTAATTACGACCGTTTTCAAAATTATCTAATAATTAAACGTTAAATATAATTATCTATAGTGTTTCATTTCTAAGAAATTTAGATACTTGTTAAAAACCCTTTAAGGAAAAAATATCAAGAAAAATGTTGTCTCAGTACTTATTGTACTTTGAACCGTTCACGGTAGCTCAGTCGGCAGAGTGCTCGCTCCGTGATCGGGAGGTCGTGAGTTCGAATCTCGGCCACGACTGACCTAAATCGATAACAAACTTATCTTTTTAAAAAGATTGGTGAGCTAGCGCTGTAGCATAATAAAATACAGAAGATATCTGAACCATTTGTTAAATTTGCTGAATCGATTAATTATTAATAAGAAGGCACATTGGAGCACGGGGGGGGGGGGGGGTCATAATTCAGAATGGTGAATCCACAAAACCCCAGGATAATTATACATAAGTTTCAGTTTTTCTGGCCCAGTGGTTCTTGAGAAGAAGATTTTTAAAGATTTTTTTCTAAATATTTCAATGTAAAATTTGTATTCCCTATTGTGTCCCCGCCCTAGGGGTCATGATTTGAACAATTTAGAATCTACACTACCCATGAATGCTTCCATATAAGTTTCAGCTTTTCTGGCCCAGTGGTTCTTGAGAAGAAGATTTTTTAATGACCACACCCTATTTTTGTCTTTTCTTGATTATCTCCCCTTTGAAGGGGGCTTGGTCCTTCATTTTAACAATTTAACAATTTAAACTCCCCTTCACCCAAGGATGCTTTGTACAAAGTTTGATTAAAATTGGCCCAGTGGTTCTTGAGAAGAAGTTGAAAATGTGAAAAGTTTACAGACGGACAGACAGACGGACGACGAAAAACGGGTGATCAGAAAAGCTCACGAGCTTTCAGCTCAGGTGAGCTAAAATGCTAACGATGGAATAGCACTTTATTATAATTTTTAGGGCGGTAGGATGAATTCTAAAAATCCAAAAATTACACCCGAACAATCGAGCCTAGGTCTTGACTGATTAACAATGTTGCATGTACATGTAACATATAAATAATAAAGTATTGGAATGTGTTCATCAGATTGCTCGTATACCTGCCACTGTAGATATACTTGCGATAATGGAAGATCAAAAGCAGATCAGACGAATTGATGATAACAAAATATAAATGATTTTCAGTAGAATGGAAAAGGAAAAGATAAAAGCTTCTGAAATTGCTTTTGCTTAGAGAAAATTTCTAATAGGAATTTTCTAGAGTTTACACCTCTGTGAATTTTCAAGATTCTAATACTCAAAACTTTAAAGGAACTTCATGTTTACATTTTCACTTTTATCTGAGTTGAAAAATGATTTGACCTGTGAAAAAAAGTCCAAGCATATATTTCATAATAAATATGCACTATATTTTAGCACATTGTGTAATCTGAAGTATTCTGTAATTCAATTCTTTTACCAATTTAAGTTAGGGATTAAGAGTCCTTGACAGAATTATAAGGAGGTTAAAGAAAGATAACTCTAGATAGAGATTGCCATGGTGCACTGATATGTATTTAACCTTAAACCTTGCTCCATCCAAAAAGACAAACATGTATTTACTCATGTGCTGTAAAATATCATCAAAATTATCTTCAACACAAGCTCATCTTTTAAAAAGATTGGTGAGCTAGCGCTGTAGCATAATAAAATACAGAAGATATCTGAACCATTTGTTAAATTTGCTGAATCGATTAATTATTAATAAGAAGGCACATTGGAGCACTGGGGGGGGGGGGGGGGGGGCGGGTCATAATTCAGAATGGTTAATCTAAGAGTGGGCTTCACGTCGGCAATGGCATAACTCCTAACTGTGCTTTAAGCATTCTGTATTCTACTGTAATTTCAATTTGGAGGTGAAAAAAAGGTCAGTAGAACCAATGAGCACCTAGTTTAAAATATTCCAGTGTGGTACTGTTTTTTTTTTTTTAGTAATCGCATCTTCTCGGAACTTTCCGGCAAGCTCGGTAAACATATCCGAGGTTGCGGCGGTTTTCCGAACTTGCCGGAAAAATCAATGAAGGTAGATTAGAAAAGCTAGGTACTCATGACAATTTTAGAAATAGCAGTCTTCGTTTTATAAGACCCGAGTAACTGTTACTTTTTGTTCATTTACGTGCAGGATAGACAACAAAACACGAAACTTCAGATCATATGTATTTTCAGATGATAAAAACTAAACTGACATGTCTTTCCGACATACTCTGAAAATATTTTTTTCCGAGTTTGCCGAAATATCCAGGAAGGTGGTGCAACTGTGAGAAAAGCTAGATGTCTAGAATCTTATGCATTATATGACCTAAGTTTTTCTTGTACTTTTACGTGTAGGTTAGACAATAAATTAAAAAAAAATCAGAATCCGGATCTAGACTGGTATTGCCTGTCTCTAACGTAAGAAATGTATATCGCACATATCAGACAGGAAAGGCTAGTGTAAATTCTGATCATATCTATATTTGTATGGCAAAACGAAATTGTTATCGCACAGTCTATCTACAGTAGTTTTCCCAGAATGCCCGACCGTGAAGTCGAGCATGCGTATTCCAGAAATATAGACTAACGTAGTTGCTAGCGCTCGAGAGCGCTAGCAAAAAATGGGTAGCAACTGTTCCTTCCCCATGCGCTCGGCACTTTGAAGTGAAAGTTCGGGTCCTTCGGGTGAGACCTTAAAAACCGAGACCCCGTGTTACGGTAGGCGTTGGCACGATAAAGATCCCTCACTGCTCAATGGCCCCGAGTGCCGAGTAAAGGTCAAAATTTGAAGCCCTTCACCGG